CCCCCCCCCCCCCCTCGCGGCGACAAGATCGTCTGGCCTTGGCGCCTCTCGCTCTCCCTCAGACGCGCACCAGCTCCTGCCTGGCTCCTCTGCTGAGCTACGCCCTGCACAGCTCGAAATCGCCCACTCGCCCCCGTCCACCGCCGCCGGTCCCCCTCCTCCTCCTCCTCCTCCACCTTCCCTCCCAGCTCGCATCCTCGCCGATGCATGAGGTTCGATCCCTCGAGCTTTACTCCCAGCTCGACCTCGTCCACCACCACTTCGCCCTCGCCCCACGCCGCACTCGCTCGTCGTGATGCCGCCGCCACGTCCGACTCATCGACCGCCCCGCCCGGCACCCTCCTGTACCACGAGCCGGGCTTCGTAGACCTCGCCATCGTCGTCTCGTTCCTCTACCTCGCCCAGGTCGCCCGCAACCTCGCAAACCGCCTCGTCGGCGCAGGTCTCCTCGGCGAGGTCGCCGTCGGCATCGTCTATGGCCCCGTCGCCAAGCTCCTCGACGTCGCGTGGATGCAGACCTTCCTCGTCATAGGCTACATCGGTCTCGTCCTCATCGTGTGCGCACCCTCGCCCGTCCTCTCTCTCGATCTTGGGCACGCGCACTGACCCCTCCCTCGCGCGACAGCTTCGAAGGCGGCCTCATGCTCCAGCCCAAGACGTTCCTCCCGCAACTGCCCATGGCCCTCGTCGTCGCCCTCGTCGGCATCCTCGTCCCGCTCGCCTTCACGTTCGCCCTTTTCTCGGCCGCCACCTTCAACTACCCGCCGCTCGAGGCCTTTACCGCCGGCAGCGCTTTGGCCTCGACGTCGCTCGGCACTGTGCGTCCTCTTCTCTCTCTCTCTCTCTCCTCCGCTCTCGAGCACCGATCGGAGCGTCGAGACTCGAAAGAGCCTCGCCGCCATCTGTGCCGGCGTCCCGACCCGTTCCCGCCGTCGTCCCCTCACTGACAGCCCGCCCTCTCTCGCGCACACAGACCTTCTTCGTCCTGCGTTCGTCCGGCCCCGAGCTGAGCACGACCGCCGTCGGCGAGATCCTCAAGGGCGCCGCCCTCATCGACGACGTCGTCGCACTCGTCCTCCTGTCGGTCATCCAGTCGCTCGCCTCGGGTCAAGGCGGCAGCGGCGGGCTCGGCTGGACGATCGGCCGCGCCGTCGTCGCGAGCGTCGCCATGGCTGTCGTGACGCCCGTCGTGACGAGATGGATCTTCGTGCCTCTGTTCCGGACTCGGCGAGTTGAGAAGGTCGTCGAGAGCGGCGGGCGCAGCGGCGAGCTTTTCCTCGGCGTCGCCGTCCTGTGCGCGTTCCTCAGCATGTGCGTCCCTCACTCATACTCTCGCGCGAGGCAGGGGCGGGTGTCGAGCGACCATCACTGACCTCGTTACCGTTGCAGCGCCTACTTTGCCGGCACGACGATGCTCCTCGGAGCTTTCCTCGCCGGCGCCTTCCTGTCAGCGCTCCCGTCGCCAACCTCGTCCATCTCGTTCGTCGTTTGCTGGGAGCTGTGGCTCGTCCCGATCCAGGAGCACGTGCGTCCCTCTTTCTCCTCCCGACCCTTCCTCCTCCTCTCGCCGCGCCCACTCATCCGGCCTCTCGCCGCACACAGGTTCTCGTCCCACTCTTCTTCGCCTCCATCGGCTTCTCGCTCCCGTTCCTCGACCTGTGGACCGGCGCCCGCATCTGGCGCGGCATCGTCTACGCCGTCCTCATGACGCTCGGCAAGGTCGTCGCCGGCGCGCCCATCCTCGTCGTCGATGTGCTGCGTGGGTGCAGGGCGGGCCGGGACGAGGCGACGCGGGCGCACGAGCGTGTCGGCGAGCGCGAGCGCGAGCAAGGCGCAGGCGCCGGGGCGAGCACCGCCGCCGAGAAGGTCGGTCGGCCAGCGTCGCTCAGCAGCGCTGTTGGCGACAGCGGCGCAGGCGCACAAGGTGGCTCGTTATTGAACGAGGCACTGCCTGCCGCAGCGTTTGTCGGGCTCGCGCTCGTTGCGCGCGGCGAAATCGGCGTGCGTCCTCCATTTCTCTCTCTCTCTCCCTTTCCCTCTCGTTCCTCTCTCTCCGCCACTCCCTGCAGCCGTCGAATCAGACTGACTCGTCTTCCCGTTCCCTGCTCGCCTCTCCCCGCACGCAGATCCTCGTCCTGCAGCTCGCCTACTCGTCTGCGACCGAGTCGGCCGCGACCGGCAGCGCGTCGACGCCCGTCCTCGCCGAGGATTCGTACCTCGTCGGCATCTGGGCCGTCGCGCTGTGCACCATCGTTGGCCCGATCGCGTTTGGCGCGCTCGTGCGGCGGTGCGGGAGCGGGATCAGGAGGGGCCGGTGGGGCGACGCGAGGGAGGTTCGAGGCGAGTGAGTGCGAGGGAGAGGGTCGGGCGAGGGACGTGGTACGGTGCAGGTCGGACGACGACTCGTTGTACACTCGTGCAACGCTGTTGGTCGGTCTACAAGAGCCGGGTCCTCGACAAGGACGAGAAGAAGACGGTCGCGTACCACGAGGCCGGTCACGCCGTGTGCGGGTGGTTGGTCGAGTGGGCCGACCCGCTCCTCAAGGTGCGTCCGAGCCTAATCTTCTTGGCGAGGGAGGCGTGCAGCAGGTTCACCGAGCTGACCTTGTCTCCCTTCCCGATCCTCCTTCCCAACCCTCTCAACGCCTCTCTCTCTCTCTCTCTCGACGGCGCCTCTCTCTTCTCCTCGACGTCGTCGCCTTCTCGTCTCGTCTCGTGGCACCGTGTCGTGCTCGCGTCCCCCCTACTCGTCCCTCGTCCACCTCGCCCTGCCCTGCTCGCCCCCTCGCCTTCGCCTTCGCCATGCAGGTCTCGATCGTCCCTCGAGGTGTCGGCGCGCTCGGCTACGCACAGTACTTGCCCAAAGAGCGGTACCTGTACACGACCGAGCAGCTCGTCGACCGCATGTGCATGACGCTCGGCGGGCGCGTCGCCGAGGAGATCTTCTTCAAGCGGATCACGACGGGCGCCCAGGACGACTTGCAGAAGGTGACGAGGATGGCCATGGAGGTCATCGCCAACTGTGCGTCCCTGTCTCTCTCTCTCTCACTCTCTGTCTCTGTCGGTGGCCCGGTCGATTGTCGATCGGAGAACTGACCGTCTCCTCCTTCTACTCCTCCCCCCTTTCTCGCCTGTCGTCTCTCGTCTCGCCCACTGTCACCTCTCCTACGACGACGACGACGACACAGACGGCATGAACCCGGCCGTCGGCCCGTTGTCGTACCGCCAGGACCAGGAGTCGTTCCAGAAGCCGTTCTCGGAGAAGACGGCGCAGCTCATCGACGACGAGGTCCGCTCGATGGTTCGTCGCGCGCACCAGCGGTGCCACGACCTCCTCACCGAGAAGAAGGAGCAGGTCGACAAGGTGGCGCGCGTCCTGCTCGACAAGGAGGTCCTCAGCCGGTGCGCCCTCACTTTCTCTCCCTCACCTCATTTCCCCTTCCTCGCCTGACGACGACACCTTCGTCCACCCCTCACAGGAGCGACATGATTGCCCTTCTCGGCCCTCGACCGTACGGCGACGCGTTCGACGACGCCGTCTCGTTCGGCTCTGCAGCGCCCGAGCCGACGGGCGACAAGGAGGCGCCGCTCGGTCACGGCATCGAGGGCGGCCTCGGCGGCGGCATCGGCAACGAGGTCCCGAGCCCCAAGGGCATCGACCAGGGCATGTGAGCGCTCGACCGCTCGGCCCGCATGGTCCTCTCGAGCAGACGCCCTTCCGCGCCCGCTCTGCCGGCCGTTCCTCCTGCACCCTCGTCCCGGCCTTCTAGCTCCCCCCCTCTCTCCTCTACACATAGTCTGTACCTGTAGCATCTTGAGCCTCGAAGAGCGCAACGCACGATTCTATCGATCCGCCGTCGTCGCCCTCGTGAGAGCAAAGAAGCTCTCCCCTGCTCGAGAGCTCCCGAGTCGGTGCGACTCGCGCGAGTGCCGGGTCGCTGTTACGTCGTTTGTTGAGCGTGCGCGAACGAGCAGCTGAGAGCGGACGCGTCTGGCAGAGCAGGGCGCTTCGGAACCTGGTCGACCTTCTCAAACGCACGGTCCGCGCATCTGTGCTTCGGGCTCGAGGGTCGCGAATGGCCCGCTCGACGGGTCGAGCCTAGCTGTTCGCGCTATCGTTTGTTGAGCGTGCGCGAACGAGCAGCTGAGAGCGGACGCGTCTGGCAGAGCAGGGCGCTTCGGAACCTGGTCGACCTTCTCAAACGCACGGTCCGCGCATCTGTGCTTCGGGCTCGAGGGTCGCGAATGGCCCGCTCGACGGGTCGAGCCTAGCTGTTCGCGCTATCGAGGACTGTCGCCGCAGGAAGGATCTCGCCCGAAACCGAGAAGTTGACCTCGTCGAGCGAGAGAAGGTAGCTTCGGGACGCTGTAACTCCTCGAGAGTAGTTAAATCCCGGGTTCCGCCGCTCTCACGGTCCTTGCTGAGACGGATACTCGACGTCTAGAACCTGTCCCTCGCCTACTTCTCTCGAAACCGAGAAGTTGACCTCGTCGAGCAAGAGAAGGTAGCGGCGGGACGCTGTAACTCCTCGAGAGTAGTTAAATCCCGGGTTCCGCCGCTCTCACAGTCCTTTCTGAGACGGATACTCGACGTCTAGAACCTGTCCCTCGCCTACTTCTCTCGAAACCGAGAAGTTGACCTCGTCGAGCAAGAGAAGGTAGCGGCGGGACGCTGTAACTCCTCGAGAGTAGTTAAATCCCGGGTTCCGCCGCTCTCACAGTCCTTGCTGAGACGGATACTCGACTTCTAGAACCTGTCCCTCACCTACTTCTCTCGAAACCGAGAAGTTGACCTCGTCGAGCAAGAGAAGGTAGCGGCGGGACGCTGTAACTCCTCGAGAGTAGTTAAATCCCGGGTTCCGCCGCTCTCACAGTCCTTGCTGAGACGGATACTCGACTTCTAGAACCTGTCCCTCACCTACTTCTCTCGAAACCGAGAAGTTGACCTCGTCGAGCAAGAGAAGGTAGCGGCGGGACGCTGTAACTCCTCGAGAGTAGTTAAATCCCGGGTTCCGCCGCTCTCACGGTCCTTGCTGAGACGGATACTCGACGTCTAGAACCTGTCCCTCACCTACTTCTCTCGAAACCGAGAAGCTCAAGTCTGAGAGCGAGCGCTCGAGCCGACACTCGAGCCTCTCTTCGCTTTCGGCGGCCCGAATCGCTCGCCGAAGAGAGAGGGACTGTCGACGTTGCACATTGTTCAGTACAGGTCGGCCGCCTTCATCCTCCCGCTGCGTCCCTGCGCCGGCGCCTCGTCCCGCTGCACCGCCGGCTCGTCGCGCCTCGTGCTGGCCGCCGGCCCCCCCACGGCGGCGAGCACGTCCGGGTGCACTCGGCTAGGCGCTTCTGCCCACTCGTCGTCCTCGACGATTCGAGCAGGCCTGTGCTCCGTCTCGTCGCGCTTTGGCCGTCTGTCCTCGCCCTTCTCCTTCTCCCTGCCCCGGTCCTTCTCCCGGCGAGGCTTCTTTTTCGCCGCCGCCGCCGCATCGTCCTCGCCGCCCTCGTCGAGGTCGAAGCTGAGCCCGACGGTGGCCCGGCGCTTCTTGTCCCGCTTCTTCTTGTCGCGCTCCTTGTCGGCCTCGTCCTTCTTGTCGCTGCTCGTGCGCGACGATGTCGGGACGAAGGCGGGCTTGTAGGACGTGAGGGTGTCGAGGGAGAGAGGGATAGGCGGCTCGTCGTGGGCACGAGCAGCGGGCACTGGTGCGGGAGCGGGTGCAGGCGCGAAGGGGTCGGCGGAGGTGGTCGATGCGGCGGCGGGGTGGACAGGGTCGACGGACAGCACGACGGCCGGCGCAGGCTCGTCGTCGTCATCGTCGTTGTCGTTGTCGTTGTCGTCGTCGCCGTCGTCGTCGTCGTCGCTGTCGGCAAAGATGGCCGCGAAGATGTCTTGCGGCGCGCGCTTCTCCTCGAGGATCTCCTTGCCCTGCTCCTCGTCGTCGCCGTACCCGACCGTCTCGATCGTCGGCGGCACCTTGCGGCGAGAGGTGCCGGCCTCGCCGCCGCCGGCGGACCGCGTCTCGAAGGCGCCCTTGGCGACCTCGGGCGCGTCCTCGCCGACGCTCGCCTCCTCCTGCGCCGCCGCCTGGAACCGCTTGAAGCCGGCGCTGCGCATCATCTCGTCGAGCGCACCCTCGCCGACCGGCTGTGCGGCGCCCTGCGCCGAGCCCGTTCCTGCGCCGCCCCAGCCCATGGCCGTCGCCTCGCCCCAGGCGCCGCCGACGCCGTCCGACTCGACGCCTGACGCGTTCTCGTTCGGGTCGCGGACGCCGAAGCGCTTGCAGAGGAGCTTGGCCGGGCGGAAGGGCCGCGTCGTGCGTGTCGTGCCCGGGCCAAAGTTGCCGGCTCGTGCAGCCTGCTGCGCCGGGGTGAGCTCTGGCTCGGGGAGACGAGGCGGGTCGTTGGTCGATGACGAAGAGGCGTCGCCATAGACGTCCTTGACGGCGTTGCCCGTCTTGGCGGCCTTGGGCGGCGGCTGGTACAGGCCCGGCTCGACCTTGGGCATGTCGAGCGACGCGCTCACGCTCGACTGGAACCGCGAGCCGAGCATGCCGCCGACGGGCTTGAAGACGCGCGCCGACTGGGCGTACTCGGACAGCTCGCGGTTGAGCTCGGCGACGGTTTGCTGCCGACCCGACGAGGGGACCGTGCGAGGGCCGAACGGCGACGAGGTCGAGGTGGCCTCGCCCGACGCCTGGTACTGGAGGTAGAGCGTGTAACGCGCCTGCTTGACGGGGTCGGGCGACGTCGAGGCGGCCGAGTAGGGCTGGAAGCCGCGCAGGGCGGCTTGGGCGGTCGGACGGTCGAGAGGAGGGACGAACAACGCCTCGTCGGGCTCGGGCATGGACGGCGCGGTCGTCGACGAGGCTGAAGCGTTTGCGCCGGATGAGGGAGGGCCGCCGCCGGGTGCGCTCGTGAGGGAGGCAAGCCGCTCGCGGCTCTTGGCGGACAGGTAGTCGAAAACCGACTTGGGGAGGTCGGGCGGAGGAGCGGGCTGCCGCTCACCGAGAAGGGATCCACGCTGCGCGAGATGGGCAAGTCAGTCTCTTGACTGACAGCGCGAAAGAGAGAAGAGGACGGCGGGCGCACCTCGTCCGCGTCGAGCTGCCTGCCCTTGCCCTTGATGTCGTGCGCGCCCGGCGGCGACTGGTTCTCCTTCCACAGCCGAGACGGGTCGGGTCGCCAGCCTGGCGGCGGAGGAGGCGGAACGTGCGACCTGCAGAAACCAAAGGTTTAGTCCCGGGACGCGAGCGCGTGAATAAAGCGTGACGAGGACGTACTGCGAGGGGCCGGCGACGGGCTCGCGGTGGAGCTTGAAGCCGGGTAAGACCTGCGTGCCGTCGAAGAAGCTCTCCTTGGCGGCGACGGAGCGTTTGGGCTGCGAGGAAGGGAGGCAATGTCAGTTTGTGAACCTCGACTTGGACGGCGCGAGGAGGTCGCGAATGTGTTGGGGCGAGGGGGAGAAGTACGAGAGGGATTGGGCTGGACAGAGAGACGCACCTGCTCACGTCGCTTGTCCCGGCTCGAGCGCATCGAGCCGAACGAGTCGCCGTCGTCGTCCTCGTCGTAGATGCCGATCGCCCGCTTCTGCCGCTCGCCCATCGCGCCGACGCCCATGCCCGACCCGCCGTACACGTCCTCCTCGTCGAGCTCGTACGCCGGCGCTCGGGCCGACGACGAGTAGGCGGCGCCGTCCTGCTTGAGCCGCTGGTCGAGGCTCGCGCTCGGCTGGTAGCCCAAGCCCCACCCTTTGTCCATCGACGCGCTCGTACCCTTGACGAGCGTGAGCGGGCGGTCGAGCGGCGCGTAGTAGTGCTTGTCGAGCTCGTCGTCGTCGCCCTCGTCGGCGTCGAGCCGCACGCCGAGCTCGGCGGCCTGCTTCTGCCGCTGACGGTGCGTCACTCGCGGCCCGACGCCCTGGCCCTCGCGCCAGCCCATCTTGCGCATGAGCTTGAGGCCGACGCGTGAGGACGCAGGCTGGATGAGCGACGCGAGCGTGTCGTCGAAGGCGGATGAGGAGGGCGCTGCAGCGCCGGGTGCGGCGGACGAGGCGCCGAGCAGGGGGCCAAAGTTGCCGAGCAGCGGGTCGTAGGTCGAGGCTGATGGCTGCGCTTGAGGTGGGCGAGAGGAAGAGGCGTACGCGGAGCTGGTCTCGAGCGTGCGCGCCGAGGCCAGTTCGGCGAGGTCCTGGAGGGAAAGGCGTCAGGTCCGGTCCGAACGAGGCTGCAAGGGGGCGGCGGGCGCACCTCGTCGTCCATGAACTGTCTTGCTGCGTCGGCGACGGTGCGGTTGTCCTGCGAAGCCCGGTTGCCGCGCGACGACTTGAAGGTCGACGGCGTCCATCCTGCGAGAGAGGAGATGGTCAGTCCCGCTCAGGCTCGAGGTACGGTCGAGGGGTGGACTCGCCTTCTTTCGAGCCGGCGCTGTTGTAGTAGCCCGCCGAGAAGCCGCCGGTAAACGCGCCGTGGAACCGCCGCCTGGAGGAGGAGGAGGTGGAGGTCAGCGCGGGCCAGGGACAGTGGCACAAGGGCAGGGGACAGAGGACGGACCTGCCCTGCTCATCGAAGACCTTCTGCTCCCACGGCGGGACGAACTCATTCGTGTCCTTCTTGTGGTCTGCGAGCGAGGGAAGGGCGGTGCCGACCGAGACGAAGCTCTCGGTGAGGTTGCCGTACCGGCCGTCGTCGGCCTGGTCGAGCTTGCGCTTGAGCCGTGAGGTGGCCATAGCCGAGCTGCACGCAGCCGGGCGTGAGCAGTGTGTGGTGGAGCGAGAGCGAGAGCAGTGGGGCCGCCAGCTTCATCTCCCTCCTCGTCCCTCTCACCTCGCTGTGGCGCTTCCTGCCGGCCATGCAGCCCGAGACTGCAATGCAACATGGCCCACCGCTCCCGTGTCCAACGTAGAGGTCCTTTCCCGCACCCGCAGAGCGCCTCGCTTCACTTGTCTCCTCCGTCTCTCGGACCGCTCAAAGCCGAAAGTTGGAGGAAACGAGCATGTCCTGCACCGTCTAGTCCTCCTCCTCGATCCCCTCAAACTCCTCTTCCTCCTCGTCCTCGTCCTCGGACTCGCCTTCTACCTCGAGCTCGCTGCCGTCCTCCCCGCTCAGCTCCTCCTCGTCGCTCCCTTCCTCGTCGTCCTCACTGCTGCTCTCCTCCTCCTGCTGCGCCTCGCCGTCCGCTCCGGCAGTCCTGGCCCGCTTCTCGACTATGCCGATAGCCGTCACGCACGTCAGGCGCGTCTTGTCCGTGTCGAACGTCGCGCTCGGCAGCACCTCGGGAAGCTTGTCGGCCGGGACAGGGGCGGAGGCAGGCTTCGTCGCCTTCTTGCCCTTGCCCTTGTCCTCGGCAACGGGCGCGTCGCGAGGCAGGCGCGCGAGGTCGTACATGTTGATCTTGCCGTCCGACGAGACGGTCGTGAGGACCATGGTCGACGACGGCTCAGCGGTCGGGAGCGCCACCTCGAGGAGGTCCATCTGCTTGACGCTGTGGAAGAGCAGGCTGTGGGTCAGTCGGGCTCGAGAGGAAGGAGGTGAAAGTGACGGGACGCACCGGTTCGAGTGGCCCGAGAAGAGCGCGACCGGGTCCAGGTACGGCAGGTCGACCTCGTCCAGGTCCGTGTCCTCGTCGATCGTGATCGGGTTGGGGTTGCTGACGTCAAAGACGCGCACTTTGCCGTCCTCGCAGGCGACCAAGAGGTACTCGCGCTGGTTCGGGTCGGTCGCGTCGAGCGGGAAGTAGCAGAAGCGGACGTCGTGGAAGCGCGACTTGGCGGTGAGGAGGTGGTGGATCGACATGTCCTGCGAGACGAGAGAGGTGTGTCAGTGACAGGACCTGGGGAGGAAAGAGGCACGCGGAGGAAGGTGGTGGACGCACGAGGCCGTAGACGGTCAAGTCGCTCCCGCAGATGACGGCGAACTTGCTGCCGTTCGTGTTCCACCGCACGACGTCGCCCTCTGCGCGCGAGGAGGAGCCAGCTGTCAGAACGTGCGGCAGACGGGCGCGAGGAGGAGAGAGTGGACGCACCTCCTCCGAGCCTCATCGCCGTCACCGACTTGCCAGCGACGAGGTCCCACATGCGCAGCATCTTGTCGACGCCGACGCTGAGCGCGACACGACCGTCTGGGTGCGCGTCGAACGAGTTGACCCGGCCCTTGTGGCCCTTGAGGGAACGGAGGAGGATCCAGTCGCGGACGCGGTACAGGGCGATGGTCGAGTCGGTCGAGGCGACGGCGAGCATGTTGCGCTGCGGGACGAAGCGCATGCAGGTGATGGTGCCTGCGAGGGAGGAGGAATGGCGACGGACGAGAAGGTCAGTTGGGTTCGCGCCTCGAGAGGCGGCGACGGAGGTGGAGAAGGGGGCGGAGGACGCACCAATCGTGTCTCCCTCGAGGCTCCCGACCTCCTTGCGCCTCGGCAGGTCCCACACCTTGATGATCTCGTCGCTGCCGCCCGAGACGAGGTACTTGCCGCCGACCCTGCGCTCGCTGCCGGTGCCCTCGTGGGTGAGGGTGCTGGCCGCGACCGTTCTCAGGCTCGACAGGTGCGCCGGGAACGAGAAGATGGGCGAGATCGACAGCTCAAAGTCGGTGCCGGTGCCGGTCGCCGGCTCGAAGGTGCACTCGAGGCCGTACAGGAGGCGCTCGTACGAGCCCGCGGCGACCGTGAAGCGCTTGGGCGCGGCCGGGTTCTTGACGGCGCCAGGTGCGGATGCTGCGGCGGTAGAGGCGGCAGCCTTGCCCTTCTGCTTGGGCTTGGCTCGAGGTGTCGAGCTGGACGCGGCGGGAGGAGGGGGAGGAGGGTTGGAGAAGCGCGCCTTCTTTGCGGGCGGCTTGGCGGTAGGGGCAGCAGGCGCAGGTGCAGTCTGAGCAGCTTTGCGCTTGGCCATGGTCGTCGTGAGCGGTGCGGGCGAGAGAGAGAGGCGGCCCCGCTCGCTCTCCTCCAAGCTCGACCTCGCGCCCTTTCTCGCACGTGACTCTCGCTTGGACCTGCTCTCGCGGATCTCGAGCTATCTACTGCGTTGCAACACTGCGCTCGACGACGTCGACGACAACAAGCCGCGCTCAACCCTTGGCGTCCTCCTTCGCACCGCCACCCGGACTGCTCCCGCCGCCGCCGCCGCCGGTGAACTTGCTCTTGAGCCCGCTGATCGCAATCTTGAAGCCGCCGGGCTTGCTCGTCGGCACCGTCGCACCCGACGTCGACGTCGACGAGGTCGACGAAGGTGGCGAGGCGGCCTTCTTGAGCCCGAAGCTGAACCCGAGCGATTTGCCGGCGTCGGTGGCAGGCTTGACGTCCTTGCCCTGGTCGCCCGCCGTGTCGCCGAATGGGCTGCGCCGCTTGGCGAGCAAGCCGAGCTCGCCGTCGTCGTCCTCCTGCTCCTTCTTGCGCTTGAGGGCGCCGAGAGAAGGCAGGAACGGCGCGTCGTCTTCGTGCTTGACGATGTCGGACGAGCCGGCGCCGTTGGTGCCTGCTCCTGGTGGCGGCGCAGCGTCGCCCTCGACCTTGACCGCCTCGGCGACTGGGCCTGCGTCGAGCGCGCCTCGGCGCTCGCGGATGAAGCCGCCCGCCAGCAAGCCTGCATCGTCGACGTCGACGCTCGGCGGCGGATCCGCCTCGGCGACCGGCGCGACATTGCCCTCGGCGGTGGCGGGCTTCATGTCCTCGTCGTCGTCGTCGTCGGCGTAGTCGACGAGCGGGATTTTGTCGTGCGAGAGCGGCTTGTCGCCGTCGTCGTCGAGCTTGACGCGTTTGGGCGAGTGGTCGTTGTCGCCGGCCGGGTTGCTCGTCGGCTCGCGTTTGCGGCGTGACGAGCCGAACGACGCCGAGGCGAGGAGGGCGACCGTCTCGTCGGGGACAGGCGCAGTCGGCTCGTCGTCGTCGTCGTCGTCCGAGGTGTTGAAGTACGACTCCTCCTCGAGCTCGCGCCTCGGCGTCCACCCGGGCAGGCTCGTTTGACGCTGCATCGAGCTGCGACAGGAGAAAGAGTCAGTAAAGCGCTGTGCGAGAGGGAGAGAGATCGCGTTCGGGACGGACCTGGACGTCGCGCCTCCACCTGGACCAGTTGCCGCTCCCTCGCCCGCTCCCGCCGAGCCCTGCACGAGCGTCAACGGCGGCGGCTCGTTGTTCATCTCCCATCGCGCGATGAGCGACTCGAACGTGCGCAGAGGGGCGGTCGAGCCGTCTCCTGCGGCAAGTCGGCGCACGACGTCGCCTCCTCGGTCCATGAGGTGGTTGAGGAGCGCCTTGGCGTTGGACTGCCGGCACACAGGCGCGTCAGTCACGGTCGCTCAGAGTGTCGAGGACGAAGAAAAAGAGAAGAGGGGACGCACCGTCCTCAGGTACTCGAAGAAGTCGAGGCACGCGCTGCCGAGCAGGTTGTCCTTGCTCTTCTCCTCGTCGGCCGTGTCGAGGACGGGCCGTAACAGGTCGTGCTTGATGAGGAAGCGGTTGTAGAAGTCGTCGTTGCGGGCGACGCACGCCCGGAGGAAGCGCAGGGCGGCGAGGCGCAGGTGCGTGTGTCGGGTGAGGCGAGGCCGAGGGCGGACGATGCGCGACACGGCCTTGGCGAGCTCGGGCGACGACAGGATGAGGTACTTGGACCGGAACGTGTGGTGGATGACGAAGAAGCACAGGAGGTCGCACAGGTGGGTGAGGAGGGCGACGTCGGCGGCCGACAAGGCGAGAGGCGGATCTGCGAAGCAGGGGGTCAGTCTCGGGTGCTACACGGCCCGTGAACGAGAGAAGGGAACGGACCAGAAGGCGACAGGTCGGGCAGCTTGCTGAGCGGCTCGAGGAGCGAGGTCATGCAGTGGTCGTAGAAGTACTGGAGGAACTTCTCGGCCTCGGGGTCCTCCTGGCGAAGTCGTGGCGGTGCCTGTGGGTGAGGGCGACGGGTCAGTGACGCTCGACAGAGAGAGGGGAGAGAGAAAGGAGGACGAGGACGCACAGAGAGAGGGCCTCCCTCGCCCGTCACGTCGACGAGAACTCGCAGCGCCTCGGTGAGCTGGGCCTTGAGCCCGAGGTCGTGCTCCGCCTTGAGCGTCCCGATCAGGAGCCCGAGCAACGTCCTCCTCGTCTCCTGCTCCTCCTTGTCCCGCTTGTCCTTCTCGGTCTCCTCGGCGCTCTTGCCCTCCTCCTCGAGCTCCCTCTCCAGCGCCGCCGCCGCGTCCTCGCCCTCGCGCCCAGCCTCCGTCTCCTCCTCCTCGCGCTTCTCGAGCTCCTTGCCCTGCCGCAGGCAGTAGCCCCGCACCTCGAGCGGCGCGAGGTCGACGACGCACATCCACACGCCGAGCGCCGCCTGCCGCATGCGGGTCGCGTCGTCGCGCTCGTCGTCGCTCGCGCCCGGCCTCGCGCCCGCCCGTGCGGCAAAGCGCAGCGCGCCCTCGAGCGCCGGGAGCAGGCCGCGGTCGCACAGCGTCCTGTAAAGCGGCGCGCGGACGCCGAGCTGCAGGTTCTTGGCCATCTGCGACAGCTGCTGCAGGAACAGGGTCGCGTGCAGCTTGCGAGCGGCGACGCTTGGTGATGCCGGGTCGAGGGGCGCAGACGGGTTCGAGGTCGAGGGTACGGCGGCGGCGGTGGTGGCGTCGGTGGAAGAAGGAGGAAGGGGAGGCGAGGCGAGGCGGGCCCGTTTCGACACGGGCGAGCCGCCGGCGATGTCGGACGGGAGGGAAGGGCCGATCGTGCGCTTGGGGCCGAGCGCGAGGTCCCGCTCCTTGCCCTTGGCGCTCGGCGGCGCGTCGACGGCTGCGGCCTCGTCGTCCTCGAGGACCCGGAACACCTCGCGCACGAGCTCTCGCTCGGCGGCGACCTCGTTGACGATGTCGACCTCGTTGAAGTAGATGGCCGAGTTGAGCATCGAGAAGGTCGAGTCCTCGAGGATGCGGGCGAGGACGACGTCCTTGAGGTAGTGAAGGCGATGCGTCTGGTGGATCTTGGCGAGGAGGGTGCCGGGAAGGAGCGAGGGAGGGACGACAGGGATAAAGGCGGTCGAGGACGAGAGGTGCTCGCGGTACGAGGCGCGCATAGTCGGGAAGTCGGGGTCGTCTGCGGGTCGAGAGCGAGGTCAGCCTGGTTCTCCTGCCCCCCCTGACGAGCAGCCAGGACGCACACTCGAGCATGCCGACGACACCGAGGATGACGTCGTCGCGCAGGACGTGCTCGAAGATGGCGTTGTCGTTGAGGAGGACTGCAGGAGGCGCAAGGAGGTGAGCTGGGTCCGTGCGGGTCGGGGTCCGAGAGCGAGAGCGAGGACGCACAGATCGCCTGCATGACCCGGCACAGCGCATGGAGGTCCTCGAGGCTCTCGAGGTCCTCGGCCTCCTGCTGCACCTTGCAGAGCTTGTCGATGTAGCCCGTGCGCACGATGACGCTCGCGGCGCGCTCGCGGCCAACGGCGGTGCGCGACATCTGGCGGATGGCGTTCTCGAGGTGCGGGATGTTGCTCAGGGCGGGTTCGGGGAGCGAGTTGGCGAGCGAGGCCGACGCAGAGCCACTCATGGGTGCGTGGCGAGGGGAAGAGAGGGCCTCGGAGGGGGAAGGGGAGGGCGAGTGGAGGAGGCTCTGCTGCTCGGCTGCAGGCGGTACGGTACTGGTCAGTCAGGCTCGAAACAAGAAGGGGAGAGGGACGACGAGGGAGACGCACCGGCGAACCGACGCGCGGCTTTGATAAACTCCCACATCTCGGCGCAGCCCGACGGGGTCGCAAAGCTGAGCGCCATCTCCTGCTCCTCGTCGCCCTCGGTCGCCGTACGCTCAGTCCACACGATGAGCGTGTCCTGCTGACGCTGGTAGCCGCCGGCGTCGACCGTCATGTTGCCGTTGTCGTCGACCGAGGTCATCTCCTCCTCGTCGAGCAGGTCCTCGGGGAGGTACCCGGGCGGATACGGCTGGACGCGCGTCTTGAGGATCGGCGGGCCCTCGTCCACCTCGTCCTCGTCATCTGCTCCGCCGCCCTCGACGAGCTGGCGCCCTGCGCCCTTCAAGGGCGACTTGCCCTGGGTGGGCGAGCCGCTCCCGTCGTCCTCCTCCCGGCCCTTGCCCTTCTTGCCCGTCGGCGAGTCCTGCCCTCGGTCCCTCCTGACCCTCTCGCGCCGCACGACGATCCACGCACCCTCCTCGTCGTCGCTCGACGACGCCATGCGCGCGTCGCCCTCGGCGTCGTTGCCCTGCGCCGCCGTCGACGACGACGACGAGATGAACTCGCCCGAGCAGGTGCCCGTGCCGAGGTCAATCCACGCGTCGTCCTTGAGGCGGTAGACCTTGACGCGACGACTCGGCGGCAGCCCGCTGGGCGATTGCGAGGCGGACGAGGAGGGGGAGGAGGCGGTGCGCGCCGAGGCGGGGGACGAGTGGGCGGCGTCGACGGAAGCTGGGGAGGAGCCGACATGCTGCGCGAGGTGCTGCTCGGTCGACTCGGGCGTGTCGGGAGGTGCGGTAGAGGGGGACGAGGGCTGGAGGCGCGTCGGGGTCGAGGGGGAGGCGCTAGGTGCCGAGGCGTCGGGCGACGGGTGGACGACGTGATCGCCTGCGCCGGTAGAGCTGCTGCCCTCGGGAGCGGATCCCGGAGCCGGGCTGGGCCGCGTAGACGGCGGCGAGGGCGTTCTCGAGCGGTCGACCTCGTCGCCTGCGGGCGGCGCGGTCGCACCGGCGGCTGGTGCGGCGCCTTGGCCGGCTTGTGGCGGTGTGCTCGAGCGCACTGCTGGCGTGTTCTGCACCGCCGGGGACGAGCCGTGGCCGGGGTTGTTTGCGGCCGACTGGGGAGGTTGGTCTTGTGCCGCGTCGGCCATCGCAGACCCGGGAGGCCGCGCGAGTGCGACGCGCTGCGGGTGGTTGGATGCGGGCGACTGTGCAGCAGGGCACGGCGCAGGCGCGTGCTCGTAGCGAGGCGGGCAAGAGTCTATGCGAGCGAACGGTGGCCCGGCAGGCGCGCGACTTGGACGACGGCTCTCGCTCGCTCAAGGGTCGCGCGAGCAGAGCCAGTATTCCTTCTACGTAGTCATGAAGAGCACCCGGTCTGTAGCCAGACCCCGCGAGCCGTGAGAAGCGAGCAACTGCTCCCCCTCCTCGGGAAGCTGGTGACGCTCTGCTTTCAACTCGTTCCTCCTCGTCTACGACCTATTTGCCGCCATGGAAGTCGACTCAGCACCTTCTGCACCTCACCGCACCCCGTCGCACTCGTCGGCGACCCGCCCCAAGGGCATCCTCAAGCGCGGCGGCGCCTCGTCGTCGTCCTCCTCGACCCGAGTCGCTGGCTCGCCCCCGACCGGCCAGCCTGCACCAGACGGCACCTCTGCGCCCGCCGACTCGAGCCTGACGCCGGCCCAGCGCCAGCACCAGCAGAACCAGCTCGCGTGGGACGAGGCCAACCTCTCGCTCAACGACCTCCAGCGCGACTCGACCATGAAGATTGACGAGCCAAAGACGCCCTTTGTGCGCTACAACGCCGAGACCGACGAGGTCATGAACCTTGACCGTGCGTCCCACGCTCCCTTTCTCTCTTCGTGCGCCCAACACGAGGCGGACGAGCGACCTGCTCACGCGACCATCCCCCACCTCGTCCGCAGAGATCCCCGGCATCTCGCTCGGCTCGACCTCGTACGGCAACGCGGCCGGTGGCGGCGGTCCGACCTCGCCTGTGCGTCGCGGCAGCGAGGCGAGCGAGAAGATGGTGCGCGTCGAGCGCAGCAACAGCGACCTCGCCGCGAGCGCGCGCGCCCACGCCGGCGGCTCGTCGGCGATGCAGGACGACGAGGACCCGTCTCTCGACAGCGACGAGGAGGACTATGACGAGGAGAGTGCGTCCTCATTTCTCTCTCTCTCTCTCTCGCCCTCCCTCTCCCCCGGTCGTCGCCTGCGCCCACCCACTGACCTGCTCTGCCTCCCTTCTACAGCCATCGAGCACCGCCGCGAGTTTGCCAAGAAGCGTGGCCGCCATTACTCGAACGAGGCGGCGGCAATGAAGCGTGCGCAGGCGCTCCTCGACGCCGAGGAGGACGACGACGAGCCGGAGCTCACCGAGGAGCAGCGCGTCGCGGCCAACACGCAGGCCAACGCCAACGGCGGGCTCGTCCCGTCCTCGGCGCCATCGGGCATGAGCGCCGTCCCGCCGGTGCCGCCCATGCCGCAGGGCCTGCAGCGTGACGCGCTCTAGCCGGCCTCGCTCGCCCCTCCTCGAGGCGCGACGGACCGGGTCGTCGACTTCCTCCCTCTGCTGTACATGCCTTGTAGTCCCCTTCCTCCTTCCCTTCTCCTCTCGGCGTTCTCCCCTGCTGCAGTACTGTAACACATTCGAGGCCTCGTTTGTGTCGTTGTCGATGAGAGAGACTTGCTCTCGTGCCCGTCGTCGGCTTTCTTGCTCTCTCTCTTAGCTCTGCTCGACGAAAGGATTGCTTGAACGTAGCTTGCGACACGCACACGCCCTCGCTCGAGCGTTTCCTCGCTCCACGCGATTTGAGAAGGTCGACTCGCTCTCGGGAGAGGAATCGTGACGAGCGCAGTGATACCAGCATCAGAGCTCGCTCTATTTTCTACAGTCCATAGATGTGGACGTCCGGGAGAAGGGAGAAGGAGAAGGGGACGACGCTGTAGGGGTATCGGGCACAAATAGGGAAGTCGAGCGCGGGAGAGAGCGCTCCTCGTCTAGTTGTCTAGGACGAAGCCGGTGTTGGCGCGCGTGACTGGGACGGAAAGAGAGGTCAGTCTGGGAGATAGCGACGAGGAAAGAGAGGGAGAGACGCACAGGGACTCTTGACCGCGCCCAACGCATCTGAGGAAAGTCGGCGAGAGCGAGGTCAGCTCGGGCGCTTGCGAGAACGAGATCGCGAGAGGTGGGACGCACAAGAGTTGATGATGCTCTGCACCGAGGCGTAGGTGCCGGCGCCGAAGAAGAACATGCCGGCGACGAAAATGACGGCGATGACGCAGAGCTCGACAATCTTGCGCGGGCTCTCGGTGCGGCGGCCCTTGTTCATCTGCCACCAGGCGGCAGCCCACATCGTGTAGCCGAAGTGCTGTGGCGGAGGACGACGTGTCAGGCCTGCCCTCGAAATGGTTGAGGGGAAAGAGGGGACGCACCGAGGAGAAGAGCGAGCTGATGAGGGAAAGGAGGTCCGAGAAGAAGGGCACGGCCTCGCCGATGATGAACGAGATGGCCCAGCCGACAAAGACGATGGCGAACCAGACGAGCCACCCCTTGACCGTGTGCGACGAGCGGTGGCGCGAGCCCTCCTTGAAGATCTGGAAGAAGATGGCGCGCGAGACGACGAGCGAGTACAAGATGCCGACAATGACGATGGTGGGCAGGACGAGGCCGGCGGCAGGCTTGCCGTACCGCGAGATGAGGGAGCCGTAGGCCGGGGCGGTCGTGAGCTCGGTACCTGCGCGAGAGAAGGGGTCAGTGCGGCGTTCTCCTTGCGGTCGCAGCGTCGCCTGCTCGTCGCTCGCTCGAGAGATGGAGGCAGAGAGGCGCACCGGTGTAGTGGTAGACGACGGCGCCGGTGATCGTGTAGAGAACGAGCTGGGCCGTCATCGAGATGCCGAGCGCCTTCGGGAAGTCTTGCGGCTTCTCCATGTCGCCGATGAACGAGGGGATGAGGGCGTGGCCGACGAAAGTATCTGTCGGGAGGTGCGGAAACGAGTCAGCCAGGGTCAAGGGGCTGGGCGACGAACGAGGGGACGCACAGACAACCTGTGGTCCGAGAGAGGGAGAGTCAGCTCGGCGCGCGCGGTAGAGGTCGCGAGACTTGGACGCACGTTCAAGACAGCGTTCATGCCTTCGACGAAGGTAGTGCCCGCAGGCGCCCAGACCGAGTGCGTGATCTGCAAGCCCTCGGTCCAGCCGGACGGGTGGTCCTGGACGCCGTGGCCGACAAGCACGAGTAAGGTGGCGACGAACCTGTCGGGACAGGGAGGTCAGTGTGCGCTCGAGGGATGAGTGGGGCAGAGGTTGAGCGTGTCGGCGACGCACCTGTCGCAGAGGCAAGGGCAGTGAGTGCTCGAACGAGAAGAGGAGAGGAGAGGACCGAGCGGCGCGACGCACATGGTGAAGGCGGCCACCAGGCCAAGCGCCGTCATCGAGCTAAAGTCGCGAATGTTGGAGCAGAACCACATGATGAGGGTGAGGCCTGCTCGAGGGACGACGAGGGGGGAGAAAAGTCAGGCTCGCTCGCGTTGAGAAGGTCAAGAGGGGGTGGACGCACCGACAGCCCACACGAGCGTGACCTCCTTGCCGTCACGGATCGTCTGAATCGCAGTAGCACCGGCGACGGCGTGCAGACCCTGCAGAGAGAGGCAGACGGGGAGCGAAAGTCAGTGAGATGGTCTGGTTCGCCCGGACCTGGGCCGGGCGAGGAACGCTTCCTCGACTGCTCGACGAGAGACACTCACCATGATGCACCAGGCATTGAGGGCGAGGGCGGAGAAGCTGCAAGATCCTCTTGGTCAGGTCGTGGGCCGGGCGAGGACGGGAGAGAGAATGCGAGGCGCACCCGATGTACCAGCCGATGCGGCGCCCACCGCAGAGCACCTGCGCGGCGTCGGCAATCTGTACGAGGGTAGGGAGAGTCAGTGACTGCTGGTCCGGACCCCGACGCCGCGCAAGGAGGAAGAGATGCTGGCTCACGTCGCGGACCTCGGGATGCGCCGCGCAGAACCTCCACAGGAGCAGGCTCGTGTAGTAGACCGAGATGCCGACGATGACCGTCGTGAGGGTGCCGCCGGCGTAGCCTGGATGCGCGGGAGACTGTCAGAGAGGAGGCGAGGAGGAGGCGAGGAGGCGAAGAGAGACCGAGGCGCACCGAGGGTCGCGAAGCTGTACGGGAAGCTGAGGATGGCGAGGACGACACTGTTGCGGAAGAGAGAGTCAGGGCGAGGCATCGGAAGCGAGAGACGGGAGAGCGGAACGCACTATTCAGTGAGGAGGAGCGCGGCCGCCTGCCACCCTGTTTGCGGCACCAAGGGTCAGTACGGGGTTGCGGTCCTCTCTGCGCAGGTGCGTGCGAGGCTAGGACGCACAGGTGAGCTGCAGGGAGGGGAGGGACAGGGTCAGCTCAATCTCGAACGAGGGAGGCGGTGCAGGGAGGGTCCGCTCGCGACGCACCTTGCGCTCCTTGATGCCGGCGACGCTCGATGCCTCGAGCCAGACCTCGGCATCGACATCGTCGGGCTTGTTGGCGAGCGTCTTCTCGCCGCCCTTGTAGGTGTGGCGGCTCAACGAGCGACGAAGGGCGAGAGGAGCCGAGCCGACCTCGGTGTTGCTCGTCCTCCTCGAGCTGTCATCCAGAGGGCCCTGCTTTTCGACGTCGAGGGTCATGCTGGGCGGGAGCGGATGGAGGTGAGAGGGGAGGCGGGAGAAACGGCGAGCTGAGCGACCAAAGCGGCCTCGAATCGTCACCGAGGGAGAGCTCGACCCGCGCGGACCGGCACTTCCGGACCCCGCTACACTTTGCGCCGTCGGTCCGGGGATTGACGTGCTCGCTCGCGCTTCTGGTCTGCGCGTCCCCGAAAAAGCTCCCGCTTGGACGCCAGACAAAGCCCTGGCAAAAGCGCGCTGGAAGCAGCGCAGCCGCTGCACCCGCTCGAGCACGGCTGCGCTCAGGCAATCTCTCGATGTCGCACATGCACCACGCGGCGCGAACGACCGCGTCGCTTGGCGTACGCGCAGAACCAGTCGTACGACGTCTCGCACGTCCGTACTTACGTCGCTCTCGCTCTCCTCTCCCTCTTTTGAGAAGGCCGAGGGTGCGAAATGCGAGACGAGGTGGCACTCGTTCCTCCCGTCGAAGCGCTGCTGCTGCTGTGGCCACTCAACGCTGAGCTTGCCAGTCCGAACCGCCCTGTCCGAAAGCGGGCGCGCCTCGTCGCCGCGAGGTCAGCCGAGCTCGCTGTGGAGGTCGAACCGCAACCCGCTTCGGCAGCCTGCGCAACGATGCTTCCGACTCAGCCTTTGAGCGCGCACCGAGGGACGAGAAAGCGCGCACAGGAGAGTCAAAGCGAGGCAGCTGCGAGAGGAACCGGGCGCGAGGAGGAGAGGCCGGGAACAACTCTCTCGGGCGCGGCCTGGACTGGTGCCCGGAGCCTGCAACAACTACGTAGAGCGTACTGCGCGCCTCGCCCGACCCAGGGGAGGCGGGAGAGCTGCGCCAACCCAGTCCTCCTCGCCGCCTGCATGCTGCTCTCGCTCGTCCCGGCTCGCAACCATGGCCAAGGCAAAGTCTCGGTGCGTCCACTCCTGTCCAGGCCCCTCTAGTAGCCTGCTGACCCACTCGCCCCGCGCAGATTGGTCGTCGTCCGCCTCCTCTCGACGTGAGTTGCTTCTCATCAGCTCCTGTCGCCCTCCCGCCCTCACAGCGGCCCAGCGGCCCCAGCCAGACGCTGTGCAGCTCCAGTACCCTTCTGACAGATCCCTGTGCACCCCGCAGCGTCGGCACGGGCTTCGCCTACATCGCTCGCCGCCCGAGGACTGCCGAGAAGAAGCTCGCCTTCATGAAGGTGCGCCCACTCTCCCAGTCCGTTCCCTGCGCCGTACACTGCCGCACCAGTATACTGACACGTCCTTGCCGCCACAGTTCGACCCCATCGGTGCGCCTCCTCCCGCTCGTCGTCCTCCCCCCGCGCGCCTCCGATCTCGAAGCTAATCCAGCCCATTCCCGCCCGCCCGCAGCCGGTCGGCATGTTCTCTTCCAGGAGGCTAAGCTCAAGGGCAGCTCGTGAGTGCGAGCGGAGCTGCGGCGTTCGAGAGAGGGAGCGCGAGGGAGGAACGATCTCGCTCGTCGGCGCGACGGCGGCAAGCGAGGGTGTAACGAGTACAGCATTCGGTCAGACTCACTGTGTGAGGCACGCAGAGAAGGAGAGACTGCGAGAGCGTGCAGCGCTGGTTGCCGTACAGACCCTACGCTCGCGCTTCGCTCGCTTTCTCGCGATTCTCGCTCTCGCGCACGCCCAGAGCGCAGTGCAAAGGGTTTGTGATTGCGAGGACACGACAAGGCAGAGATGACACAGAGAGTGATGCAGGGTAGAAAGAGAGAGAGAGGGGCGCGAGAGCAGGCCGGCGAGAGCTCCTTCTCCCCGACGACGAGCCGGAGGACGCTCAGGCGTAGTCGTTGGCGACGACGCGCGAGATGATGAGGTTCTGGATCTGCGTGCGAGAGTCGGGAGGGTCAGGAGGCTGTGCGAGAGGCGTCGGGGCGAGAGGGAGGGCCGGGCGGACCTGGGTGGTGCCTGCGGACGTTCGGGATGGTCAGTACAAGTTCCCCGACGACCCCAGGAGCTCAGAAAACGCACCTTCATAAAGTTGGAAGATCTTCGAGTCCTATTATTCGATAGCGGGATGCGCGGGGCAAGTAGGGGGGTCAGTAGGAGGTCCCGGGAGGTTCGAGGGGTCGAAGGCGGTCCCGGACGCCGCGAAGGGGCGATCTCGCTATGTCCAGCTGCCCCGACCGGTCGCGAGGAGCGCCATCGAGGCTCGCGACACCTGAGGAGGACAAGGGAGCAAGAGACGTACCCTGAAGAGCTTCTCGGCGGGGTACTCTGTTGACGACGAGGTGCAAGGCTCAGAGCTCGCTCGCCCGACACAGAGGGGGAGCACGACGACGCACCAGTGTTGTAGCCCGCACCACCAAAGATCTGGACACACTTGTCGGCGTTCGAGACGGCGACCTGCGAGGCGTAGGCCTTGGCGATCGAGGCGAGGTAGGTCGTGCGAGGGTCGTTGGCGTCCTTGGCGCACGAGGCGCGCCAGACGGCGTTGCTGGGCAGCGAGAGGAGCGTCAGGGCATGTACGGTCGGGAGCCGAGAGGGAGAGGGAGAGGGAGAGGGAGAGAGGGGAGGGAGAGGACGGACCGCGAGTTCTCGACGCCGATGGCCATCTCGGCGAGCAGGGTGCCGATCGCCTGGTGCTGGATGATGGGGGTGCCGAACGTCTTGCCTGCACATCGCAGCACGTTATGAGTACACGTTCTCGACAGGCAAGGTCGAGCGAGAGGACGCACGGTCGTGGGCGTACTTGGCCGCCTCGGCGAGGGCGCGCTGCGCGAGGCCGACGGCGCCCGAAGCGACGAGCGGGCGCGTGATGTCGAAGGCGCCCATGGCGATCTGGGACGAAGAGAGCGTGAGCGAGGGAGGGCGAGGAGGAAGAGGGAGAGGGGAGAGGAGGCGCACCTTGAAGCCGTCACCCTCCTTGCCGAGGAGGTTCTCCTTGGGGACGACGACGTTTTCTGCGACAGAGAGAGCGTCAGGACGACATTCTGCAGGCGGGACTCGGGGCGCCAGATAGAGGGAGAGAGAGAGGGACGCACCAAAGTTGATGATGCGCGTGTCCGAGCAGCGCTGGCCCATGTTGATGAGCTTGTTCTCGACGCTGCGGGACGTCGAGAGGGTAAGTCTGTCGTCGTGATGGGCAGGAAAGGCAGGGGCGAGTACAGGACGCACGTAATGCCCGGGGTGTCGGCGTCGACGATGAAGCCCGAGAGCGACTTGTGCGGCTTGCCCGCCGCGTCCGTCTTGGCGAGGACAAAGTACCACTGCGCAAGGGACCATGCAGGATGTCAGTCTCGAGTCGAGCGACGCGAGAGGGGAAAAGCTGGGCGCACGTTCGCGACGCTGCGAGGAAGGAAGGGAAGGAAGGGGACCGAGCGAGAGTCAGTTCTCGAAGCTCGCAAGTCGAGAAGGAAAGAGAGAGAGGACGTACCCGCCGTTCGTGATCCAGCACTTGCTGCCGTTGATAACGTACTTGTCGCCCTCGAGCGTCGCCTTGGTCGTAATCGACGCGACGTCGCTACCCGCGCCCGGCTCCGACACGCCTGCGCCCTCGTTCCGGCCGTCAGTGTCTCGAGTCTGGGAGGCAGAGTAGAGAGAGAACGAGGGACGTACCGTACGCGCACATGAGCGGCTCCTCGGTGAGCCGGCCGAGGTACTTGCGCTTCTGGGCGTCGTTGCCGCCGATGATGACGGGTGCCGAGGCGAGGCCGTTTGCCTCGATGGCTGCGAAGGTGGACGAGAGAAGGTCAGTTCGGGGTACGCGAGAAAGTGAGAGGACGAGGGAGAAGAGAGAGAGAGGGAGCGCACCCGTCTGAATGCCCGTGCAGCCGTACGCGAGCTCCTCCGAGACGAGCGACGACGACATGACCGAGAGGCCGGCACCGCCGTACTGCGGGAGGCATACATGCGTGAGCTTTTTGCTCCCGACGAGAACGACAAGCACCGCGTCGAACGCAGCGCTTTTCGGCGCGAGAGACACAGCGGACGCACCTCCTCCGGAACGTGGACGTTGAGCAGGCCCTCGGCGTGCGCCTTCTTGATGACCTCCCACGGGTACTGCACGAGCGAGAAGGGTCGGTACGAGCGCGAGAGGGGAGAGAAGAGGACGCGCAAGTGGCGCACCTTCATGGTGCGGTCGTGCTCTGCCGCGACCGGGATGATCTCGTTCTCCTGCGCGCGTTGCCCGACAGGGTCAGGTCGGTCGTACGGCGACATTGCCGACAAAGACGGAGGGGACGCACGGTGAACTGCCTCGCGAGCTCGCGGATCGACGCCTGCTCCTCGGTCAACTCGAACGTGGGCCCGCCGGTGTAGCCTGCGTCCGAGGCATAAGCGCGGCTGCCGGATGCGACGGCCGAAGTGGCGGTGCGCGAGAGGGTGCGCTGGGTGCGCTGGGCGATGCGGGAGAGCATGGTCGGAAGGTCGAGGCTTGTGTGGACGAGGCTGTAGGCGCGGGACAGTGAGCGCACGAACAGGGTCGAGTCGGAGCGAGAGTGAGGCACACCTGGGAGCTGCACGATGCGCAAAGGACGGCGAGGGTAGGGCAGGACGAGGAGGGTCAGCGCGTGCGCGCGTGAAAGCCAACGCAGGTCGGCGGGAGGAGGTCGCGGCGGTACTGCAAGGTGCGCCGCGCACGATGCAGAGGGGCACCGATGCTCACCGGAGAGTGCGACTCGAGCGAGCTCTGCTGGACTGAGCGGTGGGAGGACGAGCGAGCAGTGCGACCGGCTCGTGTTGCTCGAGGTGGCCGGCCACCAGCAAGTGTCTCGCACTTTGCTGCAGCGGCCGCTCGAGGCGCCTTTGCGAGTGGTGCAGCGTGTGGTAGAGCTTGTCAAGGTGACGGAGAAGCTGCTGCCACAGTCCCACGAGCTTGAGACGAGAGCTGGCCCGCGGTCGTCGCGACGAACCGCCTCTCGACCAACGTCGCTCGCTCTTCCTCGACACACCGCACCCGGGGCCATGCCGGGGCCAGGCTCGCGGCAGCAGCAGGCGTACGACGAGCTGTTCCGACGCCCTACTGCTCCCGTCCAGCCGCGCCCGCCAGCCCAGGCCACGACCCGCCCTTCGCCCGCCTCCGCCCACGGCTACGCGCACCCGCCCCAGCACCCGCACCAGGGCCAGGGCCAGCCTGCGTACCACCCGCAGCAGCACTACTACCAGCAGCAGCAGCAGCCGCAGTACGCCCCGCCCCCGCCCCAGCACCAGCAGCATGCGCACCCGCAGGCGTACGCCCAGTTCGGCATGACGACCCCGACCGCCCACCACTACGGCGGCCAGCAGACGCCCCTCGCGAGGCCCGCCACGACCTCGAGCAGCTACCGCGCGAGCGACTTTGGCGCCGCGCCGGGCGCCGGGTCCCAGTCGAGCCACCGCTCGAGCTACTTCCCCGAGCAGGCCCCTCCTCCGCCTCAGCCGCAGCCGCCGCACGCCCACTCGTACGCCCAGGGCCACCCGCACCCGAGCGCCTACTCGTCCGCCTCGTCGCAGCGCTCGTACAGCACCGCCCAGGCCTACCACCACGCGACCTACCCGTCGGCCCAGCCGGCCGCACCTTCCCCCGCACCCTCGTCGTCCTCCGTCCAGGGCTACTACCCGGCCCCGACCGACAGCGAGTTCGGCAAGCTCCCCGACGCGGCGTACCCGTCGTCGTTGGCGCGCTCGTACACGTCGCCCCGCCCGGGCTACGCCGCGAGCGCGTCGTCCGGCCCGCCGACCGCCTCGACCTCGACCTCGCTCTTCTCCCGCCCGTCGACCTCGTCCAACTCGTCCCTGCCCTACACCACCTACCCCGAGTCGACCCGCTCCAACGGCTCGACGCCCGCCTCCATCTCGTCGCCCAAACGCTCGCCCGCCGGCCCGGCCCACACCCCACTTCCGCCGACGGGCGCCGCCATCCCCGCCGTGGCCGGCTACGGCCCGCCTCGACTGCCCGAGATCCCGTCGGGCACGCACGGCGACTTCTTTGGCGGCGGGTTCGACGCGCACGACGGCGGTGGCGCCGACGTCAACTGGCCGCGGCGACAGTCGGCCGGCGGCGGGTCGCAGACGCCGACGGTCGCGTCGGCGTACGCCGCGTCGCGCAAGTCGCCGGCAATGCACTCGGAGGAGACGGACGGGTTCGACACGAGCAGCTCGGCCGTGTCGCTGTACGGTGCGTCCCAGGCCCTTTCCTTCCTTCCTCTTCTCCTTCTGTTCGGCCCGCCTGACGCACCTCTGCTGGCGCAGACTACAACCCGAGCGCGTACGACCGATCACGACGAAGCTCGGCCGACAGCGACCTGCGCTCCCTGTACCAGCCTCAAGCCGTCGAGCCGCGGCCCTACCTCCCGCTCAACCAGTCGACCGCCTCGCTCGGCTACTCGTACGGCGGCCACGCGCCGTCGTTCACGTCGGCGAGCCCGGCGCTCGGGTCTAGAAGATCGACCGAGTCGATGCGGGTCCTGCCGACGCAGCCCAAGGTGTCGCCGCTGTACCCGGCCGACCGCGCCCTGTCGTTCTCGGCGGGCGAGCGCCCCGACCTGTACCGCGGTCTCGACTCGTCGGTGGTCCCGACGCCCGTCTCGGCCTTCTCGTCGTCGCAGCCGTCGCTCGCCATGTCGGTCCGCCCCTCGTCGTACAGCTCGGTCGGCGGCGGTCAGTCGGGCTCGGGTGCCGCCGCCGGCTCGGCCCTCGTCCCGCGCCACTCGCCCGTCGTGTACCCGGCACTCCTGTCGCGCGTCGCCGCCGCCTTCCGCGAGCGCATCGCGCCGACCGAGCGCATCAAGGACGGCCTCGTGTACCAGGACGCGTTCGACGGTCGCGACGCCGTCGACCGCATCGCCTACATCATCAAGACGTCGGACCGCAACCTGGCCCTCCTCCTCGGCCGGGCCCTCGACGCGCAAAAGTTCTTCCACGACGTGACGTACGCGCACCGGTTGCGCGACTCGCCCAACGAGATCTACCAGTTCAAGGCGCGCCTCGCAAGCTCGTTCCAGCTCAGCTCGGACGACCTCGTCCCGGGCGACCAGCAGCGCGTCGCGCAGCACCCGCACGCGCCGCACTCGGCGGCCGCCCTCGCCCAGGCGGTCGGCGTCGCCCAGGCCCACGCGCGCCAGCCCGGCTCGAGCGCCGGCGCGTCGCCGTACGACGCGAGGCGGTCATCGGCCGCGACGACGCAGACGGTGGCCGGGACGGGCATGGGCGGCGACGGCGCCGACGAGGACGACTCGCCGTTGCCGAGCGGCGTCTTCACCCTCTTGACCGACTGCTACTCGCCGACCTGCACGCGCGACCGCCTGTGCTACTCGATCGCGTGCCCGAGGCGACTCGAGCAGCAGGCGAGGCTCAACCTCAAGCGCGAGGGCCTGAGCGGCGGCCTCGAGGACGTCGGCAAGCTCAAGCGCAGCGCATCGCTCGACAGCTTGGTTGAGCTCAGGGTGCGTCCTCCTCTCCCTCTCCTCTGTCCGTGCCTCTCTCTCGTAGAGTGCGCCGTACTGACTTGCTCCGGCGACGCGTGCGCAGGAGCCCGGCTCGCTGTGGATCCACTCGGTGCCGCAGGAGGTCATCGACGCGACGAGCGACTCGGAGAAGAAGCGCCAGGAGTGCATCAACGAGGTCTTCTACACCGAGCGCGACTTTGTGCGCGACCTCGAGTACCTGCGCGACGTGCGTCCTCGTCTATCTCGCTCCTCCTCCTCGTCGTCGTCGTCGTCGTCGTCACCCGAGGCCCGAGCGCTCACTCTCCTTCCCCTCCCGGCGCACACAGTTCTGGATCAAGCCTCTGCGGTCGTCCAACATCATCCCTGAGGCGCGACGAGAAGACTTTGTCACGCAGGTCTTCTGGAACGTGCTCGAGATCTACGCCGTCAACGTGCGCCTCGTCGACCTGCTCAACAAGCGCGCCAAGCAGGCCCACGTCGTCGACCACATCGGCGACATCTTCCTCGACTTTGTGCCGCACTTTGCGCCTTACGTCAAGTATGGCGCGCACCAGCTGTACGGCAAGTACGAGTTCGAGAAGGAGAAGGGCAGCAACCCGGCGTTCGCCAAGTTTGTCGACGTGCGTCCGCCTCTCCCCCTCTGTCCTCCTCCTCCTTCCCGTCCTCGTTCAGGCCCCGGACTGACATGCTCCTCCTGCCGCAGGAAACCGAGCGCCTGCCCGAGTCGCGCAAGCTCGAGCTCAACGGCTACCTGACCAAGCCGACGACGCGCCTCGCCCGGTACCCGCTCCTCCTCGAGGCGACGCTCAAGCAGACGGCCGACGACAACCCGGACAAGGTCGCCATCCCCAAGGTCATCAAGCTCATCCGCGAGTTCCTCGCCAAGGTCAACGTCGAGACGGGCAAGAGCGAGAACCGGTTCAACCTCGCGCAGCTCGACCAGCAGCTCGTCTTCAAAAACGGCGAGGCTGTCGTACGTCCCCTCGTTCCCTCTTGCTCTTCATGAGAGACGGCCCTGACGCAGATGCGCCCGACGCAGGACCTGCGACTGCGCGACGAGGAGCGCGAGCTCATCTTCAAGGGCCCGCTCAAGAAGCGCGGCGGGACCCAGAGCGAGAGCGCCGAGCTCCAGGTCTTCCTGTTCGACCACGCCATCCTCATGGTCAAGCAGAAGAGCAAGAACGAGCAGTACAAGGTCTACCGCAAGGTGCGCCCCCACCCCTTTTCTCTCCATCGCCCTCTCTCGCCTCGAGCCCGACCTGACGCAGCTTCCCCTCCTGCAGCCCATCCCGCTCGAACTTCTCGTCGTCGCACCTGTCGACGATGCCGCAACAGCACGAGGCGGCGTCGTTCGCCCTCGCTCGCTCATGGCGCGCGGCTCGTCGGGCAAGTCGGTCTCGGCGAGCGCGTCCTTGCCACCGCCCGGCGCCGACAAGAACAAGCAGGGCTTCGCTGTCACGTTCATCCACCTCGGCCGACGAGGGTACCAGATCACGCTGTGGGCGTCGACGTGGACGACGCGCAAGAAGTGGCTCGACAAGATCGAGGAGCGCCAGAACGAGTTGCGCGAGCGCAGCCTCGTCTTCGAGACGCTGCCGCTCAGTGCGGGCTACTTTGTCGGCACGAACCGCCTCACCTGCGCGGCGCCTTTCGGTGCGTCCACGGTCCCCCTTTTCCCCCTCGTCGAGCTCGAGAGAGAGAGGGCGCCAGGACTGACCTCGCTCCCCTCCCTCTTCCTCGCAGACCACGGCAACCGCATGGTGTACGGCACCGACAACGGCGTCTACCTGTCGGACCTGCGCGACAAGAACAAGGTGCCGGTCAAGGTCATCTCGGTCCCGAGCGTGACGCAGGTCGACGTGCTCGAGGAGCAGGGCATCCTCATCGTCCTCGCCGACAAGGCCGTCCAGACCTTCTTTGTCGACCACCTCGACCCGGGCGACGCCGTCGGCGCCGCCAAGCGCGCGCGCAAGATCTCGGCCAACGCGACCTTCTTCAAGGCCGGCCAGTGCCTCGGCCGCACGCTCGTGTGCGTCGTCAAGAGCGGGAGCGTGTCGAGCACGATCAAGACGCTCGAGCCGGTCGACGTGCCCCGGGGCAAGAAGCAGCCGGCGATCCGCAAGTTCCTGCAGGGGAGCAACGAGAGCTTGCGTGTCTTCAAGGTGCGCATCCTCCTCCTCCTTCTCTCTACCCTCGACCCGCTCGCGGTCACCTCACCGACCCTATTGGCCTCGAGCAGGAGTTCTACATCCCGACCGAGTCGTCGTCGGTGCACTTCCTCAAGTCGAAACTCTGCGTCGGCTGCACCAAAGGGTTCGAGATTGTCGACCTCGAGACGCTCGACACGCAAGGCCTCCTCGACCCGGCCGACTCAAGCCTCGACTTTGTCCAGAAGCGCGAGAACGCCAAGCCGATCGCCATCTACCGCATCGACGGCGACTTTCTCCTGTGCTACGACGGTGCGTCCTCCTCGTTTCCTCCTCGACCTCTCTCTCGCATGGCCCCTGACGCCCCTCGCCGGCCCTGCAGAGTTTGCCTTCTACGTCAACAAGAACGGCTGGCGCGCAAAGTCGAACTGGATCATCCAGTGGGAGGGGTTCCCGACGTCTTTCGGTGCGTCCTCTCTCGCTCTCTCTCTCTCTCTCTCGTCGACCTCGACTGACTCGTCCGCCTCGCAGCGCTGCACTACCCTTATGTGCTCGCATTCGAACCGACCTTTATCGAGGTGCGGCACGTCGAGTCGGGCTCGCTCATGCAGATCATCCCGGGCAACAACATCAAGTGCCTCTTTGCCGACTCGCCGCCGTCGGCGTCGAGCTCGGCCGCGTCGTACCACCAGTCGGGCTCGCTCTCGTCGCGGTACGGCTCGCCGTACGGTCGCCCGTCACCGCCGCCGCCGTCGCAGGCCGGGTCCCGCAACGGCATCATCGTCGCCGACGGCGACCGCGCCTTCAGCCTCTGTTTCAACGCGCCCATCGGGGGCGACTTGTAGCCGGTCTTCGAGTCGCAGCCCCTCCCCTCTACTTGCCATCGCTAGTCTTTCTCAGGCGACACGTCGGCTCGGGTTTGGCGCGGCGAGACGAGCGAGGCCGAGAGGAGAGGCCATGGCGAGCACCGCTCCCGTTCTCGCTGCTGCAGCTCGGCTCTCGGCAGTGGAACGTGTGCAAGTCGAGAGCCCCAGGTCACACCCTGCACGAGAGCGAGAGCGAGCGAGTTTGGCACCTCCCGACTGGAGTCGCCGTGCGGAGAGGTCGCTTGCTCCCTCGCCCTCTTCAGCCCGCGAGCCGACCGCGGTCATGGCCAGCCTCATCCAGCTCATCCGACAACGTGCGTCCACCCTCTTCCTGTCCCGCCCCGTCCCCTGTGTCCTCGCGCTCACCGTCCGCTCCACATCTCGGCTGCCCGCACCTCTCGCAGGCTACCTCGACACGATCCGGGCCGTGCCTGCGCGATGGAAGGTCCTCGTCGTCGACCAGCACACCCAGCACATGCTCCAGTCGGTCCTGTCGACGTACGACGTTCTCGAGGAGGGGATTCAGCGTGCGTCGCGTCACTCGTCCGCCTTCCCTTTCCTCTCCCTCGCTGGCCCGAGCAGGCCGACGAGAGAGCGCAACGGGTAGTTCTGCGACCTGAGCAACGCTGACCATGTGTTTGCCTCCCTGCAGAGGTCGACCTCATCACCTCGCACCGCCAGCCTCAGCCTCGACTCGCCGCCGTCTACCTCCTCATGCCAACGACGCAGAACGTCGACCTCGTACTGCGTGACCACAACCCGACACCGCCACCTGCGCCTGGCAAGAGCTCGAAGAAGCAGGCTCCCGGACCTCAAGAGCCACCTCGGTACGCGGCGGCCTACGTCAACTTCATGGAGGGTGCGTCCCCTTCTCTCTTTCGCCCTCGGTGAGCGTGTCCTTACGCTCAGGCCTTTGTCGCAGGCATCAACGACGCGCTCGTCGGGCGACTGACCGACAGCCTGCCCGAGGAGTACCTCCAGGGCCTCAAGGAGCTGTACATCAACTTTCACGGTGCGCCCTCGCTCTCCTCCTCACGCCTTCCCTCTCACGACGCGATCTGACATGCCTCATCCGCGCAGCTCTCGAGCCAAGGGTGTTCTCGCTCCGCACGCCGCACAACTTCCAGACCCTGTACGGCCCGCCGGATCAGCAGCCCGACCACGCCATCGCTCGGTGGGAGGACGACATTGGCTGGATGTCTCGCTCTGTGCGTCCCTCTCGACCTCAGTCAGTTGGCGAGGACGATCCTGACCGAGCTCGAGCGGCCCGCAGATCGTCAACGTCCTCGCGACGCTCGGCGAGTACCCGCTCATCCGGTACTACCACCCTCCCTCTGGCTTCCACCACATCCTCGGCCCTGGTGCGACCGTCGGCGAGCCCATAGGGAAACGTCTCGCAGACCGAGTGCAGGCCGAGATCGACGCCTACGCTCGGGACAACAGCAACTTTCCGGTCCGTCCTCGTCCCCCTTCTTCCTCCCTCCCTTTCGAGACTGACGCTGCGCCGATCGCAGCCCGTCTCGGACCCGCCACGACCACGCGGTGTGCTCTTCATCACGGACCGCTCGATGGACCTCAACGCGCCGTTCCTGCACGAGTTTACGTACCAGGCCATGTGCAACGACCTGCTCGACGTCCAGGACGGGCAGCGGTACCGGTGCGCCCCCATCTCTCTCCTTCCTCTTCCTTCCTCTCGAGTGGGACCTGACGCGCCCAACCCGCCGCAGCTACATCTTCACGAACGAGCAGGGGCAGGAGGAGGAGCGCGAGGCGGTCCTCTCGGACGACGACAAGGTGTGGTGCGAGGTGCGGCACATGCACATGAAGGACGCGCTCGACAAGCTCATCGCCGACTTCCGGTCGTACGCTGGCGAGCACGGCGGGACCTACGGCGGGACGAGGTGCGTCTCTCCCTTTCCCTCTTCGCTCGAGCCCCTTCTGCGGAGGACAGCGACTGACCTCACCCCTCTCATCTCGCAGCACGAGCATCAACGACATGAAGGACATGCTCGCGAGCCTGCCGCAGATGCGCGAGGTCAAGGAGAAGGTGCGTCCCTCTCGCTCTCGCACCCCCCCCCATCTCAAACCGGAACCCGAACTCACTCTCGATCTCTTCCCCACAGCTTTCGCTCCACCTCACGATGGCCGAGAAGTGCATGACGCTGTTCGACAAGAAGAAGCTGCCGGCGAGCGCCAACGTGGAGCAGGTGCGCCCACCTCGCCTCGATTGAGAAGGCCGAGCAGGTCGACCACGTATTGACACTCTCGCGCGTTCTGCAGTGCTGCGCAACGGGCGTGACGCCCGAGGGCAAGACGCCCAAGACGCTCGTCGAGGAGATGGTGCCGTTGCTGAGCGATCGTTCCGTCAGGTGCGCCCGCCCTCGTCCCTCCCTCCGTCTCTCCTTCCCTGCGTCGTCGAGCTCACCCTCGCGCCTTCGTACACCTCTAGCTCGACCGACAAGCTGCGCATCATCGCCCTGTACATCATGCACCGCGACGGCGTACCCGAGGGCGACAAGAAGCGCCTGTATCAGCATGCTCGGCTCGCCCTGCACGAGATGGACGCCATCGACAACCTCAAGCACCTCGGCGTCAATGTCGACAAGGTCCGCTCCACTTCCTCTCCCTCGTCCGCACTCGCCCCCGTCGTGTGACTGACGCTCATCGTCGTCGCCTTGCAGGACTCGGGCAAGAAGCGCAAGGCCCTGTTCAAGCAGCGCGAGGAGGACGACTCGTACGACATCTCGCGGTACCAGCCTCAGCTGCGGTACATGCTCGAGGAGCACTTTGCGGGCAAGCTCGACCACTCGATCTTCCCGTACGTCCGCGACGCGCCGGTCGGCTCGTCGTCGACCCTGTCGCGCTCGTCCGCCTCGCCTGCGGCCAACGCGCCGCCGTCGACGGGCTCGCTTCGGAGCGCACGGCCGCAGTGGACGAGCCAGAAGGCCAAGCGGGCCGTCGACGCGCCCAAGCAGCGCGTGCTCGTCTTTGTCGCCGGCGGCGCCACCTTTTCCGAGGTGCGCAGCGTGTACAAGCTGTCCGAGGCGGCGCAGAAGGACATCTTTCTCGGCACGACGCACCTCGTCACGCCGCACCAGTTCGTCGCCGACTTGTCGAGCCTCGAGCGCGGCGGCTCGGCCCACACCGACAAGGGCTTTGCGCCCAACAAGGGCAAGCCGTTGCCGCCTCGAGCGCCGGGCATCCCGCAGGAGGCGCTCGACCGGCGGTACTACGTCAAGGTCGTCGCGCCGCCACCGCCCGTCGCCGCTGCACCGCCGCAGGCTGCGCCCGAGGCGAGCCGGCGCCCGTCGTCGATCGCGTCGAGCCTGACGGGCCGCGCACCGTCGTCGCAGGGCTTGACGCCGACGGCGAGTGCGAGTTCGGCCCCAACGAGCGCGAACGGGAGCCCGAGCAGCGGTGGGGCGAGCGCGAGCGGCGGCAAGATTAAGAAGAAGGGGTTCCTGCGCAAGCTCATCTGAGGCCATTCGTCCTTCTATCCCTGCAACTGCCGTCACAGTCTATTCTGCGATCGCTTGTTGAGAGTCCTGCAGAGACCGAGAGAGTCGAGCGAGCGCCTCAAGAGTTGCCCTCGAGCAAGAGCAGACTTGGCTTCGACAGCTCGTCCAACCTCGACACCTCGCCTCTCGCCCTGCTGCCTGACGCGGGCGTTCTCGCGCGTCAAAGCGCGCAACGTGCCGAGCTCGCGCATTGCAACACGCGCTCGAGCGACCCACGCCGGCCCGCCTGCCCTCGACCAACTTCGCCGTCTCATCTATCTTTCGGTCCACCCCCGCCGCACCACCCGCAACGGCGCAGCAACTTTGCCGAGACCGCCCTAGATGGTGGCAGCACCCGTACAGCACCCGTCGAGGTCGCCTCAGCAGATGGTGGGCAGCTCGAGAGGGCCGGGCGACGAGCTCGAGGTGGGGACGAGTCGGCGCAACGGGCAGGACCAAGGGCCAGGACGCAAGGTGAGCACCCGCCACTTTCAGAACACTGCTCATGGTGGTGGTGCACAGGCGCTCACCCGCTCCCGAACCGCAGCGCACCGTCGTCGACCTCACCCTCACCGACTCGGACGACGATGACCACCGCCGCGACCACGACGAGGGCTCCGACTTCGAGACGCTCGTCAAGGCGTCGCCTGTGTTGGCGCGCAAGCCCCCGCTCAAGGCCGTCCTCGTCCGCCGCTCGCCCGCTCAAGTTCCTCGGACCGGCCCCGCCTCGCTCTCGCCATACCCGAACCCTCTACCGCTCCTGCGCCCCGCCATCGAGGAGTTCGACACGCCCATCCGCAAGCGCGCCCACTCGACCGAAACGCCCGCCGCTCAGAAGCGAGTGCGCGGGCCCGACTCGAGCGTCGACGAGCAGCCCCGAGGTCACGACTCGCCTGCGCACCCGCCGTCGCCGCCGCTCATGCCGACCGTCACTCGATCTGTCGACACGTCGTCCGAGCCCACCGTCAAGGTGCGCTCGTCGCGCTCTCTCTCTCTCTGCGTCGTCGAGCAGGAGGTTTACGGAACTGACGACCGACGCACAGATCCACGCCGAGGTGTCTACGTCTGCTCCTCAAGAAGCACGAGTCGATCAAGATGGCAAAGCTGTCGTGACGAGCGGCGAGTCGGCTGCGCAGCAGAGCGCGGCTGGCGCGCTCTCGGGCGCCGTCATTGGACCAGTACTCGCGGCCGCCCCAGGCGCGTCCAAACCTGCGCCCAACGGTGTCTCGCACCTTGCCGAGGTTGACAACCCCATGGTCCGTCCCCTCCATCTTCGGTCTTGCCCGTCCTTACCCTGTGCGCTGACTCGCTGTCCTCCACAGGCGCCGCCGCCCGTCCCGAACCCTGCGCCCTCGCCTACCCGCTCCCGCAACACCCACACCTCCTCGTCTCACCGCCGGCGAGTAGAGCAACAGCTCCTTGCCGACCGGCATACCTGTCGACGCCCGCCGACCCCTCCCTCCCTGCCCAAGTTCGTCAACCCGACTTGCCTCGCCGACATTGTCTCGTACACGCCCTCTCTCCCCGTCATCCTCCCGCACGTTCGCTTCGACCCTTCGAGCAGGGCGCGCTCGTCGGAGCCCGCAGGCAGCCCCGAGCTGGGCATCGCGCGCGCGTCCTCGACGACCTCGAGCGCGAGCATCATCCTCGCCGCCAACGTCTCGCCTCGTCGTCGAGAGCGTACGACCGGGTTCGTCGAGTCGTCGGAGGACTACTGGGCGCACGTCATCCCCGACCTGCCCGACTGCCCGCACGTCGGCGACGACATCGCCTTCCTCGACCCGGTGCGGGACGAGCGGCGGTACCGCCCCGGCCTCGAGCCGAGCGCGCTCCCGTTGCGCGACGTCCCCGTCGAGCTCTGGGCTCGCGAGCTCGCGAGCCCGGTCGTGGTCGGCGTCGAGGCGAGTGCGGCGCTCATGCGCGCGGCCAAGGTGCCCGACGCGTGGGGGAGCGAGGCGGCGAGCGAGCTGGCGCAGAGGGAGCACGACGCGAGGCGGGCCGCACGACGAGCGAGACGAGAGAGACGGGCGGCACGACGGGCGGCGACGAGTGACGCGAGCGGCAGCGACGCCGAGGGCCGGGACGGGAACGAGCGGCGGCGAGGCGTCGACCGCGCGAGCCTGCACCGCGAGACCGAGACCGGGCTCCAGGAGCGCCTGCGACGGCTCGACCTCGTCCTGCAGCTCGACGAACCGGGCTCGGCGACCGACTCGGGCGCCTCGTCGTCGACGGGCTCGAGCGGCGACGGCGACGACGACGACGACGACGACGACGACGCGCCCGGCCTTACGGGCGGGAGAGGCGCTCGAACTCGAGCTACGGCATCTAACGTACTAAGCTCTCATGGCTAACGTACTAAGCTCTCATGTTTCACGTACTAAGCTCTCATGTTTGAACAATAAAATGAAGGCCCCTCGACGAGTCGACGGACGAAGAGGGCGGGTGACGGGTGCGTGGGCAGGGCAGGGCGCGGGACTCGAGCTAGTCGAGGAGGATTCATTCTTGTCTGCAACTCGCTGTGCCGCGACTAGAGCAAAGGCGACCGAGAGAGGCTCGAGCCCGAGAGCTTGCGCTTCCCTTTCCGCTCTCGCTCCTTCTGTGGGTTGCACGAGACACGCAGGCTCTCTCGCTCATCATCTCTGCTCACTCAAAGGGCTGGCAGACGAATTCGATTGCACGCCTCGCCGCCAGTCGCTCGCTCGCACTCAGTAGCGCATCTTGCTCTCGAGTCGGACGCCGAGTTTGTCGCTCACCTCGATGCCGAGGCGCTGGCTCTTCTCCTTGACGATGCGCTCGGTCTGGAGGCGGCGCAGCTCCTCGAGGCGGCCCTGGTCCATGAGCTGGTCGGCGGCGCTGTTGGCCTTGGTCGTCGCCGCGCGCCGGTACGAGGCGCGTGCGGCTGCGAGCGTGGGAGGGCGCAAAGCGTCAGGATCCGCGGTCTCATGCGCAGCGCGTCGTGCCCTCTCGAAGCGAGGGGCCACGTCGCGCCGAGAGAGGGAGAGCGAGACCGCCGACGCACATTCCTCGTCCTTGCGCCAGTCGTACGCGTCGCTCTTCTCGACCGTCTCGCCCATGCGCACCGCCGCCATCTGCTTCTCCCACTTGCCGATGTCGTAGTACTTGTCGTGCGGGAGCGTGCACGTGTTGTAGTCCTGCAGCGGCGAGGGCGAAGAGGCCGGGACAAAGAGGCTCAGGGTGCGCTCCTTCGGCTCGTCCTCCCGACCCACCGCCTGGTTCACGACATCTATGGGGGGAAAGGAGGGATGTCGAGACGCACCTCCATGAACTGCAAAAAGATCTCCTTCTCCTTGGCCTTGGAGAGCGTCTCGGGGTTGATCGTCTTCTCGCCGATGAGCCAGGCGTGGAACTCGTCGGCCTTGTTGTACCGGTCGGCCTCGGTCAGGATGCCGTGCGCGCCCCAGTTGACCGTCTGGAGGCCCTTCTTGGCGCGCTTCTTCTCCTCGCGCTGCGGGCGGGGCGAGAGGGAGGTGAGCCGGCACAGTTCGACGAGCTGTCCCACCCAGAGAGAGAGAAAGAGAGAGCGGTGGACGCACCTTTGCCCTGCGCTCCTTCTTCTCCTCGCGCCTGCGCCTGCGCTCCTTGTCGTCCCTGTCCCTCGGCGACCGCGAGCGAGACCTCCTCCTGCGACTGCTGCGGTGCCGCCTCTCGCCATGGCGGTCGCGCGACCTCGAGCGGGACCTGGAGCGGTCGGTGTCGGAGCCCGAGGGGCTGGGCGAGCGCGTGCGGCGCCGCGAGGAGTGGTGGTGGTGGCGCGACGAGCGGTCGTCGTCGTCGCGGTCCTTGCGGCGAGAGGGCGAACGAGAGCGGTCGCGGGCGGTGCGAGACCTGCTGGTGCTGCGGTCGCGGTCCTTGGCCCGGTCGCGGTCGTCGCGGTCGCGCCTGGACGAGCGGTGGTGGTCGCGGTCGCGCTCATCAGGATGGGGGCGCGAGGAGGACGAGGGGCCGTCGCGCGGGTCCGGCCGGCGGTGCTCGTTGCGCGAGGACGAGTGGTGGGAGCGCTGCGAGTGGCCGTCTGGGCTCGGCGAGCGCGCCATGGTCGTCGTGAGCTCCGAGGACGAGAGCCTCGAGCGAGCCGACGTGAGACGAGGCTGCACCGCTTGACCCGCTACACTTGCATCAGGCTCAAGCACGCCCAAGAGCTTCCACTTGCACCGACCGACGCCTGCGTCCTCGTCCCGCACCGCTGCGCGCTGTCCTCGCCTCGTGAGTCTCTCTGTCCCCCACCTTGGAGGGTTCGTCCTCGCGCTCCTCGTCTCGCCTCGGCCGCGAGGGCGTTCAAGCTCGCGCAGCCACACTGGACTCTGCTCAGTCAGCCGGTCGTGTCAGATGCGAGCCCTGAGCTGACTCCCTCTCGTCGTGCACGCCCCCTCCTCTCGCAGCTCTTCTACCTCTCGCCCTGCCGTCAACGCTCCACACATGGTCCGTCCTTCTGTCGACCGTCGACAGCGAGCCATACTGACACTCGAGGCCGCGCAGACGTCCCTGCCCAAGATCTCGCACGTCCTCGAGCTGTGTCTCTGTGCGTCGCTTCGCCTCCCTCTCCCTTCCTCCTCGCGCTCTCGTCGTGGCGCCGGGAGTTGACCCGCACGCCGAGCAGACGCCCGTCACCTTCCCACCTCGGTCGCCTTCTACTCGAACACGCTGCGCCTCGGCACGCCGTACCTGTCCAACTCGAGGATGGCCGGCTTCTCGCTCGGCCACACGACCCTCCTCCTCTTCCAGCGCGGCCTCACCTCGTCCGACAGCGTGCTCCCCTCGGGCAGCGTCATCCCGGGGCACGGCCCACCAGGCATCGACGACCCGCCGGCGCTCAAGACGCACTTTGCGCTCGCCGTCGACCGGCCGGACGACGTCGACGCGTGGGGCGACGAGCTCGAGCGCGGCGGCGTCGAGGTGACGGGCCGCGTCACGTGGCCCGCGGGAGGCAAGAGCGTTTACTTTGCCGACCCGGACGGGCACGTGGGAGAGATTGCGAGCCGAGGGATCTGGCCGCACTACTGAGTCCCTAGCTCTCGCGACGGCCTTGCGCAATGGACATCTCGCTTTCACTCTCGGGACCGCTCGAGAGAGAGACTCGCATGGCGGCGCAACTCTATCGGCGTTGCGCACTCGAGAGAAAACCCCTCCTCCGCTCGTCTCGCCGCAGCACGCTCGAGCCCCTCACACCTCGAGCAGCATCTCGTCCTCGTCCTCCTCGGGCTGCATCCGGCTCAGCGGCACATTGTTGTGCACGAACGGCTGGTCGTCGCCCGTCCCGAGCGCGGGCGCGCCCGGCTGAGCGCCCCTCGGGCCCTCGACCGGCGCGCTCACCGTCTCGCCCGACGCGCCGACGAAAGACGTGCCCGTGCCAGACGGGGCCGAGGGCGTGTCGGCGGTCCACGAGGGCGCGGGCGGGAGCGCGTCCGAGGGCGTGGGCGCGTCGAGCTCCTCGACCGCCGTGTCGAGACCCTCGTCGCGCATGAGGAGGTTGACGAGCCGGACCATTGGCTCCTTGACCTGCGTGCGCAAGTACGAGGACGAGAGTCAGTCATGATCGAGAGGGGAGACCGGCGCAGGAAAGAGAGCCAGAGAGAGAAGGCCAGGACGCACCGACGGGACCGCCTCCTTGGCGTGCGCCTCCTTGATGACCGGGTACACGCCGCGCTTGCGCATCGACTCGCGGTTGTGCCTGCCCGTCGCGAGCAGGACGAGCGTCTCGACGAGGATGGTGCGGATCTGGGCGTCGGGCTCGCGCTCCTTCGTGGTCGGCAGGAGCTGCAGCTCGGCGGGGAGCTCGTCGAGGACCTGGTGGCGGGGAGCAAAGGTCAGGGGCTGCAAGGACGAGACGAGAAAGAGACACGAAAGGGAGAGAGGGGGCGCACGTCGATGTCGAACTCCTCGTTGCCGCACAAGGGGAGGAGGAGCTGCACGAGGAGGTCGATGCAGCCCTCCTCGGCCGGCCCGTCGTTGGACGAGGCTACGAGGCGCGTGTGCCCGGCCTTCTCGAACGCCGCGTTCCTGCAAGAGGCCTCCAAAAGTCAGGGCTCTGGGCAAGGGCAGTCGACGAAAGGCTAGAGGAAGAGAGGGAAGGGGCGCGAGCGCACTTGATAGTGGACGCGACGCCGCCCCGCCGGATCGTGGACGGGTGCTCGGTGAACGAGATGAGCTTGGCCAGTGGCGGCTCGATCGTGCGGTCAGGCGTCGCGAGGAGGAAGGCACGGCCTTGAGGCAGCTGCGGGGCGACCAAGAAGCGAGGGTCAGGCTAGACTCGAGGGAGATACAGAGAGGGAAAGGCGACGCACGAGCGAGACGTTGGCAAAGACGGACGCGAGAAAGTCGTAGTTGGCGTTCGGGTTGTACTTCTTGCCCTCGCCCTTGAGGAACACCTCGAGGAGCAAGTCGAGCGCCGCAATCTCCTCGGTCGCCGTCTCGAGCTTGGCCATCTTGGCCGCCGGCGCGTCCTCGTGCACGTTGTCGTCGGAGGCGCCCTCGGGCGCGGGTGACGGCTCGGACGTGACGATGGTGAACGGGACGCGGAGGGCGAGGATCTGGCGCGCGACGGCGTCGAGCTTGCTCATGTTGGACAGGAGCATGCACGCGAGGTCGGCGAGGAGCGCCTTCTCGTCCTGCGAGTGCGGGTGCGCCGGGTGCAGGTGAGTGAGGGCACGTAGGCGACGAGAGGGGGGGGGAAGCGAGAGGGGACGCACGATGATCATGCGGACAAGGCCCGTGACGAAGCCCGGGAGCTTGTGGAGGCGCAGGACGACGTCGAGCGTGCTCGAAAGGTTGATGAGGGCCGAGAGGGCATCGTGGGCGATGATCTGTGCGCGGTGAGGGGAGAGAACGGAAGGGGAGCCGAGAGGAGGATCAGGTCGGTGGATCCGGGTGAGGGCGAGGGCGTGCTCGCTCTGGTCGTGCACGCGCGACGACCGCAGAGGATGGAGCGAAGGAGAGAAGGGTGGACGCACCTCCTGGTCGGCGCACATGGTCGCGAGTTGCTCGACATGGTGTTCGCGGAGGAAGAGCTTGCGCTCTGGTGCGTCAGGGGCGGTGTAAGGCCTGTTGCGCGGGTGCAAGGTGAGCACTGGTGGACTGAGTAGCGGGCAAGCTGTCGAGGACAGCGAGGGTGGAGCAGGCGAGAGCGAGAGTGAGCTTACAGGAGCGAGGCGAGGGCGATGCGGCGAACTGGGGCCTGCGGGTCCTGGAGGAACTGGAACAGCTCGAGGAGCTGCTGGGTGGTCTGTGTTGCGGCCATGGGCGTGGCCGGTGCTGTGGGTCGAGTGGTGCGAGGACGAACTGATGAAGTCGAACCTGCTCCTCAAAGGTTGCCCCGCTCCCTCGCCCTCTCTCCTCCTGTCCTGCACCTCTGCTCCCGCTAGCCACCCATCCAGAGCTCCTACCATGGCCTTCGACCAGCAGCCCGTCGCCCTCCTCAGCGTCTACGACAAGCAGGGCCTCCTCCCCTTCGCCCAGGGCCTCGTCGACCAGGGCGTCCGCCTCCTCGGCTCCGGCGGCACCGCAAAGGCCATCCGCAACGCCGGCATGACCATCGACGACGTCTCTGACATCACCAAGTACCCCGAGATGCTCGGCGGCCGCGTAAAGACCCTCCACCCGGCAGTCCACGGCGGTCCGTCCTCTCCTCCCCCTCCTCTCGTCCCTCACCAGCCCCAACTGGCTCGACCTCGGCTTCCTTCCTGCACACACTGACCCTTCCACCAACAGGCATCCTCGCCCGCAACATCCCGTCCGACGCCGCCGACCTCGACGCACAGAAGATTGCCCCCATCGCCGTCGTCGTCTGCAACCTGTACCCGTTCAACGAGACGATCGCCCGCATCCCGCCGCCCTCGATCCCCGAGGCCGTCGAGGAGGTCGACATTGGCGGCGTCACCCTCCTCCGTGCCGCGGCCAAGAACCACGACCGCGTCGTCATCCTGTCCGACCCCAAGGACTACGACGAGTTCCTCGCCCAGTACAAGGCCGGCAACGGCTCCGTTTCGGACGAGTTCAAGCAGCGCATGGCCGTCAAGGTGCGCACCCTGTCTCTGTCCAGGTCGAGCGGGACGAGCGGCCTCAACTAACCCGCTCGTTCTCCCACCCCGCAGGCCTTTTCGCAGACGGCCGCCTACGACACGTCGATCGGCAACTACTTCCGCCGCCAGTACGTGTCGGCCGACGCGATCGGCGCCGCCCCGGCCGACCACAAGGCGGCCCTCACCGAGCACGCCCAGCAGCTCACGCTCCGGTACGGCGCCAACCCGCACCAGAAGCCCGCCCAGGCCTACGTCACCGAGGGCAAGCTCCCCTTCTCGGTCCTGAGCGGCTCGCCGGGCTACATCAACCTCCTCGACGCCCTCAACTCGTACGCGCTCGTGCACGAGCTCAGCCGCGCGTTCGAGCCCGCAAAGGCCGCCGCCGCGTCGTTCAAGCACGTGTCGCCCGCCGGCGCTGCCGTCGAGAGCACCCTCTCGGCCGACGAGGTCAAGGTGTTCGACGTCGACGGCGTCGACCTCACGCCCGTCGCCTCGGCCTACGCTCGTGCCCGCGGTCCGTCCTCCTCCCCTTTTCTCCTCTGCGCCCGATGTTCCCTTCCTCGAGCCCTCCCTGACCAAGCTCTCGCCGCTCTCCCGCAGGCGCCGACCGCATGTCGTCGTTCGGCGACTTTATCGCCCTGTCGCACACGTGCGACGTCGCGACGGCCAAGATCATCTCGCGCGAGGTGTCGGACGGCATCATCGCGCCCGGGTACGAGCCCGAGGCGCTCGACATCCTGCGCAAGAAGAAGGGAGGCAAGTACTGCGTCCTCCAGGTGCGTCCTCGTCTCTCTCTCTCTGTCTCTCTTCCTCTCCCTTTCTCGAGCGCGTCCTGACGACCCTCGTTGCCCGCAGATGGACCCGTCGTTCAACCCGAGCTTGATCGAGACGCGCCAGGTGTACGGCATCACGCTCGAGCAGCGCCGCAACGACGCCAAGATCGACGCCAGCATCTTCTCCAACATCGTCTCGAAGAACAAGGACGTGCGTCCTCGCTCCCCCTCTCTCCTCTCGCCGCCATCGTCGATCTCACCTTCTCCTCGATGCCGCACACAGCTGTCGCCGCAGGCCCTGACCGACCTGATCGTCGCGACGACGGCGCTCAAGTACACCCAGTCCAACTCGGTCTGCTACGCGTACAACGGCGGCACGGTCGGCCTCGGTGCGGGCCAGCAGTCGCGCATCCACTGCACGCGCCTCGCCGGGTCCAAGGCCGACGCCTGGTGGCTGCGCCACCACCCGCGCGTGCTCGACTTCAAGTGGCGCAAGGGCATCAAGCGCGCCGACCGCGCCAACGGCACCGACGTGTTCGTCACGGGCGAGATCTTTGACGCCGAGCCCGCCGGCTCGGAGCGTAAGGAGTGGGAGGCCCTGTTCGCCGAGGGCGAGGTGCCGAGCCCGTTGACGGCCGACGAGAAGAAGAAGTGGTTCGACGAGATCAAGGGCAAGGTGTCGCTCGCGAGCGACGCCTTCTTCCCGTTCCCGGACAACGTGTGGCGCGCGACGCGCTCGGGCGTTGGCCACTTTGCGGCGCCGAGCGGGTCCGTCATGGACTCGAAGATCATCGAGACGGCCGACGAGTCGAACGCCGTCTACGTCTTTACCGACCTCCGGTGCGCCCCGCTCTCTCTCCCTCTCCTTCTCCAATACGGTCGTACTGACCCTGTGCTCCCTCCTGCAGCCTCTTCACCCACTAAACGAGCCAGCCCGCTCGACCCCTTTCCTCCTGCTGTGCCCCTCTCTCGTTCCCTTTTGTAGCTCCGCAGCAGCCCCCAGACGGCTTCAACCCCGCGCAGTATCGACGTTTTGACTTTCCCCTGTCTCTCGTCGCACCGAGAGAGTGCGGTTGGGCTTGCGAGAGGCGACGAGCGACCAGTCGACACCTTTCACGAGGAAGCGGACGCGCGAACCATCTCGTCTCGCTCGCGCACAGAAGGGCGGTCTGGCCACTATCGAGAGCTTGTACACCCAACTCTCGCAAGCCATGCTGTCCACGTCTGCGAGCGAGAGCGGTGCTGCTGCGGGGCGAGCCCGTCGTCCGAGTCGGCCGCCGTCACGGTCGACCTCCTTCTCTCGCTCCCACACACGCCGTGCTCGAGTGGGCAGGGCACACAGCTCCCCGGTAGCACCACCCGAGCCATGGCAGCCGCCTCTCCCGCCCCCTCGCCCAACGGCGGCTTCGCCGTCCCCCGCTCTCGCCGCAGCGCACGAGGCGGCACCTCGACTTCTCGCGCCGGCCCGACCACCAAGGGCAACACGGCGGCGGGCGACGCAGACGGCGACGAGGCCATGACGGACGACATGCGCATCGCCGTGTCGGCCCTGGGCCTCATGCGCGAGGGCGGCTCGGCGGCGAGCGCGAGCGACGGCCCTCCCCCTACTCCCGCGGCCGACGCCGACCACAGCAGCACCGCCCAGGAGCACTACGCCGTGCCCTCCCTCCCCTCTCGCTACCGCGACGCCTCGTCCTCGCGCCGGTCCGACCCCTCGCGCTCGACCTCGACCACGAGCACCGCCTCGGCGTCCGAGACCTGGACGGGCGCCACGAGCGACACGGGCTACTCGTCGCCCAACGGCTCGGCGAGCGTCGCCGGGACCGTCGGCGACACCGACATGCTCGGCGACGGCGCCCACGGCGAGGAGGAGCAAGGGCCTGACCCGCGCTTCATGGCGCGCGTGTCGCAGCTTCCAGTCGTCAGCAGCGGCATCGAGTGGTACGAGCGCAGCAAGGCCAACTCTCGCGTCGTCAAGGTGCGCCCCCTCCCTCTCCCTGTCCTTCGCCCCCTTCCCCAAGAATCACGCTGATCCTCTTCCACCCTTTCACGTGCCCCTCCCTCGTCCCCCTCCCTTGTCCTTTTCCTCCTCCTACGCCCATGCACAGTACGGCGCCGGCCTCGTCGAGTCGTCCTTCTCGGCCGTGTCGCGCCCCGTCGCCAACGCGCTCCCGCCGCTCGGCCCGCTCGACGACTTTGCGTGCCGCCAGCTCGACCGCATCGGCGCGGCCGGCGCGTCACCGGGCCGCAAGTCGCCCTCGACGGCGCTGCACCCGTACGGCGCCGACGACGAGGCGCGCGAGCAGCCGCACCCGCACGCCGACGGCGACGACGAGATGCGCCGCAGCGCTCGCGGCGGCGACATCGGCCCCGAGTTTGAGCCCGTGTCGGAGCGCGCACTCGCCGAGCGTCGCTCGTCGGCGTCGGCGGCGCACGACGGGCAGCAGGTGGCGACGGTGGGGGGCGGAGCGGGCAGGTCTCGGTGGCAGACGGTGCTGCTCGAGGCGGGAGGACTCGGTGCGGCCGTCAGCGAGGAGAGCCTCAAGAGCTTGCGGTATTGCCTCCAGTGGCTCCTTGTGCGTCCTTGACCCTTCACCCACGCCGTCCAAGCCGACCCTGACCCGACATCCTTCCACAGTACGCGACCGCGCACCTCGACCACCAGATCGGCACCCTGCGCGACTTTATCCTCTCGCTCCGGGCCCACACGACCTCGTCGTCGGCCTCTTCCTCCTCCAACGCCCTCGTCGCCGCCTCGGCGTCGGCGCACCTCGCCCAGATCAAGCACGACGTGGTCGAGACGATCCGCAAGGTGGTCGACGTCATGAGCAAGTACGCCGGCGCCGCCCTGCCCGAGCAGGCCAAGCGCTACGTGCGCCAGTGCATCCTCGGCCTGCCCGTCAAGTGGGCGAGCGCGATCGAGGGCCGTGCGGGTGGCATGAGCGGGCGCACGACGAGGGAGAGCACGGTCGACGGGAGCGAGCTCGGGACGCCGAGGCCTGAGCGCATGGGCGACGCCTACTTCCCGGGCTCGGGCGCAGGCGCGACGGGTGCGGGAGCAGGAGCAGGAGCGGCAGGGCAGCAGGACGGCGAGGGCGCGCCCGGCGACGAGGGGACGCAGGACCCGGCGCTGCGCCCGACCGAGGAGGCGGCCGACCGCATCCTCACGTTCGCCGTCGAGAGTCTCGACATGCTCCGCTCGGTAACGGGCATCTTCAGCGAGTCGGTCGAGCGCGCAGAGACGTGCGTCCCACCTTCCTCTCTCTCTCTCTTTCCCCGCCCCTTCTCGATCGACGCGTACTGACCTTGCCCCTCTCCCACCTCCTCTCGCGCGCGCACACGCAGCTGGATCGAACGCCTCCGCATTGTCGGCCTCGACCGCCAGCGCCAGCAGCGCGACGCCGCCGACGTCGGCTCGGACGACGGCGCCATGCTCCCGCCGGCGCTCCCGCCGGTCGGCAGCGCCGCGTACGGCGACGGTGGCGACGACGGAGCGGGATCGCGTACGCCGACGACGGGCACCAAGCGTCGGCGCTCGACGCCGTCGTCATCGGCGCTGGCCAAGTCGAGCAGCACGGGCTCGAGCGTCGACGCGGCCGAGTCGGCGGCGGCGGTCGGCGCGACGACGGCGGTCGAGGCGGGGCAGGCGATGGACGAGGGCGACGAGGGCGTCGTGACGAGGCGCAAGAGGGGCGCGTGGCGCGCCGAGGCGGCAAAGAGTGCCGCCGCGTGACGAGGAGGACGCACCCTTCTTCCTTCCCTTACCCCCCTTCCCTCTCTGTCTCTACACGCCTCTTTCCTCTCTCTCTCGATCTCTCCCTCTCTCTACTCTCGTTACTCTCCCCCTGTACCTGTTGTGTCTTGTCTCGCAATCTCACAGCGCGCTTGGCTCGAACGTCGCTCAGAGCTCCTCGAGAGCTCGTCGTCCGCAGAGGGAAGCTCTGCGACACAGCGAGGGTCGCGAACGGCCTGCAGTGCGTGCAGCGCAGAGTCAAGAGCGCGAGCGACCGTCCGGAAAGCTCGAGAGCTGCCTCGAGAAGTGCATCCTCGAAATCGGCTTCTCGCTCTCGCTCTCCTTCGCGTGCGAGCGCAGACGGAGAGAGTCAGGTCAACATTGGCATAGACAGCGACATGCACTAAAGACAAAAGTACAAGGAGCGCCGCAGAGTGTCTGTCTGTCGTCGTCGAGCGCGCACGGCCCCCCTCTCCTCCCGACGCGCTCACGCCCACAGGACCGCCGCACCGGCCCCGAGCGCGACGCCCACCGCGCTCACCGCGACCCACGCCGGCGCTTCCTGCGCCCTCGGCGCCGCGCCCGTCACGCTGCGGTCGGTCGAGCCAGCGACTCCCGTCGCCGTGCTCTCCGGGACGGCAATCTGGTCCGTCGCGCTGCCGGGCGAGACGGACCGGCCCACCGACGAGAGGTAGTCGGCGTTGATGGTGGCGGCGGCGGCGATGAGGCAGATGGCGTTGAGCTGCGTCTTGGGGCCGGCCGTCGTCTCGTTCCACTGCGCGCGAGGGGGATGATGAGTCAGGACGGGCGTTCGAGAGCGGTCGCGAGAACATGAAGGTGAGGATGCGGTACTGCGAGGTGACGATCGATGGCCGAGGAGGGAGAAGGAGAGAGAGGCGAGGGAGGGGAAAGAGAGGGAGGAAAGAGGGATGGAGAGTGAGAGGAAAGCTGGGACGCACCGGTCCTCCCCACCACATGCCAAAGAGCCACGAGTCGTCGACGTTGTTGTACACGTTGCTCAGGAGCTGCGTGTTGACGAAATTGTAGATGTTGGGGTCGGGGCGAGCGAGGTACAGCTCGGACATGCCGAGCATGAGGATGCCCTTGAACTGCGGGCGTGCGACGAGGGGAGAGGAGGACGGGTCGATAGACGTCAGGACGACGTAGAACTCGAGGAGAACAAGGAGATTGGGAGAGAGCGGGGACGCACGACCGTCTCGTCCTGCTGGCAGCCGGGCGGCTTGCCCTCGCCAGGCGGCGGGTCGTCCTCGCACCCCTCGACGAGCACGCCCGTCAACTCGTCGGGGACATAGTCCCTCATGGCGGCGTAGGCGATCGTGCGCCCGAGGTCGAGGACGCGCTCGTCGCCCGTCGCGTAGTACAGGTCGGCGAGGCCGAACAGGAACGCGCCCGAGTTGTAGGTCCACGTCTGCTCGCCGGACCGGGTGCACGACGAGAGGGGCTCGCCGGCGTACGAGGCCGTCACCGTGTCGTACACGCGCCCGTTGTCGGTGTCGAACGCCCACTCGAGCCACCAGTTGAGCGTGTTCATCGAGTGCTCAAAGTACGTCTCGTTGCCGGTCAACCGGTACAGGCGCGTCAGGATGCTGAAGTAGAGCCTGTGTGCGTCGTCGGAGCGTGCGTCAGGTCGTGCTCGGCGAGAGGGATACGCTCGAGGAGGGAAAGGGAAAGAAAGGGCGCGCACGCACCCGTTGGTGATCGTGTTTTTGATGAGAGGGCGGTAGGTGAGCCACAGGACGCCGCCGCCGCACGTGTCGTCCCAGTACAGCGTGTTGTTGTTGTTGATCGTCTCGACCATGTCGAGCCAGGTCGAGTTCGGGTAGGCCTGGTGCGCGCGCAAGGCGTACATGGCCCACCAGCCTGCAGAGCGAGCGAGGCGACGAGGAGGGCGGGGCGAGGTCAGGTTTGGCTCGAGCAGGAGATGCGCACGATCGAGGGGAGAGGGAGGGAGAGCAGGAACGTACTCTGGTCGTCGACGTACTTGTCGATCATCCAGCCGAGGTCGTCGTTCTTGATGAGGAGGTCCTTGATCAAGAGCTCGTTGACTGCGAGCAAGGCGACGAGGGCGTCAGCACGACCGTGGGCGTACTTCCACCGACTCACGGCGCGCTGCAGGCGTGCGCCGAGGAGAGGGAGAGAGGGACGAGCGGCTCACCATGATTGCCGAGGGCGAGGTCGAGGTTGGTGTAGGCGATGCCGAGCACAGGCGTCTGCCACCAGCCAGTCCACCTGTGGAAATGCGTGCGAGAGTCAGTAGCTGACGTGCGAGTGCTCGAGGGTGCCTCGTCGTCGAGAGAGGGTCGAGCGACGACCGCGGGAAGGCGCCCCAAGAGCGCTCGACCTGGTTGCCCGGCCCGGCTCGAACGAGAGGGACACAGAGAGAGCAGGGGGACGCACTCGAACAGGCCGTCCTCGTACCAGGTCTGCATGCGGGCGACGGCGGCCTGTGCGAGCTGGGCGACCTTGCTCATGTCGTTGATGTCCATCCCTGCGGGCGTGGGGGGTCAGTGCGACTGCGAGGAGGGACGTCGACAGGGTGTAGGGAGAGAGAGACGGACATGCCGAGGGCGGGAAGGGGATGTCGACGGACGAGACGAGGGCGCGCTTGTCGAGCTTGTCGCGCGGGTCAAACTTGAACTCGGTTGTCGAGAAGTTGTGGGGCTTGCCCGGGACGTAGAGCGGGTGGCGGTCGTAGGCTGGCACGGGTCGGGGAGCCGGGTTGGTCGGGTTGTCGGGGAGGCGGATGTCGGCGAGGAGAGGGTGCGGCGAGTTGGGGAGAAAGGCGCGGCCGGTGTGCGGGATGGGGTGCGGGAAGGCGAGGTAGGGCTCGTAGATGGCAGGCGACTGGTTTGGCTGCAGCTGGTCGACGACGGGCGCAGCGAGCACGAGGGCCGAGACGAAGCAGGCGGCGGCGGCGACGACGACGACGAGCGGTGCCCTCGGTGGGGCAGGCATGGCGTGGCGTGCGAGCTCGAGGGCGACAGTCCCGGTGCAGCACGAGCAGGAGAGCGGCGGTGAGGAGCGCGGCCGAGTCCCTTCCTTCGTCCCTCCTCGCCCCTCTCGCTCTCTCCCGCCCGACGTCGCGCTCTCACTTCTCCGCCGAGTGATCGCACCCAGAGCCCCAGCCATGGCCGACCTGTACGGCGACGCCTTGCAGGAGGACCTCGCCGTCTACTCGTTCGACGCCCTCGACGAGAACGAGCTCCTCGGCGGCACAGAGCACGACCTCGCCCACTTGCTCGACGAGGGCCTCAACGACCTCAACGACGAGACCTTTGGCGACTCGCTCGACGGCCCCTCTGCCGTCCAGCAACCAGGTGCGTCCTCCCTCTCTCCCCCGCCTCATCACCCTCGCTCTCCTCCCACCCTCCCTCGGCTCACCACCCCCCTCACCCACACACAGGCCGCGACTTTGACTTTGCCGGGTCCACCTCGCGCTTCCTCGGCACCGATGCCGCTCAATCAGCCGGCCTCCTCCCTCAGCACCAGCAGGGCGGCCGCCAGCTCGAGAGCCTCGGTGCTCAGTGGGGCGCCGACCCGCTCCTGTCGTCGACCTCGGCCGCACCGCGCTCGCTGTCGCCCTGGACCAGCCTCAACGACGACCCGCTCCTCGGCGCCCGCGCCACCCCGGTCGCCCTCCCGCAAGCCTCGCCCGCCCAGCCCCAGCCCCAGCAGCAGCAACAGCAGCAGCAGCAGCAGCGCCAGTTCAAGACGCTCGACGAGGTCGAGGCCGAGATGCGCGCCGCAAACGCCGCCCGCCAGTCGGCGTCGTCGGCCGCCCCGCCGCGCGGCATGACGGTCGAGGAGCTCGAGGCCGACCTCCTGCGCAAGCAGCAGCAGCAGCAGCAGCAGGCGCCGCCGCCCCAGCAGCCGCAGCAGCTCCCGCCTGGCATGTCGCCTCAGCCCGGCGCCATGCTCCCGCCCGGCATCCCTCAGCAAGGCGGCGCCCCCTTCGCTCCTCCTCCGCCGCCGCCGGGCTTCCTCCCGCCGGGCTTCCCGCCCCTGCCGCCCCAGATCCAGGCCCTCCCGCCCCAGATGCAGGCCCAGTTCGTCGCCCAGGTCATGGCCCAGCACCAGGGCCGCTTCCCGCAGCCGCACCTGCCCCCGTTCGGCGCGCCGCCGCCGCCGCCGGGCGCGTTCGCCCAGGGCCACCCGGGCGCGGCAGGACCTCGTCCCGGCTCGCTCGGCGGCCAGCAGCAGCAGCAGCAGCCGGGCGTGGTCCCGCCGCACCTCGCCGCGCAGGGCAGCCCCGCCTTGGCGCCCCAGCAGCAGCAGGCGCAGCAGCTCCAGGGCGGCGTCGCCGTGCCTCCTCGCGGTCCGGGCACGCCGGGCCCGGCCTTCCCGCCGCTCGGCGCCGTCGCCGTGCCCATGCCCGGCCCCGTTCCCGGCCTCGGCCAGGCGCAGGGCATGCCGCCGCAAGTTGCGCTCGCCAACCCGCTCGCGACCCTGTTCCCGCCCTTGCCGTCGCAGGTCGGCATGGCGGCGGCCCAGGCCCAGGTCCAGGCCCAGCCCGGCACGGTCGCCCAGGTCGAGCAGCAGTTGCAGCTCGTGACGCTGCACCAAAACGCGCAGCGCCCGAGCCTCACGGGCGCGCAGCTCCAGGCGCTCCTCCAGCAGGCGCAGCAGGTCGCCGCCGCCTCCTCTGCTGCGGGCCCCGAGTCGTCCGGCGACGCCGTCAAGCCGGCCGAGGGCGACGACGCCGAGGCCGACAAGCGCAAGGCCGGCGAGGACCTCATCCGCAAGGTCGAGGCGCGCATCGTCGAGCACGAGCGCCTCGAGGTCAAGCGCAAGCAGAAGGCGCTCAAGATCGCGAGCATGGTGCGTCCCCTCTCTCTCTCTCTCTCCCGTGTGTGCGCCTCTCTCGACGGTGCGGGTGGCTCACCATGCCCTATCTACCTGCGCAGGCCAAGCACAACAACCTCATGTCGAACTCGGACAAGGACTTTATCACCCGCATCCAGGTGTCGCAGCTCGTCACCGACGACCCGTACGCCGACGACTTCTACTTCCACATCATGGCGGCCATCAAGCAGTCGCGCATGGCGGCCCAGGGCCAGCTCGCTCCCCCGATGGGCGGTCCCGGCGGCGGTCCTCTTGCTCCTCCCGGCGCCCAGGGCCCGAACGGCCCCAACGGCAACGGGCCCAACAACCGCCGCCCGACGCGCCGCGAGAACGCCATGAACCGCATGGCGCAAAACGTGCAGCGCCTCGTCGACAGCGCCAAGAAGCGCAACGCGCACGGCGGGCCGACGACGCTCAGCCTCGACGGCGCGCTCGGCAAGATCGCGACGCGCACGAGGGCCGCACCGCGCCCGCTCCTCCAGGTCAAGCCGAGCAGCTCGAGCGTGCCCGGCGCGGCGGCGAGTGGCGGCGACAAGGACGGCGCCGACTCGGCCAAGCAGGACGAGGCCAAGGGCGGCGTGTCGACCGGCCAGAGCCTGCTCGTCGGCGCGGGCCTCATCTCGGCCTCGTCGTCGTCGTCGTCTGCGGCCGCCGCCACCACCGGCGTCGACGGCCCGCTGTCGCACCGCGACGCGCTCGTCATCATCGAGCAGGTGTACGACTGCGTCCTCGACCTCGAGCAGCTGCGGCGCATCCAGCCGCAGCTGCACGGTCAGGAGCACCAGCTCCGCCAGCAGCTCGAGCAGATGACGGTCGAGGGCGGCGTCAAGGACGGCCTCGTCGCGAGGTGCGACGAGGCGAGCGCGGCCGTGCGCGAGAGCGAGGACAAGTACCGCGAGCTCGTCGCGAGGCTGTGGGACAACCTGCACGTCATGGACCCGCTCGACGCCTGGTCCGTCTCCCTCTCTCTCTCTCTCTTCTGCCCCCGTGCCAGCCAACGACCGTCACTGACCTCGTCGTCGTCGTCCGCAGCGAGCCGCACCCGTTCGTATCGCTCCTCGCCGTCACCAAGGGCAAGCGCATCCTGCCTCGCGCCATCCGCCACCTGTCGGCCGAGCAGACCTTGACGGTCCTCACGCTCCTCGTCGCCACGTTCGACACGCTCGACGTCGTCGTCAACGCGCCGCTCCTCGACCACCTCGACACGGCCACGTCGGCCGAGGGCCGTGCGCGCCGCGCCGCCGTCGAGGCCAAGACCGAGGCCCTCCTCAACTCGATCGTCGCGCCCGTCATGGCCGTCGTCGGCCAGGCCCAGCTGCGCATGGTGACGGGCATGCTCGGCCTCTTGATGGACCGCAACGACCTGTCGCGCGTCCTGCGGTCCAAGCCGGGCCTCGCCTTCCTCACGATCCTCCTGTCGCGCGCCGAGTCGCTCAAGCAGCAGCAGCCGCAGCAGCCGCAGCCGCAGCAGCCAGCGGGCGCAGCACCGGCACCGGCAGCGTCGGCCGCACCCGAGCCCGCCGAGCTCGAGCAGTGGCACCGCACGTTCACGCACCTGTTCGGCGTCCTGCAGCAGCAGCTCGTCGCCCTGTTCCCCTCGTCGCGCCTCGCCGCGTCGCTCCCGTTCGGCGTCGCCCAGTACCAGAGCCTCGACGCGCTCCGGCCCGAGTGCGACCTCGACGACGAGCCCGTGTGGCGCTTCCTCGCGGCCGTCGCCGTGTGCGCCGACCCGGACCAGCAGCAAGTGCTCGTCACGGGCGTCCGCGACAAGGTCATCGAGGGCGTCAGGGCCGCGAGGCAGGGCGCCAAGGCGAGGGGCGCCCAGGCCGTCGCGCCCGAGAAGGCCGCGTTCAAGGTCGTGCGTCCTCCTCTCTCTTCCTTCTCTTTCTCCAGCTCGAGTACGTTCTGACCATCGTCGACCACACCTACAGCGCAACGTCAACCTCCTCCTGCACGCCCTGTCGCTCGACGCGTCCATGATCGAGACGGACGACGAGTAGACCCCGCTCGAACCCCCTCTTCCTCCTCCTTTTTCTTCTTTCGACTCTCGTCCCCTCTTTTTGTCCCTGTACCTGTCCTCCTCTTCTCTCACTCTCTCTCATCCTATCTCTCTCGCGCTAGAGCCAAATCAGCAATGCAACGAAAGTACCCGTCCCTCGAGCCGTCCTCCGAGAAGCTCGCGAGCGAGAGATGTCCCTCGCTGCGACGAGCGGATCGGCCTCGGTTGGCGCTCCTGCCTCTCTTCCTCTCGCTTCTCCCTGCTCTGCTGCATCTACGGTACACGTCGGCTCGAGCCACTTCATCGTCGCGGGTGCGCCCGCCTCTCCCTCGAGCGTTCTCAGTCGCCTCGTGCTCACCTCTCTCGCCGTCGCAGACTCGTCGGAGCATCTCTGAGCCTCTCTCGTCGACGACGCAAGACCCGGCATGGCTCCGCAGTACACCCACGACGGTGCATGGCCTCTGTCGTTTGGCGACCTTCCCAAACCCGACCTCCTCCTCCGAAACGCTCTCCCTACCTCAGAGTACTGACTCGTCGAGCGAGTGCGCAGGTCCTTGGGACGGCTCGACGTCGTCGATTGGCGACGGCAACTCGCCCTGGTGGTGGGACGACAACAACAACGACGACGACGGCGGCCTTTCGGAGCGCGACCGCCTGCTCGCCATCATCCTCCCCTCGGTCTTTGGCGGCCTCCTCGTCCTCCTCCTCCTCTGGATCTTGTACCGCCTCAACTCGGTCCGCCGGCGCGTCCTCGCGTGCGAGGAGCGCGAGCTCGTGCACGACGCGGCCATCACGGCCGTCAAGGAGGAGCGCGAGGCCGAGCGCGAGGGCTGGTACGGCGCCGGGTGGCAGCACGGTCGTCGTCACGGGCGCGACAGGCGCAGGAGGTGCGTCGAGCCGCAGCTGCCGTGCAGGCCTCAGATCCTCCCTGTTGCCGTTCCTTTCCCGACGTACGGCGGCGGCGACTACAAGCATCACCATCATCGCAGGCACCACCACCACCACCAGTACCCGCCTGGCGGCTACCCGGCGATCGGGTACCCAGGCTACTGCTGAACGGCACCGAGGACGGCGAGCAGGGCAAGCGGGACGACACGGCGAGGCGGCTCGAGCGGGGCTTAGCGGTGCGCGCAACGAGATCTTGGGGTTTTGCTTTGAGCTTTACTGCGAGCGACTCGAGCGAGAGAGAGAGAGAGATAGAGAGAGAGAGAGATAGAGAGAGAGAGAGATAGAGAGAGCAGACTCTCTCGGGCGGCCGGCGGCAGAGTCTGAAAAGCGAAAAAGCGAGGCTGCATTGCTGGACGGCCTCCGACGCTCAGCTACGTCGTCCCGCCCTCCTCGCCCGTATCAGGCTCAACCGCCGCACCCTCGACATTCCTTCGACCTCTCGCGCGGCCGACGAGCGCGTCGAGCGACGGCAAGTCCTCGTCGCCGTCGTCGTCGTTGGCGAGCATCATCGACATCTCGCGCAGCCGGCGCATCGACTCGTCCTCGCCGTCACCGTCGCCCTCACCCTCGCTGCCGAGCTCAGAGGGCGCGACTGACCCGCCGACGCTCTCGGCCGGCGTCGTCTCGCTGCGGAAGAGCGCGCCCCTTCCGCCGGGCGCACGTGGCGGCGCCGGCGTGACGCTGAGCGAGCTCCCGCGCGGGATCGTCGAGCGCCCGTTGCGGTACGACTCGGGCGCGACCGACGCAGAGAGCTGGCGGACCTCGGTGTCGAGGAGGCGAGGGCGGGCGAGGTCGGCGGGGTCGAGCGCCGGGTAGGGCTCGACGCTGCGAGGCGGGACAGCGAGGGTTAGTAATGCGAGGCGAGCGAGAAAGAGAGAGACGAGAAAGAGAGAGCTGGACGCACATGACGACGAGGGTGCGGCCAAAGATCGTGAAGCCGCGGTCTGCGAGGGAGGCAGCTTCGTGAGCCCGGGCGCCTCTTTCGACGAGCCTAGATACCGAGAGAGCGAGAGGACGCACACGTGACCGTGACCTCGGGCTTGACGTCCTCGTCAATCTCTGGCTTGACGTCGCCCTCGTATCCTCCTCCCGCCGACTCGGCCCACCCAGGCGGCGGCGCCTCCTCGTCCGGCTCGGGCTTGACGACGACGAGCTCGTCCTCGGCATCGCCCTCGTCGCGCGCACCACCCGCTGCGACGCCGACGCGGCGCTTTGACGGCGGCGGGGCGACGGTCGACGGGCCCTCGCCGTCCGAGCCGGACGAGAGGACGTCTCCCTCGTCGTCTCGAGGTGCGGCCGACGCCGTGCGCGCCCGCTTGCGGGACGGTGAAGGTGGAGGGAAGGAAGAGGGTGCGACACGTGACGGTGCGCGGACGGTCGACGGCGATCGGGTGACGAAGTGGATGTTCTTGTCCTGCGAGCGGGAGGGCAGGGAGAGTCAGCTCGTCGTGGCGGGGCCGCGTCAGGGCGAAAGGGGACCGAGGGCGCACCTTGAGGAGGACGACGTGCTTGTCGTTGGCGCTGCGGAAGTAGAAGGCCATCTGGTAGCCGGCTGCAGGCGGTCGAGCAAGGTCAGCACCGCCTCGTCGACAGAGGGTCGGCTCGACGAAGGACAGGAGGAAGCGCAGACGCACTGCCGCGGTACACGTCGACCTGCCTGCGCTCCTTGCCGCCCTTCTTCTTCGGGTCGATCTCCTTGGCGAGCTTGAGCGGGATGCGGTCCTTGAGCGCGACGAGCATCTTGTCGAGGATGTCGTCCTGCGCGCGCGTGCGGGCTCGTGGTCAGTGCGCGGACCCGACAGAAAGGTGCACAAGGGGAGAGAGAGGGGCGCACCGACATCCAGTCGACGTGTGCTGGCTCGAGGTAGAGCGTCATCTGGAGGACCTGGGTGGGCGAGATGCGCAGGTACGACGACTGCCGCGGGCGGTACTGGGTGGCCTTGACGCCGTCGTGGCTCAGGTAGCGACTCATGCTGGAGGCGAGTCGGGTCTGCCCTGAGCTGTGGTGGCCGTGGAGGGAGACGAGGAGCGAGCGACTTGCGCAGCCGGAGGGGCACCGCAGGGCGACTTGCTCGCTTCTCACGCAGCGCAGCGGCTGTCTCTTTCGGCGTACGCAAGCCTCGCTAGATCGCTCTCCAGGGTCTGCCGATTCTCGCCGAGCGCGAGGACTCGCCGCCGCCTCTCTCGCCGGCCGCACCGAGTCGGCGAAATGCGAACGCTGCTAATCGTTACAAGGACTGGGCTGACAGAGAGGGACGAGAGAGCGAGAGTGAGGGCACGACAGGTCACGACTCGACGTAGATGCGCTGCAGAGGAGGGATAGTCCTGCGGGCCGAGGCAAAGAGTCAGGGCTCATCCGCGACAACGACCGCCGCACGCTCGCGTCGAGCGCAACGAGAGGGCAGATGCAAGAGAGACAAGGGCGACGGACCTGTCCCACGAGGCGATGCTCTGCTTGTGCATGCGGATCTGGCCGTCGGCGAATGCGCCGAGGAGGAGCTTCATCTCGTGCCGCTTCGACGCGCGGAACGTGGCGTGCTCGGCCATGACCTCGTCGTTGAACGCCGACGACGTCTCTTGCGCGTGGAGAACGGCGTCCTGGAGCTGTGGGACGAGGGGAGATGTCAGGAAATGTCGACGCTCGGGCGCATCTCGGGGACAGAAAGGGGAGGACGGCGCTGGACGCACCTCCTTGATCTTGGCGTCGAGCCGGTGCAGCCTCGCGGCCCTGCTCATGTCGGTCTCGCCGCCTCTGAGGCTCTCGACCTTCTCCTTGAAGTAGCTGCCGAGGCCCATGCCGTAGCCGTACCCGCCGGCGAGGCGGTCGCGCTCGGTCGCGACGTTGCTCAAGTAGGCGCTCAGCTCCTCAAAGTCGAGCTGCTTCTGGTCGCGCAGCTTGAGGACGCCCTTGAACGCGTGCGAGTAGGCGAGGAGCGAGTGGACGTGCTCGAGGAAGCCCTCGGACGCCGACGCGCTGTGGTCCTTGACGCCCGACCCAAAGTCGACGAGGGCGCGCTCGAACCGCATCAGGGGCTCGGTGATGCCGCTCTCGAGGTAGCCGAGCCCTTGGACCGACACGGCGAGGTCCTCGTAGTCGCCGCTCAGGGCTATTTAAGTTGCTGATTTATATTAATTTTATTGTTCAAACATGAGAGCTTAGTACGTGAAACATGAGAGCTTAGTACGTTGACGACAAAGCGCTCGTCGGGCTTCTTGAGCTTGGCGAACGCGTTGAGGAGCGTGTCGGACAGCGAGTCGAGGACGCCGGACGGCGCATCGTCGGTCGAGGTCGTGCGCGCATGATGCTTGTGCTTGTAGACGTTCTGCGGGATTGCGCGAGTCAGTGACCGTCGATAGATTGACGGAGAGAAGGCTGAAAGACGGGCAAGGCGACGCACCCACTCGCTCGACTCGAGAAAGGCCTGGTAGATGGACGTGCGCGACAGCTTGGGATGCCGGCCTATCCGCTGCAGGAACCGCTCGAGGCTGCAGGAAAGTACGATTCAGGGGGAGATCGACCAGGATCGGCGCGCGAAGGCGAGAGGGAGGGGCGAACGCACTCTACTCGCCGCCGCTCGATAAAGTCGGGGCTGAACCGGTCGCCGATGACGTACTCTGCGGGCCACATTGAGATCAGTACAGGGACACAGAAGTTCCCAAGGGAGAGTGGGACGCACCCATGCGGTGCTTCTCGGGCAGGGGCGGCACGACACAGGCGGGAAAGTCCTTGACGAGGGCGTCGCGCAGGAAGACAAAGTCGTGGTAGCGGCGCCGTGCGGACGGCGTCTTGCTGCCATAGCTCGGGAGGTCGGTCTGTGGCGCGTGGAGAGGAGACCAGGGTCAACTCGGCTGCTCGAGCGATGCGCAGGACGAGAGAAGAGGGGAAGGGCGAGGAGGACGAGGGGGAAGGGACGGACCTTGGCGCAGACGAGGTACGAGACGAACGTGTCGCTGGTGCCCTCGAGCTCGACCTTGCCGTCGCGGACCTGGACGTCGTGCACGGCCTGGCCGGTGGAAGGCCCCGCGAGTGCTGCGTCGTTGGCGTTCGAGTTGGGGTCGGCCGAGCGCGCGCCGCCGAAGCCGGCCTGGCCGAGGTCGGGCCCACCGAGACCTGGTGAGGCGTCGTGGGTGTAGGCCGAGTAGGGCTGTTGCTGTGTCGAGGACGAGGGCGGGTCTGACGGGGTCGGGTGGTGGGGAGGACCCGTCTCCCACGCGACGGACGAGCTGAAGTCTTCGTCGTGGAACGAGTCCATCGGGCGAAAGGTCGAGTGGGCTGGGCGGTGCTGGCTGAGCCGCAAGGAGCGCAGTCGAGGGTGGAGAGGGAGAGCAAGCCCAAGGTGGTCGTCGTCTTCATCTCCCTCGCCCGCGTACAACTCGGCGCCTCTCTCAGCTGGGCCAGAACGCTCGCCAACCTACGCACAAGCTCCTTGCGCACGCCCACACTCGCACGGAACGTCCTCTCGCGGCCTGCGTGCTCGCTCGCCCTCCATGTCGTCCCAGCCGGCTCCGCGCCAAAGGAGGATCCGGTTCTCGCAAGACGAGATCCAGTCCCAGCTCCAGCAGCTCTTCCTCTTCTCGAGCCTCTCGTCAGCCTCGACCGGCGACATCGAGGCCCTCGCACCGATCCTGTCCGTCCCTCCCCACCCTCGCTCAACCCGCGCGTCCTCACTCACCTCTGCCCACACCGACCGCAGCCTCAACATCCACCGCTCGAGACAGCAAGACGCCTACCTTCGTGCCCTCAAGGCCTTTGTCGCCGAGAAGGAGAAGGAGATCGAGGCCGTTTGCGCGCGCAACTACCAGGTCCGCTCACCCTCCTTGTCCCTCCTCGCAACGCCCTCACTCACCTTTTGCTCGACACAGGACTTTGTCGGCTCGGTATCGGCCCTCCTTCGCGTCCGCCAGGGCACCGTCTCGCTCAAGCACCGCGTCGTCGAGCTCAACGACGACATTCAGAAGAGCGGCGGCGGCGTCGCCGACAAGGCGCGTCCACTCTCTCCTCTTTCTCGTGCCTGCGTTCACGTGCTCACCTTCACCCCTCGTCGGCACTCGCAGAAGAAGGCGCTCCTCGATGCTCGTCGGGTCGGCCAGAACATTGACGAGACGATCGACACGCTCCAGGCGTGCTTGCGCGTGCTCGACCTCGCCACCAAGGTGCAGAACCTCATCGACAACGCCAAGTACTTCTCGGCGCTGCGGGTGCGTCCCCCTGCCCTCTTTCCCTCTCTCGGGCGCCTCACGGTCCGTGCGGCGAACTGACCCGCCTCGAGTGCGAACGGTCCGCAGCAAATCGAGGACCTCCAGTCGACGCACCTCAAGCCCGTCTTGCACTACTCGTTCGCCAGCCTCATGCTGTCGTCGATACCGGAAAGTCGGGCCCAGATCCGCGACGCCGTCACGCGCAGCCTCAAGGCGTGGATGTACGAGGCGCGAGAGGCGTCTCGGGCCATCGGCAAGGGCGCGCTCGACGCGATGGAGCAGCGTGGGAGGAGGTGGGCCGCGAGGAAGCGCAAGGAGGTGCAGCTCGCGCTCGCAAAGATCAACGGGCCGATCGAGCTCGGCATCAGCGAGCGGCACGAGTGTACGTCCCCTCTCTCTCTTTCGTTCTCTCCCTCGCTCTCCGACACTCGAGACTGATGCCCTGTACCGCGACACAGACTCGCTCCTCGACAATGAGAACGCCAAGATCGACTTCAAGCCGCTGTACACCTGCATCCACATCTACGACACGCTCGACGCCCGCGACGAGCTCCAGCTCAGCTACCAGGCCGACCGACGAGTGCGTCCCTTACTCTCTCTCGACTCGACGTGACCTCACGACCTGACGAGCGCGGTCCCACCCTGCAGGCACAAGCCGGCCTCCTCCTGTCGTCGACCGCGTCCCTCACGCCCTACTCGCTCGCGGCCCTGTCGGCCCTCCTCGAGGAGATCGTCGGCTTCTTCCTCATCGAGTCGCACGTCCTGCGCACGACCAACTCGTTCCGCTCGGAGCAAGACGTCGAGGACCTGTGGGACGGCATGTGCGAGCGGGTCGTGCGCATCGTCGACGAGGGCTTGAGAGGGTGCGAGGACCCTGAGGTGTTTCTCGGCACCAAGTTAAAGGTGCTCACGTTCGTCCAGACGCTCGAGGTGAGCCCTCTGTCCTCATGATCTCGGACTGGAGCCGGCTCTCGCCCGGCTTCGGCCCGTCGGACGAGAGGTTCATGGACTGACGCCCTTCTCTCTTCAGGGGTACGGTTACTCGGTCAGCCACCTCAACAGCCTCCTCCTCACGCTCTTCGAGCGGTACTCGGAGCTTCTGCAGCGCCGGTTCAGCGCCGACTTTGAGAAGGTGCGCTTTGTCCCCCTCTTCCGTCTCTCTCCCTCGGCCAGCGCAGCCAGGCTCACCCGTGTCGTCCGTTCTACAGATTGTGCTCGACGACGACCACCAGCCGATGGTCGTCAACGACGAGGACGAGTTCAGCAAGGTCCTGAGCGTCACCTGGCTCCCGGCCGACGGCGAGTGGAGCGCCGCGCAGCTCAAGCAGTGCGTTCTCCTTCCTCTTTCTCAGTCGCAGTGCATCACAGAGGACCTGCCCTGACGTCGACTCGTCGCAGACCCGGGTTCCCGCTCGCCCTGCCCTTCTCGCAAACCTACCCGTTGTGCTGCGTCGACATCCGGTCGTTCACCGAGCAGTACTACCAGTTCTCCGAGGGCTTTGCCGAGCATCATCGCGACATCGACGACGTGCTGCGCAAGGTGCGTCTGCCTCGTCCTCCCTCTCGCAGCCGTCGTCCGGGCGGATCGCCATGGCCAAAGCGTCCCTGACCTCATCTTTCCTCTCCTGCAGGCGCTCGACAACCTTCTCATCAAGCAGGTCAGCGAGAACATCCAGCGCCGCCTCAGCATGATCGGCAACCTGTCGCAGCTCGCCCAGATCGTCGTCAACGTGCTCTTCTTCCAGACGGCCTGCTCGGACCTCGAGACGCTGCTCGTCACCCTGCGGTGCGTCCTCTCTCTCTCTGTCTCTTCTTGAGTCACATCCTGTGACACTCGACCCTGACGGGCTGCATCTTGCGCATCAGGGCGACGCAACGCGGCGGCACGATCCACCTCGACTCGCTCGCGTCGTTCCAGCAGACGCTCAAGCAGACGCAGGACCGCATGGTGTCGCAGATCTCGCAGAAGATCGACAACTTCTTCGAGGAGGCCCAGTACCCGTGGACGGCGACGCAGCCGCCGTCAGCGCAGGCCGCCAACGAGGCGAGCCCGTACTTGCAGGACTTGATCGACTACGTCTCGACCGTCATGATGAGCGTCCTCGTCCAGCTGCCCGAGTTCGCCAAGGACTACGTCTACCGAGGAGCGCTCGGCCACTGCGCCATGATCCTCCAGGTCCGCACGACTCTCCCTCTCCCTCTTCCCCGCCTCCCGCTCGGACCCACCCTGACACTGACGACTTTCCTCCCCGCCTCTCTCCCTGCGCCCAGTCCTACTTGACCGACCGTGACCCTCGACAGGTGAGCGACGCCGGCCTGCTCCACCTCGCGCGGGACGTGCGGTGGCTCGTCAACCACGTCACGTCGTTCCAGAACGAGCGCCTCTCGGACGTCTTCTCCGAGCTGCAGCAGGTGCGCCCTCGCATTCCTCTCTCTCTTTCCTCTCTCTCTTCTTGTGCTTGTCGTACTGACAAGCTCGCTGTGCATCGCGCCGCAGCTCGTCCTCCTCCTCACGGCGACGCCCAACATTACCGACTACCTGGACCCGCCGACCAGGGCGCAGCGCTTCCCGCGCGTGCAGCCTCGCGTCCTCCAGAGCGTCCTCGTCAAGCTCCTCGCGCACTACAACTCGAGCGGCGGCGGCGGCGTCGGCCACAGGAGGCGGACCCAGGTCGTGAGTCGGGCTCGGTTCTCTCGCTCTTGCCCTGGGCGGCCGCACGATGTGCCGCCGTCCAGGGCTTACCGATGCGGCTGTCCCCGACTGATACGGCTGTTCACCTGCAGGAGGACCTGTTGCGCACGCTCTCGGCGAGGTAGACCCTGCGACATCTCTTTTCCTCTCTTTCGTTCTCTCGATGTTGTATCGACGACCTTTTTCTCGGATCCTCTCGCGCCAGAGAGAGAGAGAGACAAACGGCACAGATTCCTTTCATGACAGCTCGAGAGACCGGGACAGCACTACAGAGAGACCCTCCCCTTCCTCGCTCGTCCTCTAGAGACGGGCGCGCGCCTTGCCGTCGGCCTTTGCGTACAGCGCCGAGAGCTCGTTGGCGTACAGCTTGGCAACGACGTTGCGCTTGGTCTTGAACGTCGGCGTGATGCACTCGGGCGCAAAGGGCTCGATGCGCAGGTGGATGCTGTCCTCGACGCGCTCGAACCTGCGCCGGACGCAAGAGAGGGGTCAGTCTTGGCGGCGAGGGAAAGAGAGCTCGAGGGGGAGAAGAGAAAGAGAGAGACGCACCCAACGAGCTTGGCGTCGCGAGCGTACTTGGCGAGCGCGACGGCGACGGCCTGGATGACCTTCTCGTCCTTGGCGGCGGCGTCGAGCGCAGCGAGGTCGGTCGGGGCGATCTGGCGGCCGAGGACCTTGGAGGCGAGAGCTGCGCGACAGGAGCACGAGGTGAGCATGTTGAGGGGGCGCGGAAAGAGCGAGAGGGACGTACGAGCGAACGTGTTGGGGTCGACGACCGCGATCGCGACGAGGTGGTCCTTGAGGCCGTCGCCGTGGACGTACAGCTGAGAGAGGAGCGGGCAAAGCAGGTACGTGTTCTCGACCTGTGCGCAGGACGAGGGAGAGTCAGTCTCGGCGGGCGCGCAGGAGAGAGAGAGAAAGAGAGGAAGGAGGAGACGGACCTTCTCAAGTGCGACGTACTCGCCCTGGCTGAGCTTGACGAGGTTCTTGACGCGGTCGATGATGCGGAACCTGCCGAGGTCGTCGACGGTGCCGACGTCGCCCGAGTGGAGCCAGCCCTCGTCGTCGATGAGCTCCTTGGTCTTGACCTCGTCCTTGTAGTAGCCCGGGATGATGCTCGCGCCCTTTGCGCAGATCTCGCCTCGGGGCCACGGCTTGTCGGTCGAGAAATAGCCCATCTCGGGCACGTCGCACAGCTTCATCTGGACGCCGGCGATGGGCGGGCCGACGGAGCCCTCGGACCACTGGTCGTGCGGGTAGCAGCGGTTGGTGCAGCCCGACGTCTCTGCAGGGGCGTAACTCGTTGTCAGTCTCTCGATCACGGTCTTGAGAAAGGTGGGGAGAGGAAGGAGGACGCACCGGTCTGGCCGTAACCCTCGTAGACCTCGCAGCAGAAGGCGACGCGCAGGAAGTCGAGAACGTCCGGGTTGATGGGCGCCGAGCCGGTCGACATGGACTCGACGCGACCGCCGAGGAGCATCTTGACCTTGTTGAAGATGATGCGGTCCCACACGGCGTGCGTCACCTGGCCCGTCGTGCGCAGGTTGGCGAGCTTGTCGGCGAACGCTTTGCGCGCGAGCGAGCCCTTGAACCCGGGCGCGTCGACCGTCTGCGCCTTGATGCCCTGGTACACGCGGTTGAGGACACGCGGGACCGAGACGACCGTCGTCGGCTTGGTGACGGCAAAGTCCTCGAGCAGGCGCAGGTTGTCGCCGCACGAGTAGCCGATGCTGGCGCCGGCGGCGATGCAGATCTCCTCGACGAAGAACTCGTACACGTGGGCGAGCGGGAGGTACGACAGGAGGACGGCGCCCTCGCGGATCTCGTGGCCGTGCTCGGACGAGGTAACGATGGCCGAGATGTTGCGGTGCGTGAGCATGGCGCCCTTGGGGTTGCCCGTCGTGCCGCTCGTGTAGCAGATGACGCACAGCTCGTCGGGCGTAGGCGGCGAGTGCGGCTTGGGATGAGCGACGCCGAGCGCCTCGACTGCGAAGAAAGGGGAGGGGTGCGAGCGTCAGTTCTCGCGCTCGCCGTCGACCGCCCGACGAGAGATGGAGGGAGAGTGGGACGCACGCTCGACGAGGTCGAGGACCGTGATGCCGACGCTGCCGCCCCACTGCTTCATGGCGGCGCCCGACTGGATGCCGGGACGGTTGCCCTTGCCCTCGAGGGCGCTCCACGCGTCGAGGCTGACGATGGCCTTGACGCTCGACAGCTTGGGCGCGAGGCGGAGCAGGTCGGGGATGTGGACCGGGTTGGCGAACACGACGCGCGTCTCGGCGTGGTTGCAGATGAACTCGACGACGTCGGCGCCGAGGGTCGGGTACAGCGACGTGACGGTGAGGGCCTGGGCGCTGCACGCCTGGTTGACGTACTGCCACTCGGGGCGGTTGGACGCCCAGATGCCGACCTTCCACTGGCGCACGTTCTCGTCCGGGAAGAGCGTCTCGCGGAGCCGGGCGAGGCCGCTGCCGATGCGGGTGCGGTGGCCGTCGACGGCCTCGAACGAGTCCCACGTGAGCTCCTTGGCCCAGTCGCCGACGGTCGGGTCCCACGCGCGGGCACCGAGGCAGTTGTCCTTGGCGTGGTGCTCGAGGCCGAGGTTGAAGACGTCGTAGGCGGAGGTGGGGAACGCGAGGCCGGCTCGCCACTTGGGGTTCTCGACGTTGACGTAGACCGCGGTGCTGCCCGACTTCTTGCTGCCAGGAACAGGCTGCAGGGGGGCGGGGGGGCGGCGAGGGTCAGCGAGAGTTGCTGAGCCGGCGTGGGGAGGAGCTCGGCGGGAGGGGGAGGAGAGAGAGAGCGCGAGGACGCACGATGGCCTGGGGCTTCTTGGGGTTGTGGTTGGCGCTGAGGGGGACAGGGAACGGGCTCTGGGCGTGCATGGTCGTGCTCGTGGTGGTGTGATGGGCGAGGGGCGAGGGTGAGCGGTCGTCTCGAGCCTGGCTCGCAGTCCGGCCGGCGCGGGTGCCGCGCCGGTCGCTCGCTGCGCACTGGCGCTCGGAGCCGTCCCTCCGCCTCGCTCGCTCAGGCAGCAGCAGAGAGCTCGCACGTTTCGCAGAGACGCAAGAGAGCCAGGCAAAGGAGCGCAGCCGAACGCTCGGTCGTTCGGAGTTGCCGCTGCTCGCCGCTGCCGCGGACCTTGCGAGGAGAGGCTCGAGCGACGACCAGCTCTCTGCTCTCGCAACGCAGGGACACACGCTCAGGGCTCATCTACGTAATGCAAGAGAAAGCGTCTACGCCTGGAACGTCCTCGCCCACGAATCGATGACCTTGACGCCCGCCTGGTGCGCCGGGTAGCTCGGGTCGCGCCGCACGATGGCGCCGTGCGCGTTGCGGGCCTGCGGCAGGTACACAAAATGCTTGCGCAGGTGCGGGATCGCGTTGAGGTTCTTGACCTGGAACAGCTGCGACGACGAGAGGACCGGGTCGGTCGAGTACCGCGCCGCCTCCTCGGACCGCGCGAGGTTGGTCGAGGACGAGGTGGGCGACGCAGGCGGGGGCGTCACCGACCGCGAGCTCGACAGGGACGGCGGCGAGACGGGACGAGCGAGCGCAGGCGTCGACGTGCCCGACGTCGAGCCGTAGGTCCGCTGCGGCCCGAACCGGGTCGCCTCGTGCGCCTCGCCGTCGTCGCTCCTCGTCCCGCTCTCGAGGCCGTCGACGTTCAGCCCACCGGCGTACTCGGGGTTGTCGACGCCGGCGAGCTCGGCCACCTCGCCGATGCGCACGCCGACGCGCTGCAGCATCGTCTCGCGCCCGCCGCCGATCCGCTTGCGCGCGTCGCGGATCCGCCGCCGCGACTCGCGCGTCTGGAGCGCGAACCGGCCGACGAGGTACACGACCGAGAGCGGGAGGGCGAGCGGGAGGAAGGCGATGATGAGGAGCGACACGGGGCGGGAGAAGGGGTAGGTGGTCGGGCGGAGGAGGAGCGGCAGGCGCAGGCGGAAGCGCCGCTTGGCCGGGATGCAGCCTTTCGGCAGGTCGGGTGCGGGGACCTGCTTGTGCGAGACGATGATGGGGGCGTCCTTGGCGAGGGTGCTGCAGAACGAGGAGGAGGGGGAGCAAGAGCTCGTCAGTCTCGGGCGTGCGACGGCGAAAAGGAGAGAGCGGTGCGCACAGCTCCAGTCCTCCATCGCGGATGTCGACCTCGGCGTCGGGCTCGTCGCCTCGGGCCTTGGCGAGCTTTTGCGCCTTTGCTCGCGCGAGCGCGAACGGGTCGTGCGCCTCGATGCCGCCGGTCGGGAACGGCACCGTGCGGTCGTTGACGCTGCGCATGCGCGTCGAGAGAGAGCGTCAGTTCACGAACTAGAATGGAAGGAAGAGAGAGCGGCCGAGACGCACGTGTTGGCGAAGACGTCGATGTGCTCGAACCGGGTCAAGGCTCGGTAGAAGCTGTACCGCGGGTCGGCCATGATCTTGAGGAGCGGCTCTGCGGCATTGCGTCGGGGCAAGAGCTTGCTGATGCCCTTGCGACCGTCCTGGGCGGGCGCCTCGGCGTTAAAGTAGGCGGGGAGGAACCGGTCGCGCTCGTGGAGCTGGCTGCCGGTGCGAGACAGGAGGCGGCTGCCGAGGAAGGCGAACGTCGACGACCAAAACGTCTTGTACCGCGGAATGCCGATGGCGGGAGAGGCGAACGTCGCAAAGTGGGCGGGGCGGACGTCGTCGAAGAAGGAGGGGGAGCGCGAGTCGAGAAGGCCGAGGACGTAGCGAGCAACGAGGCCGCCGAGAGAGTAACTGCGGGGCACAGCGTAGGTGAGCGACGTGTTTGACTGAGGCGAGGGACCGTGCGAGGGACGGACCCGACGATGCTGAACGCCTCTACTCGGCCGCCGTCGTCGTGGATGCGCTTGAGCTCGGCGTCGATCTCGTCGACGACGCGGTCGGCGCACGTGTCGATGCCATCGTACGTGTGGGCGAACGAGACTGCGTTGGTCTCGGGCACGAGGACGACGACCTTTGGCGCAGGCGACGAGGATGACGACGAGGACGAGGTTGGGCGCGAGGTGTGGTACAGGAGCGACTCCTTGATGTAGGCGATGTGGGACGGGTGTCCCCAGAGGCCATGACAGGCCGTGACGAGGTGGACCGGGTAGGGGCGCGGTGTCATGGCTGGTGGAGGATGAGCGAGGAGGTGGTGGAGGTGGGGGTTGCGGATCGGGCGGCGGCGAGTGCGGCGGGTGGCTCTTGCGCTCGCGGGCGAGAGGCGAGGTAGCTGGTGGTGGTAGAAGCAGTCGATCAAGCCAGGAGCGGGTGTGAGCAGACGAGAGGGCTTCGGCGTGAGAGCGTCGCCAGCTCGGCGGAGAGTCGGCAAGTGCACCGCCTCGCTGTCTCTTGACAGGCGAGCTGCGTGAGCGCGCTCTGTGCAGTGTGAAGCTTCTGGCTGGCTCAAGCAAGCAGCCATGCAGGACCGAGTGAGCTGAGAGACGTGCGACGCTGCGTCGCGTTCTCATCTGGATCCGGCCCGCTCGAGCTCGACGACTTGATCTCGCCGTCCCACACGCCGCAGCGCTCCCCGCTGAGCTTGCACGGCACCCGCACCATGAGCCTCGTCCAGTCGACCATCGACGACTACCTCGTCGCGTCCTTCCCGCTCCCGACGCCCGCTCAAGCTCGCGCTCTCCCACCGCATCCGCCAGTCGCCGCCGTCCAGTACACCGCACACCCGCGCCAGGATGCCCGACTCGCAGTAGCCACCCCGGGAGTCGGCCTCTCGGTCTACGATGTGAGCCACCCGTTCCTCCTCTCCTTCGCCGACCGGCAGCACACGCGAGAGCTCCACCGCCTCAGAGGGCTCTCGCTCGCCCCCCACAGCTCGGCAGAACGCAGCTGACCGTCTCCCTCACTGTACCCAGCTCGCCGACCAGACTCCGCTGTCCTCCATCACCGTCGGGCCCTCGTTCGCACCCACGACGGCCGCCATCTCGCGCTCGACGCCCTCGACCTCGTCCGACTCGATCCGCGTCAAGAGCGCACGGCGTACATGGGTCGGCGTCCGCACCGACGAGGGCAAGGGCGAGATCTGGTGCTGGCACGAGGAGGAGCGCAAGGACGGCAGCACCGAGGGCGACTCGGGCAAGGCTGTCTGGCCCGTACGTTCCCTCTCGTTCGTCGTTGTCGACCTGCGCAAGCACTCGAGACTGACTCTGTCCTGCGCGCCGGACAGATCTCGGAGCCACTCGCCGCTCTCGCCGCACCTCGCACCCTCCCCTCGCACATCTCGTTCCTCTCGACCTCTGGCGCGCTCGCCCTCGCCCCGGCCGACGACCTCACGTCCCTCGCCTCCCTCCCTGCACCCACGGACGCTTCCCCTGCCGTCAGCCAGACGCTTCGCCTAGTTCACGTCTCGGCGACGTCCGCCCCGGCGTTCCTCCCTTCCTCCCTCGTCGCCGCCCTCCCCACTTCTTCCTCGTCCAAGGCGCACCTCGGCCTCATCGTGCGCAAGTACGCCGCGCCGACGCCTGCAGACGGTGGCTCGCTCGTCGATGTCGGCAAGAAGAAGTTCAAGAAGGCGCCCCGACCCTCGTCGTCGGCCGTCATCGACGCGGCGGACGCGGCGGGCCCGTCGACTGCGCAGGTCGGCCAGCGGAGCGAGATCGAGCTCGTCCTGATGGACCCGGAGGTGGCGATGCCGGACGAGTTTGAGCCTCGGCTCGGCCTTTTGAGCCTCGGCAAGGTGGCGGTCGAGGGGGAGCAGGTCGTGGTTAGCGACGACGGCATTGTCACGGCCCTCGGTGCGTCCCCCCTCTCTCTATCCGACGTCGCGAAGATGAGCCCCCTGACAAGCTTCGTCCCGCAGGCTCGAACGGCACCCTGGCGGCGTCTCGCCTCTCGTTCACCTCGCCGCTCCCTGTCGACACCTACTCGACCCTCTATTTCCCTCCCGCCCCTGTCGACACCCCAACTCTCGCCCTCGCCCCGCTCAAGTCGGTCGCGCTGTCGACCTCGTCCCTCACGCCTTCCCTCTCCTGCCTCCTGGCCCTCCACTCGTCGTTCGTCGTCGTCGCCTCGCCTCGGCCGACCACGTCCGACAGCAGCGCCCCGACCGTGTCCCTCACCTACTGGGACACACGCTTTGGCAGCGTCATCGCCTCGGCCGACCTCACGGTCCCGTCCGCCGTCGCGTCGTCCGTGTCGGCCCTGTCGCTCTCGCTCTCCCTCCCGGCCCGCCACACGGCCATCCTCACCCTCTCGCCTGCGCCCTCGGCGTCCGGCACGCGCACGGCCCTGTTCGGCCTCCCCGTCGCGTCGCTCCCGTCGGCGTCGGTCCTCGCCGCCGTCGTCGGCAAGCACTCGCTCACGGCGCGCTTCCTCGCCGTGTCGCCCGCCGCCCAGAGCGTCGTCGCGCGCGCCAAGGCGACCGAGCCCCTGCGCTCGCAGCGCCCGGGCCAGAGCGAGAAGAAGCTCGCGCTCCAGGAGGCGAGCCGGCTCGCGCGCGAGCACCTCCTCGAGCGGCTCGAGCGCGTCCTCGCGCCGCTCAAGGCCGGCGCCGGCGCCATCGCGCAAGACGTCGCCGTCGTCGAGGCCGAGAAGGTGTGGGCCAAGTGGCTCGACGAGGACAAGGACCGCCTGTGGGACTACAACAAGGGCAAGGTCCGTGCCGCCATGGAGAAGGAGCAGGAGCGGCGCATGGCGGCCATCACGGACGCCGGCGAGGACGCCGACGGCGACGCGAGCCGGTACAAGGTCGCCAAGCGCAAGATTGAGCGCGCGATCGCGGCGGCGGGCGCGAGCGTCAAGCCGGGCGTCGTCGGCGCCGCCACGACGGCCGACAAGAAGGCGGCCAAGGCGAGCTGGAAGGACGTGACGGCCGCGAGGATCAAGGGCGTCAGCGACCGGTACCGCTACATGTACCACCGCGAGCGCAACAAGATGGAGGAGGCCATGGGCAAGACGGTCAAGGAGTTCGACTGGGACGAGGCCGTCGCCAAGGTCGAGCGGTACGAGGTGCGTCCTCTCTCTCTCCTTCTGTTCTTGTGCAACGGCCTTCCTCGTACTGACGCTGTCGATCGTGCAGCCGTCTCTCCCCTCGTCGTTCGTCACGGCCCTCCTCCGCCTGTCCTTCCCCGTCCCCCTCACCTCGTCGACCGACCTCACCATCTCGCCGTCGGGCGTCCTCGCCGCATCCGAGACGGTGTGGCGCCACCCGACCAAGATCATCGGCTACCTCCTCCGGCGCGAGCTCGTCGGCGAGAACCAGGTCGAGGGCGGCGTCACGAGCTTCCTCGCCCGTGCGGCCGACTGGGTGCGCACCTGTCCTCTCTCTCCCTGTCTCTCTCGACCGAGCCCTGACTCTGCGTCTCTCCCAGCCCAACATCATGCTCGCGCTCAAGACGCTTCCCGACATCCCCGAGTCCACGACCGTCGCCCTCCTCGTCGCCGTCGTTCGCGGCACCTCGTCTCGCGCGTCCGCCGACGACGCCATGGACACCGAGGACGCCTCGACTGCCCTCCCCGCACCTGTGCCCGCCCTCGCACCCTTCCTCGCCGCCATGCTCGCCTCGCCATGCACGCCGGCGACGCTCCGCCTCGAGCTCAAGAAGCAGCTCTCGGCCGCCGAGGCGCTTCCCGTCCTCGAGCAGTGCGACGCGTGGTTCGCGGCGTGGCTCCGAGACGCGCAGCCCGAGGCGCCGCGCGACGACGTCAAGGCCAAAAAGGGCAAGGGCAACAAGGCGGTCGCGGCCGACGTGTTCAAGTTGCTGATTTATATTAATTTTATTGTTCAAACATGAGAGCTTAGTACGTGAAACATGAGAGCTTAGTACGTTAGCCATGAGCCTCGCACTGACGCACCCTCTTCTCCTTGCCCCACAGATCGTCCCGTTCGTCCAGGCCATCCTCGACGCCCACTTTGTCACGCTCCTCCTCCAGCGCCAGTCGCACCGCCTCCTGCGACGCCTCTCCCAGCACATCGCGACGCACACGGCCCTCGTCACCGACCTGTCGACGCTCATCGGCGCGCTGTCGATCTACTCGCGCAAGAAGGACGAGCAGCGCCGGGCCGCGCTCGAGGACAAGGCGGCGGCGGGTCGCAAGGCGCAGCGGGACGGCGTGCGCGAGTTTGGCGAGACGATGCAGCGCCGGATCAAGGCGCAGGAGAAGCACGCCGAGGTCGGGCAGTACCAGGTCGAGGAGTTCTTCCTGTAGATGGCCGCTCTCGTGCAAGCGCTCTTCTCTCGCAGCGACTCTCGGCCAGGACTTGAGTCTGCATGAGTTCTCTGTTACACTGAGAGCGGGCTTTCTACTACTTCTTGGCTGCCTCTGCTCGCCGCCTCGCCTCGACGCGCGCCTTGATGTCGAGGTCAACCTGGTTGCCGTCGCCCCAGCCGACCGAGAAGCCCATGAGGAGGCCCGACGCGAGGTTGACGAGGCCGAAGAGAGCGATGAGGGACGAGCCGTGCTCGGTCTGCTTGCACAGGACGTACGAGGCGAGGGCGAGGAACAGGCGCTGCGAGGCTGTGTGCGAGAGGAGGGTCAGCACGGCGTCACGGTCGAGGGGGCCGCCAAGGGACAGAGGTGGACTCACTGCCGTTCATCTGGGCCTTGCGGTCGAGCGTGTAGACGCTCATGAAGTAGGTGTAGCCCAGCGCGGCGAGAGCGAGGCCGGAGAGGGCGAGCGAGGCCTCGTCGCCGGCACCGTGCGGCTTAAGGCCGACCTTGTCCTCGATGAGGCGAGTCACGGGGGCGAGTTGGGCGAGTAGAAGGCCCGGCGCGATGCAGAGGCGGAGTCCTGGGAGGAGGGTGGGGGGAGGAGGAGGAGAGGGAGGGTCAGCTCGACGGCGGTCTCGCGGAGATGGACGAAAGAGAGGGTGCGCACCTGCGTAGAGGCACACAGCACCGTAGGCGAGCGTCTGCAGTCCAGCAAAAGCGGGCATGGTGGACGACGAGGCGCGAGAGATTCTCATCAGCTCCTCGGTCGCTCAACCACCTTTCGTTCCTCCCACACCGGGCCTCTCGCCTCGAGCTGCTATGACGACCGCGCCGTTGCACTCGCACAGCCCTGCTCGAGCTCGCTAGCGCGCTCAGAACCCCGCTCGGCCTCGCCGTCTTCTCGCCCTCCTCGAGCTCCACGTCCGACTGCGACCCCGCACGCTCTGCGACCCCTGCCAGCGCCTGCGCCGCTCCACCCGGTGCGACCGCTCGGACGGCCAGAGCCCGGGCTTTTGGTCGCCGGGCAACGTGGTGCAGCGGCGGCCGATCGTGGCTTGCGTGCTGGCGAGCGAGCGAGCGAGGACGTACGGGCTCGCGGCGGGGCGGCAATGAAGGGACGGGCGCGGCGGGCGGCGTCGCAGCTCGAGCAGGGGGGGCAGCGCAATCTCGGCAGGCGGCGGTCGAGCGAGACGAGGGTGGCCCCGGGTCCGGCTGTGCGCGTCGCGCCGCCCCCTGGCGAGAAGACGGAGGTGACCGATCGCTGTCCCTTCTCGCCGGCTACCAGGCCGCGTGGAGCAGAGCTAGAGACCGTCGCACATGATGGGATGGTTCGCCCTAGTTGCGCGTGGTCGATCGGCCCTCCTCGGTCCCCGACCGCCGCCATGAGCCCTCGCCGCGGGCTTTTCCCCCCCTCCTCCCCCTCCTCTCGCGCACTCGAGACCCGCCTCTGCGTCGCCTCGACCGCGACGTGCCTGTCGACGTCGATCACGGCAGCGTCTCGCATCGTGGCTCATGCCCGCTGAGACCGTCGTCCGCCCTCGCCCTCCCGTCGCCAACCACCCTGCCGACCCGGCCACCCTCCTCCTCGACCCGCACGTCGACGCCGACCAGGTCGTCGCCCAGCACCAGCCCAGATCCGTCACCGAGAACGTCGCCTCAAGGTCCGCCCGGGTCGAGTACGTCCCGCCCGTCCCGTCGCCCGTCCTCGAGCTCCTCCAGACCTCGCCGCCGGTCACGCCTACCGTCTCGACGACCAGCTCGACGTCCAAGCCGTTCGTGCCCGCACCGCCTGTACCCCACCCGCACTTCCTCTTCCAGGCCCCGATGAGCGCTCGCACCCGGCCCGCCGACTCGCCCACGGCGTCGTCGTCGTCCAAGGGGTCGTTCAAGCGCGCGTTCGCCTCCGTCTTCAGCCCCAACGCGGTCAAGCCCGACGCACGCCCGTCGGGTGCGCCGTTCCGGCAGGTGAACACGCCCGTCGTCGCGCCGGTCGCGGCGCCGATGGACCAGGCGACGAGGCGGCTGCGGGCGCTCGAGATTGCGAGGGAGACAGGCCGCAAGGCGGTCGCGTACGTGCGGCGCAAGCTCAACTCGAAGACGCCCGAGGACCAGCTGCCCAAGACGTGGAAGGAGTTCGACGTCCTCTACGCCAACGTGCGTCCCTCGTCCTCTCCCCTCTTTCCTCTCTTCCCCTCGGCCCTGACTGACAAGTGAATTCTACAGGGCGACGTCGACGTCTCGGATCCGCCACTACCGCCGCAGCGCCACGCCGAGGAGGGCGCCGAGCCGACGCCGTTCGAGCGGCGGTACTACATCGCGCCCATGGGCCCAGACGAGCCGATGCGCCAGGACGTCGTCGACCGCCTCGACCTGTTCGGGCGGCGGCAGATGGCGTCGCAGGTCACGCTCGACATCACGTCGCCGAGCGCGAGGTCGGTCGCCATGTCGCCGACCGACAGCCTCGCGAGCGAGAGCAGCTACCTCACGACGCCCTCGTACGCCTCGTCGGCTCGCCGCCACTCGTCCTCGGCCGCCTCGACGACGTCGACCACGACCGCGGCCACAACCGCCAACCCGCCGTCGCCCGCCCTCGACCAAGAAGCCGTCGACTCGCTCGAGAACAGCCCCGTCTTCCGCTCCATCATCTCCAAGGCGCGCGAGATCTTCGACGTCCCGATCGCGCTCGTCACGGTCCTCGACGGCGACAAGCAGATGTTCCTCGCGTCGGGCGGCCTCCCCGAGGGCTTGGGCAACGCCCTGCCTCGCACGTCGTCCTTCTGCCAGCACTCGATCCTCGGCGGCGGCATGGTCGTCCTCAACGCGACCGACGACTGGCGGTGCGTCTCTCTTTTCTCTCTCTCTCTTTCTCTACGACACGAGCGCGCACTGACGACGTTGACCGTGCAGGTTCGCCCAGAACATGATCACGACCGACCTCGGCGGCCGGTTCTACGCCGGCACGCCCGTCAACTGCCACGCTCCCGGCGAGACCGACTCGGCGGCGATGCCGATCGGCAGCCTGTGCGTCCTCGACACCAAGGCGCGCAGCGACTTTGGCGACGCGCACCGCCGCGTCCTGCGCGACCTCGGCCAGCAGTGCGCCAACGCGATCGAGGCGTGGAGCAGCGAGCGTCGGGCGCACAAGGCGCGGAACGTTCGCGGCACGATCCCGACCGAGTCGGCGCCGCAGCTCGCCGCGTCGACGTCCGAGTCGTCGACCACCGCCGCCGACCCGGCCGCACGCTCGACGACCGACCTCGCTCGCCCTCTCGCTCCTCCTGTCGGCCGAGCCCCGTCTCTCGCCGCCTCCTGTTCGTCGACGACCTTCCCTCATCGTCGTGGCAGCGCGTCGACCAACCCGCCGAGCTCCGCTCTGCCCGCCACGCCTCCCGCCTCGATTCGACACGGCGGCGCGCACGGACCTGCCCTCGCCCAAGCGCACCAGCACCACCGCCGCACGATCTCGGACGCCGACTCGGTGCGCACGATGGCCTCGTCGTCGCTGCACGGTGCGAGCGACCTCGGCTCGTCGTCGGCGGCGGGCACGGCGGCTCAGCCGAGGCGGCCGTCGGCGCTCTCGCTCGGCGTCACGACCGAGGACCCGATCTCGGCCCTGCCGCGCGACGTGCAGAAGATGTTTGACGCCGCCGTGCGCATGCTCGCGAGGTCGCTCGAGCTCGAGCTCGTGTACCTCGCCGCGCTCGACCTCGCCGGCCTCGGGTCGTCGGTCCTCGAGTCGGACAGCGCCTCGGTCTCGTCGGCCGCGCTCTCGTCGAGCGCAGCGGCGAGCGGCAACGGCGTGAGGCTGCGCGTCCTGGCGGCGCACGGCCTGCCGACGCCGCCGCCGTCGTTCGACCCGGCGCTGCACGTCAAGGCGTTGCGCGCGCCCGAGGGCGGGCTCATCTACAAGAACCCGCGCTTCTCGCCGTCGGCGTCGGCGTCGTTTGCGGCGGGCATCCTCATCCCGGTCCTCGAGGTGCGCAGGACCGGCTTCGTCCTGTGCTCGTACTCGCGCGACCCGGCGCGGCAGTTTGTCCAGCGCGACCTCGCCCTCCTCGTCAAGATGGCCGAGTCGCTCGAGACGAGCTGCGTCAAGGCGTCCAAGTCGCTCCCCTCGGCCGCCTTCATCTAGCGCACGTCCCTCGCTCCCTCCCTCTCTCCCTCTCTCTCTCTCTCTCTCTCCCTCCTCGTCGTCTCCCTCGTCGTCTCTGTTGTCCCCCCTCTCTGTACCCGGACTCTCTGCGGAAGTGCGGCGCTGTAGCCTGATCGAAACCATTGCAGACAAGCTCTCCATTCTCTCTCTCGCTCTTCCATCGTGCTCGAGAGGCAGCCGATTCGCTCGCTCTGCCCTCAGGACCGGTTCGAGCCTCGCCTCGCTGCTTCTGCCGGTGCGCTGAGCCTCGCAATGGCTCCTGCCACCTTCTACGAGGGCCCACGCTCCTGCGCGTCTCTCTCTCGGCACGGCAAGGAGCATTACACGAGGACTTTGCAAAAGAAGGAGCTACTCGCCCTTGGACCCGCCCGCTGCCGCCGCCTGCTGCTGCTGCTGCTGCGCCATCTTCATCCTCATCATCTCTGTGCACGCCTGAAAGCTGTCGAGAGGAGGAGGAGAAGGTCAGGTCCGTGTCACGGCGAGAGGGAACGAGCGGACCCAGCCGACGCACTTGTCCTGCTTCTTCTCGATCTGGCCCTGCAGCGTCGCCAAGTTGGACTTGAGGGCGAGCACCTTGGAGTTGTACAGCGTCTTGGCCTCCTTGGTGTTCTGCGAGCGCGTCGTGTCGAGGTCAGTGCCGGGCGGGACGAGGAGGCGAAAGGGAGGCGGGCGCACCTTTTCGACAAAGTAGCCCGTGCCGATGTCGACGAGGACGTTGTCCGTGTCCTTTATCCGCCCGGGGACGTACAGCGAGCTCGTGAGCGGGATGAGGATCTTCTTCTCTGCGGTTGGGGCCGCGGGAAGGGGGGTAAGCGACCGAGTCGAGGAGGGGAGGGGGAGGAGAGAGAGGGACGCACCCTTGTTGGCGGGCTTGATGGACTCGAGCGAGTCTATGCAGCCAGCAAACTTGCTCTGGGCCTGCTTGAGGTCGCCGAACGCCTGCGTGAGGTGCTTGAGCTCCTGCAAGTCGGCGAGATGATGAGGACGAGGGGGAGCGGTCAGTCTGTGGGACAGGGGCGGGCTCAAGGGGGAACGGACGGCGCACCTGCTCAAGCTGTGTCCTGACCTGGGACAACTGCTCCAAGGAGAGCTGGTCGAGCGAGACGGTGCCGGCGGGTGCGCTCATCGCGTTTCGAGGAGGAGATGAGGCGGCGAGGAGCTGTCGAGGCCGGTGCGAGGGTGGGGCTAGCGCTGTAGCGTTGTGGCTGGTGCTGTGCGTGTAGCCTGTGCTGGTCGGCTTCAGCAGAGAGGCGTGGCGGAGCGAGCCAGAGCTGTCGCAGTGGGCGAGGCGCACTTGCTGGCCACAGACCTCCCCTCTCGACACGAGCAGCAGTGAGAGCACACTGTCCAACACTCTATTGCACGGCTACATCTGCCCCTGCCTCCCAGAGAGATATACCGAGATGGCGAGCACGTCGTCTCCTCCCGCCCGCGCGAGCGCATCGACCAAGTCGTCCCGCGACGCCTGCGGCAGTATGTCCTGCAGCCGCACCAGCTTGTCTTCCTCCCGCTCCTCGTCCACCGCGCCATACGCCGAGTCGTGCCCGCCCATGCCGCCGCTCAAGTGCGCCGGCACGCTCGCCGACGCCGCGAGGCCGCCGAGCCCGCCGCCCATGCCGCCGCCAAGCGACGCCGAGCTGCCGTAGCTAAAGCTCGTGCGGACGGGCAGTGGCGGCGGCGCACCGGAAGGGAGCGAGGGCGAGCCCGAGGGCGAGTAGCGCGCGTCGAGCGACGCACGCTCCGCCGGACCGTTGGGCATGCGCGGCCCGCTGATCGAGCGCGTGCCGCCGATGGGCGTCACCGACGCCGACGACGGGCTCGTGAGGGCGAGGTTGGTCGAACTGAGGAGCTGCACCGGCGCCGAGATGTTCATGGCCGCGCCCGGTCCCGCCGGGTGGTGCCCGTGGTGCTCGCGCTTCGACGCCCGTCGCCCGAGCGACCCGCGACCGACGACGCCGAGGCCCGAGAAGAAGCTCGCCTTGCTCCCGCTCGAGAAGGCCGACGGCGGCGCGCCGCTGCGCAGGCTGCTCGTGCTGATGGCCGCACCGAGGTTGCCGCCGCCGCCGCCGTTGTAGCCGAGCACGCCCGGGTACGGCGCGTTGGCCGGGACCATGTCGCAAGGGCTGAACGAGCTCGACGGGAGCTCCTTGGCGCGGTAGCCGTGCCCGTCGGCTCGAGGCGCGAACGTGGCGGTCGAGGCGTCTTGGCGGGAGGCGCGCCGGCTCGAGTTCTGAATTGGCGACGCTGCGGGCGGAGCTGTATCGCTCGACAAGAGGGTCAGTCGATGAACAAGTGAGGGCGAGGAGGAAAGAGATGAGGACGCACCTCGGCCGCTCGCACCCCTGCCCTCCCTCATCGCCCTGACCCACTCGTCCAACCTGCTCCTCTCCCTCGCGAGCTCGTTGATCTTCTCGGCGTAGATCCGCCCGCGCTCCCTCGGCGTCCTCGCACGTCTGAGCTCGGCGACGATCTGGACGGCCGGCGGGAGCGGGCGACGGCGCAGGAGCGGCGAGCTGTCGACAGGCCGAGGTGCCGCCGCGACGGCCGGGCCTGGTGGCGGAGCGAACGAGGGCGCATTGGCCGACGAGCGGCGCCGGATCGAGAGGGTGGTGGCGGCACTGGCGACGGACGGCCGCTTCGAGTCGTTGGGCGGCGGGACAGGCGGCGAGCCCTCGGGCGACGGCGGCTCGAGCTCGCCGACCTGGGCCGGCACGGGCGGGTCGACGACGCAGGACGAGGACGAGAGCTCGGGTCGTACGAGCGGCGACGCTGGCGGCAAGGGCGGGAGCGCCGGCGACGCCGTGTCGAAGAAGGGCGCGGCGTCGGGCGACATTGGCGAGCTCGAGGACACGAGCCTCTCTGCGGCGCTGACGGCGGCCGCCGGCGCAGCGAGGACCGCGAGCGACGCCTCGTCGGCGTCGTCGGCCGCCGCCGCCGCCTTTGCGCGCCGCAGGTCGGCGAGGAAAGCCGCCGCGCGCGCTTTGGCGTCGCCTCGAGTTGGCGTCGAGGGCGAGCCTGCGCTGCCCTCGCGCGGCGGGAGCGTCGCCGGGGCGACGGCGACATTGACGTGGAGGTTGGTGCGCCCGCCGTTGTGCGCCCGCTGCGGCGCGAAGTCCTCGGCGGCGCTCACCGGCTCCCGCCCGTGCGACGACGTCCCGGCGCCGCTCTCGCTCCCAGCGACCGCGTCGTGCCCGTCGCCGCCGACAAGGCTCATCGTCGCACCGTGCGGCGCGACAGGTGAGCGCGTCGACGGCGGGTACTCGCTCTCGGACGCGATCGAGTACTCGGCCCACGAGTCGCGGCCGTACGCGAGCGCGAGGTCCGAGACCGAGTACGGGACCGAGAACCTGCGCGAGGATGATCTGTCGTCAGTCACGCTGTGGATAGGGTTGCGGAAGGAGGAGTGGAAAGAGGTAGATAGGACGCACCGGTTGCCGCTCGTCGTGCCCTCGCCCGACGCCGAGGGCGCAACGGGCGACCCGGGGACGGGCGAGCCGCCGAGGACGCTCAGGCGCCGACTCATGCGCCGCGCGCTCTTCTCGGGCACGCTCGGCGCCGGGCTGCGGGCCGTGCGCAGGCGCGGCGACGAGAGCGCGAGGGGAGGAGCGGCTGCGGCCGAGCTCGCGGCTGCGACAGGTGCTGCAGCGAGCGGCGCTGCCGACGACGCGGCCGAGGCTGAAGAAGTTGCCGCTGCGGGCCCTGCTCCTTCTGCCAGCGATGCCGCAGACCCACCCTGCTCGGCCTCGACAGGCATCGGCGCCGGCACGCCCGCCACGAGTGCCGCCGCCGTCGCGCCGAACGTCGCGCCGTCGGCCGCGGCGCCGCCCACGCTCGAGGCGTTGCTGCGCAGGCTCAGCGCCGAGGCCTGGCGCCGCGCCGGCCGAGGAGGCTGCGGGCCCGGGCTGCGCCTCCCGCCGCTCGTTGCGCTCGTCGCGCTGCGGAGTGAGGTGCGCGAGGACGGGCGGTCGATGGCGGAGGAGGCGCCGCCGGCGGGGACGAGGAGGGTCGCCGAGGCGAGGTCGGGGTGCGACGCGGCGTGGGCGAGAGGTGCTCGAGGTGGAGACGAGGGCGAGGTCGACGGCGTCGAGAATGAGGAGGACGGGATCGAGGTCGAGAGGACGGCGAGCGCGTGCGAGGGCGAGAGGGAAGAGGTCGAGAGGGAAGGTTCTGCAACGCCGACAGAACGAGTCAGTACTCGTCGGGCGAGAGGTACGAGCTTTGGGACGCACGAGGGACGATGTCGACACCCGCAACCGGCCTTGCCCGCTCCGCCTCGACTCCCGCACCTTCTCGTGCCCCTCGCCCGCCCGTGTCCTCCTCGCCGCCAAGCCCTGCTCGTCCCTGCGCCCTCGCCGCCTCGACCGGCAGCGGCGGCAGTGGCGGGCTCGCGAGCGGTGCCCCTCTCGGCGGCGCTGCGGCCGGGCCCTCGCCCGGCGAGGGAAGGGGCGACGGCGCGGTGCCGCCGCCGCTGACGCCCTGCAGCAGGCTCGGGCTGCGCGAGTCGGCGTACGCCGCCGCCCAGTCGAACTCGCTCATCGGGCGGTCGGTCGGGCCGGCGGCGGAGGCGAGCGCGAGCGGGATTGCGGGCCCGTCGGCGAGGAGGGGCGACTGGATCGGCGACGAGCCCGAGGGGAGGAGGTTCCCTGCCCAGGCGTTGTCGTCGTCCTCGCTCGAGTGAGACGAGAAGGGCGCGTGGCGCGACGACGACGGCGACGAGGCGGCTGGGCGGTCGTCGTCCTGGTCGAGGGCGGGGTCCGAGAGCGACGCGGCGGCGGCCGTGTCGACGTCGAGCCAGGTGCGTGACGGGGCAGGGTACGACGAGTGCTGGGCCTGGGACGACGACGACGAGAACTGGCGCGGGAGGAGCATGGGCGGCGTGTGGGCGCCGAACGCCGACGAGGTCGACGGGGCCCACGAGCGCGGCGTCGCGTCGGCCGGCGCCGCATGTCGACTGCTGCGGGGCGTCGACTCGCCGTCCCGATCCTTCGCCGGTGCGCGCGGCGTGACGGGTCCGGCGCCGCCGAGAGCGAACGCGCTCGCTCGCGGCGGCGGTTGCGGCGGCGGCGGGAGGACCGACGACGTTGGCGAGCTGGCGCCGGGTCCACGCCGCTCCGCGCTCGCGGACGCGTACGAGGTCGTAGCAGTCGGCGAGGGAGCTTGTCGCTGCTCAAAGGCCGAGCCGAGCGGGCCGGCCGACGCGCGAAAGTCGCGATGGGACGAGGTGCGCGGCGGGAGGGTGCGGAGGACCGGGTAGGCCGGGTTGACGAACGGCTCGAGGGTGGGTGGCGGAAGTGGTGGTGGTGGCGGTGGCGGGCCGTACGAGGACGCAGGTCGTGTCGACGACGAGAACCACGAGGCGGGCTGAGGTGGGGCAGGAGAGCTTGTTCGAGGAGGGAGCGGCGGGGGCGCAGGTTCGGGGCGGGTCGCAGGCTGTTTGGCGTAGGTGGCCTGGATACGGTCGCCGGTCGCAGGTGCAGCCATGGCCCCTGAGGAGCAAGCGGTCGCTCAGGGTCCGGGTCGACGAGGCGAGCGGCTCGAGTTGGGCGAGCTGCACGCGGCGCGCGTGACGGTGGGCGGGGCGAGGCCGTGTGCAGGTGTCGGTGCAGGGCCGAGCGTTGGCCAGCTGCGCAGAGCGTGTGAGGTCGAGAGGAGGAGTAGCTGACAGAGGCTCGGGCGAGTTCCGTCGCTCCTCCTCCTCACCTCGCGCCCCCTTGCTGGTCCAGCTTGCTCTCGATGGCACCAGGCGTACAGAGCGGTACCGCCGTCGTCCAGGCCAAAAAGCTCCTGCGCCGCGCCATCTCGTCCCGCCTCGCCGCTCTCCCCGCTCACCAGGTCCACCAAGAGTGTTCGTCCACCGTTCCTTTCTGAGTCGCTAGGCAGCCGAGACCACACGCCACGGTGCGAGCGCCCTGACCGACGAAGAGCGCTCGCAGCTCAAGCCGTCGTCGCCCACCTCGTCTCGTCGCCCCACTACGCCGCGGCATCCTCCGTCTCGGTCTACCTCTCGACCGCCCACGGCGAGGTCCACACCGACGCCATCATCCGCCACGCCCTCCAGCACGGCAAGCGCATCTACGTCCCGTACTGCCCAAAGGAGGACAAGACCACCATGCGCATGCTCCGCCTCCGCGACGAGCACCACCTCGACCAGCTCGCGCCAAACCGATGGGACATCCGCGAGGTCGACCCGTCAGAGGTGCGTCGTGCCGCTCTCTCTCTAGCCAACCGTCGAGGCACGAGACTGACCCGCCTGTCGTCCATCGCATCTGCAGGCCGACTCTCTCGAAGACGGTGCGCCCGCCCAGCCTCACCCTCCTCTCTCCACCTCTCGCACGCACACACTGACTCGTCTCGCCGTCGTCTCGCAGCCGACGCACCAACCTCGCCCGGCCTCGACCTGATCCTCGTCCCCGGCCTCGCGTTCGACCCGCTCCGGCGACGACTCGGCCACGGCCGAGGGTACTACGACCGGTACATGACGGCGTGCATGGACTACCCGAAACGGTTCGGCAAGCCCGCACCGAGAACCGGTGCGCCCCTCGTCCTCTCTCTCTCTCCTGACGGACGAGCGCGAGCTCACCCGACTCGATGCCGCAGTTGCGCTCGCGCTCCGGGCGCAGATGGTCCAGGACGGCGAGGCCATCCCGCTCAACGAGTGGGACCGGCTCGTCGACGTGCTCGTCACGCCCGACGGCGAGATCAAGTAGCGCGCGCTGCAACGAGGGACAGGCTGGACCTTCCCAAACTCGCTCTCTCTTGCGCGCGGTGTCGAGAGGGACGCGCAGAGGCTGGTGACACAGAGAGGGAGAGCTACAACACGAGAGAACGCGACAGGGTAACTCGTACACGGAGAGAACAGAGAGCCGGGTTCACTCGTCGTCCTCGTCGGCCGAGCCCATCTCGACCTCGCCCTCGCCCTCGCCCCACGCCTCTCGCGCGCCCTTCTGCTCGACGACGACGGCGTTCTTGTCCTCGGAGAAGATGCGCACGAGTCGAATCCTGGTCGTGCGAGGGCGAGTCAGTGTCGGTCGCGAGAGAGAGAAGCAGAGATGGGGACGGACCGGCCGAGGAAGGACGGGTCGCCGCCCTTGGCGTTCTTGCCCTCCTTGGACGGCGCCGGCCGCACCCACTGCCTGCACAGCTCGACATTCTCCGGGATGGTCAAGTCGGGCAGCACTGCGGGCGAGAGGCGGAGCGCAAGTCAGTCTCGAGAGGCCCGCGCGCGCGAGAGAGAGAGAGACGAAGGGCGACGACGCACCGAAGCCGCTGCGGTACTCGCTCGTCTCCTCCTTGCGCAGCTCCTCGAGCTCGATCTCGCGCTTGCCCTTGCCCTCGGTCTTGCGCCAGTTGGAGCGCGACTCGCGCTCGTGGGCGAGGTCGACGAGCTCGGACGCGTGGCGGTTCAGGTAGCCGTGCAGGACGTCGTGGAGCTCGGGGAGCGACAGCGAGGTCGTGTCTTCGGAGAGGGCGTGGACGAAGTACAGGAGGCGGTCAACTGCGCGAGGGGACAAGGGAGCGGGGAGGTGAGCTCGAGTGGGGTTGAGCGACCGGGGGGACGTGAGGAGGGGAGGCGAGGGAGAGAGGGGATGGGGCGCACCTTCGTGGACCTCCTGTACACGGCGGACCTTGCCGTGGACCTCGAGCTTCTTTGTGCGGAGCTCGACGCGCTGGAGCTGCTTTGCGCGGCGCGAGTTTGGGTGGACGCCGCGCGAGGCGATCTTTGTCTTTTTGCTCTGGAGGGCCTTTGTGGTCTTGACCTTGTTGTTGGGCATGGTGGGAGCGAGTTCTGGCTGGAGCTGAGTGCCTTGGAGGCGGTGGAGCGAGACGAAAGCCGGTGAGACGCGCCAGCTTCATCAGCTCGACCCCGGTGGCTCTCTCTCACCCGCCACCATGTCGCTCGTCGCAGCCCTCGAGGGCCATCACGGCACCCTCGGCCTCTATGCCGCAGTACAGCGCCTCTTCTGCGCCTTTGGCTGCTTCGCTCTCCCCGGCTCCCTCCTCCTCGGTTCGTCTTCCCCTCCTCCCCCACCTCTCTCGGTTCCCCTCGACATCGCTCACCTCGCACAACGCCCCCCGCAGATGCACCTTTCGGCCGCTTCGGCACCTGGTCCAACGCCCTCACCGTCAACGGCGACCTCGGCTGGCTCGTCATGGAGGCCTTTGCGCCCCTCACCTTCCTCTGCGCCCTCGCCCTCCCTCTCACCACCACTCCACTCTCGCGCCACACCCTCCTCGCCTGCGCCTCGCCCTCGACCATCGTGCGCGCCTTCCTCGCCCTCGACCGGCCCCGCCAGCTCCTCGCCACCCTCTTCCTCGTCCACTACTCGAACCGGTCCGTCATCGGCACCCTGCGCAACCCCGGCCGCGCCCCGATGCACCTCGTCATCCCCGTCCTCTCGGCCCTGTTCAACTTCGCCAACGGTGGCACCCTCGGCGCGTGGCTCTCGGCCGGCGGTCGCACGGCCGGCCTCGGCCTCAAGGCCCACTCGCCGTCGTCTCGCGCCCTGTTTGCCCTCGGCGTCGGCCTGTGGGCAGCAGGGTTCGCCGGCAACATCTTCCACGACGAGCACCTGTACGCCCTCAAGCGCGCCAAGCAGCGCTCGCTCGCAAAGGGCAAGGCGAAAGCCTCGTCGTCGTCGTCCGGCTCGGGCTCGGGTTCGAGCGCGGCGCAGGGCGACAACAAGCCGCCGGCGCACGAGCGTTACTCGATCCCGACTCGAGGCCTGTACGCCCTCGTGTCGCACCCGTCGTACCTGTGCGAGTGGGTCGAGTGGTCCGGGTTCGCCCTCGCAGCTCTCCAGCTCGCGCCGGCGCCCTTTCCCTCGTCGACCTCGGCAGCAGCCGCAGCGCGAGGCGTGCTGCAGCCCCTCGCGCAGTGGTACCTCCAGCCGCCGGTCCTGTTCGTCCTGCAGGAGGTGGCGGCCATGCTGCCCCGGGCGAGGAGCGGCCACGCGTGGTACAAGCGCACGTTCGGCGCCGAGTGGGAGCGCAAGGGCGCGAGGTGGGCTGTCATCCCGGGCGTCTACTGAGCGTGTGGGCGAGGGCGGGCGACGCAGAGGAGGAGGGGCGAGGTGGAGAGGCCCGAGCGTGCGGGTCGAGCTTGTACAGGTGCGTCCCCAGCCTTTCTCGCCTCTCTCGACCGCGCTCTCAGGCTGGGACTGACTCTCGTCGCCCTCTCGGACAGACTGTTGTCAATCAAGATGTTTCTGCGAGCCGAGCGAGAGAGAGAATGAGCGGATCTTGGTGACGGCGAGGATTGCTGGCTCGACTTTCGCTCGCCGTCGCGGACCTCTCGAGACCTGCTTCTCGCGCACAGGCGCTCCATTGCGACCGACGCTCTACCACTTGGACACGGCCTCCTTGCCGCCGTCGAATTTGGCCAGCTCCTTCTTCCACCCGGGCGTGTCCCCCCACTTCTCGATCAACCGCTTGAGCTCCTCCTTCTGCTCGCGCTGCGGCCTCTCGAGCCCACCCCTCGCGCCCTCGCGCTCGGCCCCCTCGGGCACGCGCGCAAACACGTCGCCAAACATCGCTGCGAGCGGCGGCTTCTTGTCCTTCTCGGCCTTGGAGAACTCGCGCAGGATGGCGCGCTTGGCCGAGTCCTTGGCCGCGTTGTCGCGCTCGGTCGACCACCGCGGTTTGGGGAGCGACTCGAGGTACCGGCGCAGGCGGAACAGGGGAGAGTCGAGCTTCTTGACCGACTCGACGGCCGACAGCGAGCGGTACGCCGACGAGTCGTCCGACGTCGAGTGGTGCCCGACGCGGTACGTCATGGCCTGCGAGCGAGAGACGCACAGGGTGAGTGGGCGCCCTGAGACGACGTGAGAGGGGCTCGGCGCCGACGCACCTCGACGAGAACCGGCTTCTTGCCCTCGACCGCCCGCCGGCGCGCCTCCTTGCACGCGAGGAACACGGCGAGCGGGTCGTTGCCGTCGACGCGGATCGTGTCGATGCCGTAGCCGGGTCCGCGCGCCGCGATGCCGTCGCCGGCGTACTGCTGCGAGGTCGGCGTCGAGATGGCGAAGCTGCGTGCGCGTGAAGGTGGTCAGGGACCGTGCGCAGGGAGCGACGATGCTCGTTGAAGTTGAGGGCGCACCCGTTGTTCTAGGAGAGGTCAAGCGTCAGTCCGGGCGATGCAGAGCGAAAGAGAGCATGAGACGCACCCTGACGACAAAGACAAGGGCGCCGCCGAGAACGCTCGCCACTGCGCGACGAGCCAAAGGGTCAGAGGCGTCGTTCTCCCGCCGCCGACCGAGAGAGAAACGACAGGACGCACTGTTGAGCCCGGCGTGAAAGTCTCCCTCGCTCGTCGCGCCCTCGCCGGCGTAGCAGACGACGCACGAGTTCTCTCTGCCCGGCGTGCGCTTGAGCGCGTACGCCGCGCCGGCCGCCTGCGGGAACTGGGTCGCGAGCGGCGACGAGATCGTGTGGAAGTGGTGCTCCTTCGAGCCGTAGTGGACGGGCATCTGGCGGCCTGCGCGAGGGAGGAGGAAGCGTGAGCGGGGCGAGGTTCGCGAGCGAGGGAAGGGGGACGAGCCGACGCACCGAGAGTCGCCGCATCTGACTTGGTCGAGAAGCACTGCGCCATCAAGCTCGACAACCTGCAGGAGAGTGTTTCAGCCTCTGGAACGGCGAGGGAGAGGGCGGTCCAAGGGAGAGAACGGGACGCACGGGTAGTTGCGCCAAAGAAGCACTCCCACCTCGCGGTACTGCGCAAATACCTCGTCGTCGTTCTCCCACGCCGCCGCAGACCCAACGACGACGCCCTCCTCGCCGTAGCTCGTCATGTAGAAGCTGAGGCGGCCTTGCCGCTGCGAGGCGTTGAGGATCTGGTCCTGCGAGAGGGCGAGAGGGCAAGGTCAGCTCCCGCCGGTTGTGACACGCCGCGCCCCTGCTTCTCTTTGACCCCTCGGAAAGACGCTCGTGACAGTCTGAGCGAGAGAGAGCACGCACAAGGACAGGAAGCATCGTCATGACCTCCATGACCCGCTCGAGCTTGTCGCCGTCGGCCTGCTCGGCGAGCTGCTGCGCCTCGCCCTCGACAGGCACTCCATCTGGACCGAGGACGCGGAACGCAGGGATGGGCGCGCCCCCGACCGCGTTGAAGAAGGTCGGGCTCGAGACCGTGTGGGTGAGCGGGGCGTGCGGGCGCGGGGCCGTGGTGCTCAGGGCGCGTCGGAGCAGGAGCTGGTGCGGCAGTCGGCTCAGGCGGTGCATGGCTGGGCGCGAGCTGTGCTGATGGTGGACGAGGAGGAGAGCAAGAACGAGGGCGGGCGGTCGGCGTGCGCGCCGAGCCGAGTGGGGAAACGGTCTCCCGCCTGAGCTGCGTCGCGTCGACTCGGTTGCGCTCGTTCGCAGGGCGCAGCTGACCCCTGAGCTGCTTTGCACACTGCCGGACGCTATCCAAGCCTCGCACCGAGACGAGGGAGCAGAAGGAAGTAGGCGAGGAGGGGTCCGAGCGTGCCTTCTCAAGCCGAACGCCGCCGACGAGAACTCGCTCAGCTGCAACCATTTCGCTCCACGGCTCTGCTGAGGCCTGTCGAGACTCTCAAAGAAGGCGCTCGCGACGGAACGAGCGAGCAGGAAGCAGGCTGTCGGGTCGTCGCTCGCCCGACTCGAGAAGGGCGGCGACCGGGCCAACTCTCGCTGCACACGACAAAACAGCTCGGGAAACGCGGTCAATTGCACCGCAGACGTCTCTTCGTCCGATCTGGCGCGCGCACGAGGCCGTAACCCTGCTAGATCAAGAGCTAGCGTTTGAGCGAGGGTGCGCAGGATCCCCCTGTTTTTAGCAGGTGGCCGGGCGCACGGGCGCTCCGCAGGGGTGCGCACCGTGCGAGCGGCTCACCAGAGTGCGCCCGCTGCCCTCAGGGGCACGTGAGGGCGGGCGCAGCCTCGTAAGGACCCGTCCGCGGCGGCTCGACTCGCTGAGCCGACGGGACGAGTGCGACGACGGACAAGGACTCTGTGCGGTCCGGGAACGCTCGAAAGAGACGAGGCGAGCTTTCGGAGAGGGAAGGGCGCCGTCGTGTGGCGCAGGAAGGGCGCGAGGGGAAGCTTTCGGGGCCGAGAAGGGGGGAGGTGCCATCGAGGGCTCGACTGACCTGCGGCACGAGGTCGAGAGAGTCAGGGCGCGGCTCAGAGAGATACACAGAACTCTGTGTAGGTCCTGGTGGCGAAAGAAAGGGCGAGAGGGACGTACAAGGATCTGGATGAGCCGGCTCGAGGTCGACAGCGAGCCGCACACCGACTGAACGACCAACTACCCACTCAGCGCAGCCGCACCACCTGTGAAAGGATTGAGTGAGCTCTGTGACGCGTCTGGTATGCGCCGCAAGGTGGCTGAGGGGGCGAGAGGGGAGGGAGAGGGCCGCCAAACACTGGGAGGCGGGGAGGAGAGGGACGCACCCATCTAGAGAGGCCCGCGCAGCGTGCCCGGCCCGCTCAGCGCCGTCGTTGCACCTTCTCGAGTCCTCGACGAGCGCGTCCACCAGTAGACGAGTCGTTGTCGCCAGTCGAGGAACGGTGACCGACGCGCGACGATGATGAAGGTTTGGCGAGACGGCGAGCGCTCGCAGCGGTGCGGGGGGCAGCTCGTAGTCGTAGCTGAGGCAAGCAGGTACTCGGGCGAGCTGCAAGGGGCCGACCCAGGCGTGAGGGCACGAGTGGCAGGAGCGAGGCGAAGGGCGGGCGACGAGAGGGCGTGAACTTCTCGGACGTGGGGTCTCTCACAATGTAGGACATTCTGCCGCAAAGAGATACAGTCAACACGGCTGCAGCCCACGATAGCAGCCGGGCACGACCTGCGCGCCGACCCACAGCTCTACTCGACCTTGCTCCTCCCGCTCCCGCTCCACCACGCACCGCACCTCGCGACCGCCTGCGCGACGCGCTCGACCCACACCTCGGCCTGGTACGAAAGGAGCGGCGGGAGGATGTCGGCGACGCCGATGTCGGGCCAGTTGGGCTCGATAAAGTGGAGGATCGTGCGCTCGCTCGACTGCGGACGAGTGCGGCGCGAGCAAAGGGTCAGGTCGTTCGACCCACTGCCTCTGCGCGAGGAAGAGAGAGAAATGCGAGGACACACCTGCCACAGGAGAAAGTCGCTCAGGCGCGAGACGCCCGAGGTGCGGATAAGGATGTCGAGCGGCGGCGACGCGGCCGTGTACAGGTTGGCGGCGATCGTGTCCTCGGTGATGTCGCTGCTTGACGAGAAACTTGAGGTCAGGGAAAGCGCAGGAGGCGAGGTGAGAACGAGAGGGCGTACTCGATCGAGAGCGAGCCGGCCACGCACGAGTCGACGGTCCGCTTGACGGCCGTCGCGATCTCCTCCTGCGACGTGTACGGGCAGCACAGGTTGAGGATACCCCTGTGCGCGAGGGAAGAGTCAGTCCGGCGTCCTTGAACGCGTGGTGGACGAGCCGACGCACCTGGTGTTGCTCGCGGTCATCTCCTCGGCCTTGGCGCACGAGTCCTGCACGTCGAGCGGCAAGAGGTCTCTTCGGCCGAGGACGCGAATCTGGATGCCGTACTGCTGGAGGAGGGCGCTGCACGAGGGCGAGGCTGGGTCAGAAGGGGAACGAGCGCACGTGAAAGAGAGAGAGAGGAGCGGGCTCACCCGTGCTGGCAGATCTCGACGAGGCGGGTGCGGGCCATGGCCATCAAGGCGTCGACCTCTGTCGGGTCGCGGTTGAAGTTCTCGATCGAGAAGGCGTAGACGGTGACGTGCGGGATGTCGAGTTTGAGGAGGAACGACAGGACGCGCTTGAGGGCGTCGAAGCCTTCCTCGTGGCCGACGCGGACGGGGAGGTTGCGGGTGCGTGCGCTGCGACGGTTGCCGTCCATGATGAAGGCGACGTGGCGTGGTCGGGGCCCGAGTCGGAGCGAGCGCACGAGGAGGGAGCGGAGGAACGGGTGGAGGAAGCGAGGGATCCACGCGAGGAACGACGACGACAAGGGGAGGTGGACGTCCGAGGTGGCGGCATCGGGGGTGCTGGCCCACGTCGGTGCCCAGCCTGGCAACCACGCGGCGAGCGAGGGCGGCATGGCCACGGCGGACGCGAACGAGGCGGTGTCGAGGAGCCGGGTGGGCGGGTGCACTCGCGGGCGTGAACGCGCTCGCTTGCAGAAGCTCTTGTGTAGCTTGTAGATCAGAGCAGCAGTGCGGTCGTCGAGTCTGGCGGGTGTGCGAGGGTTGGAGAGCGAGGCGAACCTCTGGCTCGTGTGGTCGTTGGCGGTCGACCACCTCAAGCTCCGCGCTCGACTCGCACAGGAGCAGCCGGCCTTGCTGCACCGCACTGCGACTCACTACGACCCGGCCGCGTCCCCCTCCCACCACCGCTCGACCCCGCTCTCATCAAGCTCGCTCGTCCGCCCGTCACTCGACCCTCGCCCCGGCTCGTCACCCCCCAGCACCGACAGCAGCATGGCCTCGTCTGGTTCTTCTACCCGGTCTGCATCCCCCAGCCAGACCTTGTCAACCCGCCCGACCGCCTCGAGGGTCCGTCCTCCTCCACTCTCCCCACCTTGCCATGGCGTCGCTCGACTGCACCGAGCGTGGCTGTGAGCTGCATGGGATCGTGGATGGACACTGACCAAGCTCTCATGTATTCGCAGTCGAGCGCAGGTGGCGCCTCGACCACGTCCAACCTCGAGTCGACCATCACTCGCCTCCTCGTCGCGACCAAGCAGCTCCTCGAAGGTGCGCCTCTCGTATCCCCTCATGCACTCGCCCCATGTCCTGTCACTGACACTCAGACGACCCGACAGGACTCGCCAAATGGTCCCGCCGCGAGGTGGACGAGGAGGAGATCTCGCAGATCTACGTCAAGCTGGGCAACGACTTCAACGTCGCCGTCGCCGCCTTTGCTCGCGAGGGCATCACGATGAAGTGCGTCCAACCTCCCCCTTGCTCTCAGCCCCCGTCATCGTCGCTGACTCTGTCGTGCCGCCACAGCGAGCTCATGGCGGTCCCGTCCGACCTGCGCGTCTGCCTCGAGAGCTGCTTGTCCAACCCTCCCTCGCAAGCCACCCTCGAGCTCCACCTCCCTGACGTCCGCCAGATCATCATCGGCCTCCTCCACGGCCTCCGCGACAAGCAGCGCCAGTACCGCGAGGGCGTCGCCGCACGCCGCGCCCGCGAGGCCAACGCCAAGGGCAAGGCGCCGGCTCTGCCGCCCTCGTCCAGCAGCGGGTCCGCAGGCGGCCTCCCGCTCACGCCCAACAGTGCGGGCAGGTCGCGCGAGGACCTGCGGCGCTTCGTCTCGCAGACGCAGGCGTCGTCGGCCCAGGACGAGGCGGCGGCGGCGAGGCGGTACAGCAACCGCAGCGCGGGCAGCGAGGTCGGGTCGTCGGCTGCCGCAGGAGCGCACGATCCTCGACTGTCGGCGGCGCTCAGCTCGCGCCTGTCGTCGGGCGGCAACGGCCCCATGCGCAGCTCGTCGATGCGCGACTCGTCCCGCTCGTCGAGAGCGACGTTCGACCCGCAGGACGGCTTCGCCCCAGCTCCGCCTTCCTCGGCGGCACCTGTTCACCCGTACATCCCGAGGACCAACTCGGCAACGTCGATCGAGTCGGTCCGGTCGGTCGCGAGCGCGTCGGGATCCGCTGCGCCGTCGCAGCGCGGCCCGCCGAGCGACCGCCCGCGCATGGTGTCGCCGCCTCCTCCTCCTTCGCGCACTCGTGACGGCGCAGTACCTGCCGTCCCGCAGACGCCGACGATGGACACGTTCGGCAGCGTCATCAGCGCTCCCTCCCCTCTTCCCTCGACCGTCATCCGCCCTCCTTCCATCGCCTCGGTCGCCTCGTCCGCCGAGGAGCCGCACGTCCAGCAGGCGCAGGCCGCCTCTCTCGAGGCTCTCAAGGCCTCGGACAACCTCTCGCGCCGAGCGAGCAAGCGCTACTCGGCGTACGCGATCCAGAAGATGACGAGCCCGACCCCGGGCTCGTCGTCGCCCTCGCCCGGCGGCACCGTGTCGAGCCCGAGCCACGAGCGCGCCAACCGCGCCCGCACCGTCGACCTGTACCGGGCAGGCTCGGGCTCGTCGGCCGGGCGCGAGCTCGCCGGCGCCGCCGACGTCCGGCGCAGCAAGAGCGAGCACGGCCGCGTCAGCCACGGGCGCACGAGCAGCCGTGCTGGCTCGGGCAGCGCTGGGTCCGCCGCGCCGCCGATACCGCCTATACCGCGGTCGTACTCGTCGCAGGCCGACCTGCGCACCGGCGCGGGCCACACGAGCCCGATCCTCGAGGAGGACGAGCGCGGCTCGCCGGCGGCCAGCCTGCGCTCCCCGCCCGCGTTCCCTCCGCCACCTCGGCCTGCCGACAGCGCCATCCCCACCTCGACCTCGTCGACCTCGCTCCGCCCCGCCGTCGACGCGCCTCGGTCGCCGTCGCCGGCGCTCCCGCCGCTCCCTACCGACGCACCTTCCTCCTCTACCGACGCACCCTCGACCACGCCTCGGCACCCACCGCCGTCGTCGCCTCCTTATCTACCGCCGCCGTCGTCCGAGCCCGAGTACCCGTGCTCCATCTTCCTCCAGATCGGCCGCGACGTCAAGAAGGCGCGCCTGCTCGGCCCGCCCGACATCCAGAGCCTGCGCCAGCTGTTCGTCGAGCGGTTCGGGTTTAACCCGGGCATGAGCGGCTGGCCCGACGTGTACCTGCGCGACACGGATGCGGGCGTGCACTTTGAGCTCGAGGACATGAGCGAGGTGAGGGCGGGCAGCGTGCTCAGCCTCAACGTCGACAGTGCGTCTTGCCTTCCTCTCTCCCTCACTCTCTCCTCTGCCCGTGACTCGTGACAAGAGGCACAGACTGACTCGGCCCTTTCGTCCTCTCGCAGCCGTCGAGGCCGTCAAGCAGCACATCGACCTGGGCATGTCCACGCTCGCGCAGGACATTAAGGAGCTTCGCGCGACCGTGACCGCCATGCGCCGCCTGTCGATGTCGGCCTCGTCCGCCACGCTCGCCCTCCCGCTCCTGTCGCCGTCGTCGCAGCCTCCGCCCGAGGCCCCGTCGTCGCCGAGCGAGAAGCAGTACCAGCAGGCGGCGCACAAGGTGCTCGCCATGCGCAAGCTCCACTCGACGCCCAACCTCGGCGCCGTCGCGACCGACGAGGGCGACGAACCTGCGCTGCCCGTGGCCGACGCCGCCGTCACCGCGCCGACGTCGCCCGCCCCGCCCCCGCCGGCTGCCGCCGCCGAGCGCTCGCCGGTCCCTGTACCAGCTCCCGTCGTCGTTGAGCCGCCGTCACCCGCGACGGCCGTCGCGCCCATCGTCGAGACGCTCAAGTCGCAGCACGCCGAGGTGCAGAACCTGCGGCGCGAGATCGGCGTCCTGCGCCAGATCTACGCCGACTTTACCTCGTCGACCAAGGAGATGTTCGCGTCGGTGCGGGTCCAGACGAGCCACGTGCAGCACCTCGCCCAGTCCAAGCTGTCGACCGACCGGGCGTTCGTCGAGGCCGGCACCGCCAAGCTCGAGGCCGAGAGCACCGACCTCGTCCTCCAGGTCGACACGCTCCAGGACACGATCGACACGATCCGCACCGACACGCTCCGAGGCGTCAAGCCACGGCCGCAGCACCTGAGCGAGGTCGCTTCGTCGCTGCGCAAGGCGACCGACGCGCGCACCAAGCTCGCGACCTGGCTCGCCGACGTCAAGCCGACGTGGTCCCAGATGTGGAGCGTCGAGTTGAGCAAGATCCTCGCCGAGCAGAAGGCGGTCGAGGAGCAGGCGACGCTCCTCGCCGAGCTCGACGACGACCTGACCGAGGTGTCGGGCGTCCTCACCAACATCCAGGCCGTCGCGCGGCAGCTCAAGGGCCCGGCCGGCGGCACCGGTGGCGCGACGAGGCGCGAGCTCACGTCGCTCGGCGGCGCCGACGACGCCAAGCGCGGTTTGTCGACCATCCTGCTCGAGGTCAAGGCGCTGCAGCCCGACCCGTCGCGGCGGCTCGAGGCGATCGCGCGCGCCGAGAAGCAGCGCGAGCTCGAGCTCGCGAGCCGCACCGACGAGTTTGCCGACGAGCTGGGCGACTTTGTCGGCAAGGGCAGGCTCAAGAAGAGCGGCGGGATCGAGGAGACGGAGCGGTTGCGCCAGCTGAGGAGCGAGGCGACTTTGCGGCAGATGTTCCAGGGCTAGACTCGTCGCCTGCACTGCAACTGAGAGCCGTGCACGTCCTCGCTTCGTTCGAGAGAGTCGACGCTGCTCCGGAAGCCGCGGACTTTGTGCTTCATCAGACGAGGCGACCTTTGACCTCTCTGCCTCGCTCCCACCGCGGCCATGTCTGCCGCCTCGAGCACGGCAGCTCGCCAGGTGCCATCGCGCATAGCTGCGCAGCTCGCGCGGGCACGCTCGCTCAATCCTCGCCTCAACGCCTTCACCCACCTCAACTCGCTCCAAGGTGTGCCCTCGTCTCGCTCCCTCCAGCCGCAGGATCGCGCAGACTGCTCACAGACACTCTCGTGCACAGATGTGACCGCCCAGAACGACCGCGCACCGCCAGCAGGCTCGCTCGAAGGCGTCTCGCTCGGCGTCAAGGACATGTTCGCGACCTCGGACGGCGCGCCGACCTCGTGCGGCTCTCGCATGCTCCAAGGTACGCCCCAACCGATTTCGCACTGTCCAGGAGCCACGCACGAGAGCTGACCCATTGCCTCTCCCCTTCCCTCCCCGCCGATTGTGACGAGCAGACTACGAGAGCCCGTTCGAGGGACCGTTGTGCGCCGACTACGAGCCGACGGGGCACTCGTCGTGGGCAAGACCAACATGGACGAGTTTGGCATGGGGTGCGTCGCTCCTCTCGCCTCTCCTCTCCTCTTGTCGCCCCGCCCTCCCCGTCGAACCGGACCCTGACGCCGATTCGGCTCCCCGCCCGTGCAGATCCGCCAACGTACACTCGCATTTCGGCCCCGTGCTCAACCCTGCAGGACCTGTCGGCATCGACCAGTCGCTCGCCGTGTCGGCCGAGGAGCAGCGTGTCGCAGGGGGCAGTTCGGGCGGGAGCGCTGCGGCGGTCGCGGCGGGCCTGTGCGACGTGTGCGTCGAGCTTCTCTGCCTCTCGTCATCTATCCGTACCTGACTTGGTCCCTCCTCCCGCAGAGCTCTCGCGAGCGATACCGGCGGCTCGACTCGGCTGCCGGCATCCTACTGCGGCATCCTCGGCTTTAAGCCCTCGTACGGCCTCCTGTCGCGTCACGGCCTCGTCGCCTACGCGAGCAGTCTCGACACGGTCGGCATCATGGCGAGGGAGGTGGAGCCTTTGCGACGAGCATTCGGTGCGTCCCCGTCAAGCCTTCTCGCTCGGACCTCGAGGCCACCCTCGGCGAGCGCGAGATCTCACAGCCAGTGCCTTTCTCGCAGTTTCAGCAAGCGCATACGACTCGAAGGACCCGACGTCGGCCCCGACGTTCGCCCGCACGAGGGCAGACGAGGTGCATCTCGCTCTGCGAGAACGGCTTGCGGGGCGAGAAGGAGCAGGAGTGCGAGAACGACCGCTGCAGGGCGTGCGGATAGGTGTACCAGCCGTGAGCTCTCTTTCATCCAGGCGCAGCCGTCGAGAACCTGCCCCTCGAACACCCTCCCTGACCCTCCCTCGCACGTACCGCCTCGCAGGACATCTTTCCGACCTCTCTCCTCTCTTCCTCCTCCGTCCTCGACCCGATCCGCACCTTCCTCCGCACCCTCGTCTCCCTCGGCGCATCCCTCTCGTCCGTCCGCCTCCCCTCGGCGCCGCTCGGCCTGTCGGCATACTATGTCCTCGCGTCGGCCGAGGCGAGCTCGAACCTGGCGCGGTACGACGGCGTGCAGTTCGGGCACCGGGCAGAGGAGAAGGTCGGCGAGAAGGAGCAGCTGTACGCGAGGACGAGGACCGAGGGGTTCGGCAAGGAGGTGAGGAAGCGGTTGCTCCTCGGGACGTTCGCCCTCAGCGCTGAGTGCGTCTTCTCGTCCTCTTTCTTCCCCTTTCCGGCCAAAATTCTTCTCAGAGCCTGTTACTGACTCTTGCGCCCGTGCGTGTCGCAGCGCGTTCGACAACTACTACCTGCAGGCGCAGCGGGTTCGGCGCCTCATCCAGCTCGAGCTGGACGACCTCTTTCGCTCGCCCAGCCCTCTCGCCACTCCCGCTCCACCTGCGGCACAACGACATGACGGCGTCGACTTTATCCTGCACCCGTCGGCCATGTCGACGGCGCCCCTCCTCGCCTCGTGCTCGCCCGCTGCGTCCGGCTCGACCTCGACCTCGCCCGCCTCGCCCGCCGACACCGAGCCGGCCTCGCGGTCCGCCTACGTCCAGGACCTTCTCTCTCTGCCGGCGTCGCTTGCCGGGCTGCCAGCGCTGTCGATCCCGGCCGGTCGCTCGACGGACGACGGCTGGCCCGTCGGCGTGACGCTCGTTGGGCAGTGGGGCGCCGACAGCGAGGTGCTCGAGGTCGCGCAGCGTGTCGAAGCGGCTCGTGCGGTGGAGCAGCAGTAGAAGGAGGAGGCGCAGGTGCCGCAGTGGAACGAGTAGATCTCGTCGTCGCCCAGGCCGCTCCGAGGAAAGCCAGCCTTGCTCGTCTCTCTGGTTCTTTTTCTGTGCGCCTACGACGTGTCTGAGAGAGCTTTGCGAGTGCAGGGGACACGATTCTGCAGCACTCTGAGGCGAGAAGAGAGAAGGAGGAAGTCGCCGAGCCGGCCCCGCTCGACTCTGTCGCCGACCTTGCACGACCGCCTGGCATTCCTGCTTCTGGTCGCACCGCACGAGCACTACTGCTCGACACCGTCCACCGCCGTGCGCGCACGCCTCGACCAGCGGCTGCCCCGTTCGCCCATCGGCCCAGCCTCATCCTCATCACCTCGTCAGCTCCGACGACCTCCCCTCGCCGCCTGGACGCCCCGCCCGTACCTCCAGTCTAGCCCACGAGGCCGACAGACACCATGGGCCTTCTCCCGACCCCGAACCACGTCGCCCTCATCCGCGACTGCTACGTCCAGCCCCACTCGTCCTCGTCCTCGTCCTCCCCCTCGGCGTCGAGCCCGCTCCCCCAGCCTGCGTCCAACGCCCTCTCCAAGCTCACCTTCTACGCCGTCAACCGCCCGACCAAGATCCCCAAGGTCGTCGCCCACCTCGTCGAGCGCGCATCCAAAGCCCGCGCCTCGAGCGGGCCCAAGGCCCGCGCCGACCTCGCCGTCACGGTCGACATTGTGCGCGGCCTCGTCGTCGAGACGGGCGAGAGCGGCAAGGAGGGCGCGGGCGAGCTCATCAAGGGCGCCATGGCCGAGGAGGCCCTGCGCATCGCCGAGATGGCGCTCGGCGGCGAGGGCGGCAAGGGCGACCTGTTCTCGACGGCCCAGGTCCGCAGCGGCAAGAGGGACCCCGAGATGGAGGCCCGAGGTGCAAGCTTGGTGCGTCCCTACTCCCCCTTGCGTCCCGAGGTCGCCTCGCCGTCCACCGTCCTGACCCTGTTTCCTCACCTCGTGCGCAGTTTCACGCCGTCGCCACATTCTTGACCGCGCCGTTTCTCGGCGCAAGTGACGGCGTCGGCAAGCAGTACTTGCGATGCCTGTCGCTCGTCTCGGGCCTCGCTCAGCTCCAGGGACCGGGCAACGCCGAGTGAGCCCCGCCTCGTCCCCTCCCTCTTTCTTGCGATCTGGCCCCTGACTGAGACTGACGAGCGCGTTCAACAGGTCCCGCTTCATCGCGCTCAAGGCGCTCGACGGCGCGGCAAGATCCGAGTACCTGTACGCGACGGGCGGCGAGTACGATCGGCAAGTCGAGGAACTCGTGCCGGCGCTCCTGCGCAACTGCCTCGACACCGACATTGACAACTTGCGGGCCAAGTGCGTCCTCTCGTCCTCTCGATCTCTCGAGCAGAGCCGAGACTGACCGACTCTGCCGCAGTCTCTCGTCGACGCTCGCCGACGACAAGTCGCTCCAGCCCAACCCGACCTCGCTCGCCTCCCGCAAGACCTCGTCCATCTCGCTCCCCGACGACGCGTCAAAGCTCCCCGCCGACTCGACCGTCGCCCTGCCCATCCTCCTCCTCCTGTCGCGCCTCTCGACCGTCCCTCAGCTCCTCTCCCTGCACGCCTCGTTCGCCTCCTTCCTCGACCAGCACGAGGCGGGTCATCTGTGGCACGGCGAGTCGCAGCCTGTCGTCCTGTTCCTCGCACGCGCCTTCCTCGCGGCGGCGCCGGCAGGTCACCGAGCGCCCGTCGTCGCCTGGTGGAGCGACCAGGCCGGCGACATCTACGACCGCGACACGCAGCACCGCAGCATCACGCTCCTGTTCGTCCTCAAGCAGCTCATCGAGCCGACCACGGCGACGACACCGCAGAGCGAGGAGGTCGCCGTCGAGGGCCTGAGCGCCGGCGGCGTCCTCAACACGCTCGTCGAGCTCCTCGTCCGGCGAGCTCGCCTTTCTTCACCGGTCGGCACGCCTAACGGCCTGCGCGAGTCGCCCGCGCTCGGCTCGGACCCGACCCCGACCGACCCCGACCCGCTCCTTCGCCCTCTCCTCGCCGTCGTCGCCGCACTCGCACGCTCGTCCGCCGCGCGAGGTTACCCTTCCCAGCTCGACGACCTCGCCTCAGACGTCATCGACCTCCTGCGTGCGCTCAAGCTCGAGGAGGGTCGCGCCGAGCGCCTCGTCAGCGGCATGACGAGCGAGGAGAAGTGCCTCGCCAAGGTGCGCGTCGTCAAGGCGCTCCGAACGCTTCTCCAGGAGGCGCCGCGCCCGGCGGCGGTCAACGGCGACTCGTCGTTCACGGTCAAGCGCTCGCCCGTCGGCGACGACGTCCTCGCCGCCGCACGGTCGAACGGCGCCTCGGCCGACGAGCTCGATCCTGAGCTCATCCGCCCTCGGCCCGTCGCCGGCGCGAGCAACGGCACGCTCAAGCGCGTCGCGTCGCTCGAGGCGCCCGGCGCTCTCGGACTCGGTCGACCGCTCAACGGCACGTCGCCTGCCCTGCACGATGGCGACGCCCGCCTCCCGCTCGACGCCGAGCAGCCCATCCTCCGCGTCTCGACGCCCGGCGGCGCGTCGACCACCCCGCCTCGCTCGCGCGACCCCTCGGCGTCGCGCCCGAGCAATGGGCCGCCGTTGTCGTCGACCGAGATGCGCCGTCAGCCGGTCGCACCTCGCACCTTTGCCCGGTCGCTCTTCATCCTCACCGAGCCCGACTTGCGGCTCCGGGTCGAGTACGCCGGCGCCGCAGCCGTGTACGTCTCGCGCGAGCTGCCCCTCGTCGTCAGTACGAGCAGCGGCAGCGCCGGGTCGGCCGACGAGCTCGCGTCCTTCTGGCGGCAGCTCCACGCCGGCGTGTACGGCCTCGCGATCGGCGAGTCGTCGCCGCCCTCATCGTCGTCGGCACGAGACGGCGCTGTCGACGGCGCGCAGCACGCCCTGCACCGCACCCGCAGCGCGCGCAGCTTGCGCTCGCAGCGCAGCACGCAGTCGTTCCACGACCGCGACGACGTCGCGCACGTGCCTGCCTCGTCGTCTCGCAGCGCGCCCGGCGCAGCAGACTACGCCGCGCTCGCGGCGCTCGTCGAGGCGGTGCCGCGCGTGCCCGCCGCCGTGCTCGAGGGCGTGCCGGCGCTCCTCGCGCTCGACGCCAAGGCGGCGACGAGGTGGGAGGTCGGGCTCGCTGGAGGGGCCGAGCTTGGCGGCGAGGGCGGTGGGGCGGACCCGGCGAGGGCGCAGGCGTGCAGGGAGGTTGCGGCTCGAGGGCTCAAGGCGGTCGGCAGGGCCTGGGGCCTGACGGAGCTCGAGCAGCTTGGCCAAGAGGTGCGTCCGCTCTCACTTTCTCACCCTTTCACACAAGACTAATGTCGATACATCGCGCAGGCTCTCGTTTCGCTGTCGCCGTTCGTCATCCCCGCCGACGCACGGCCCTCGTCCGGCTTCGCCGCCCGTCCGACGGCGGCACCTGCGGCTCTCAACGCCTCGCTCGTCATCGACATCCTCGCGACCGACTCGGGCCTGCAAAAGGCGGCGCAGCTCGACCGCACGAGCCTCGCCTCGCTGCTGGCGCAGCCGTGGTCGTACGAGGCCGCAAAGGTCGAAGGTGCGTCTCTCCTCCTCCCTCTCGGTCCGTTGCAGCGCGACGATACTGACACAGTCTTGCACCCTGTTCTACAGCGTCGTCGGCGCTCCGCTCGCCGTACTTCTCGTCGGCGCTGCCCTCGCGGTCGCTCATCAACCTCGCCGGCCCTTCGCGCTCGCGAGCAGGCTCGCGCGCCGGTTCCACCTTCCGCCTCGCCTCGTCGCCGCCTCTCACGGGCGGCGGCACGTCGCTGCACCCGCAGTCGATCCGCTCGAGCGTCGTCGGCAGCGGCGGCGGCGGGCCAGGCTCGCTCGCGCCGTCGACCCGGTCTCGGTTCGGCCACGTCCCGAGCCTCGCCGACCTGCAGGCCGGGCTCGCCGGCACGTCGATCCACACGGCGACGCGTAGCGCGAGGACGAGCGCGGCGCCGAGCGTCGTGAGCAGCGTCGGCGGGACCGGCGGATGGGGGACGGGCGGGTCGGGCACGGGCGGGTCGGACGCAGGAGCGGGTTCAGGGCTCGGGAGGCGCAGGACGAGCAGGGCGACGCCGGAGAGTGTGCTCGAGCGCGTCGGGAGGAGGAACCGTGCCGGCACGGGAGCGTCGAGCCTGAGCGCCGCCGGCACAGGAGGAGGTCCGAGCGCGGTCGTCGAGGCGGAAAAGGGCATGGCGGCGCTCTGAGTTGGAGAACCTTCGAGGATCATGTTCGTATACTGTGCTGCTGTGCAAAAGACCGAGTCTCTTGGCTCTCCCCTTTTCTCCACGCGACAAGAGAGCGACGATGGACAGGAGGCGAGAGTACAGCAAGCCGGCGCGACACAGAGTTCTACACAGAGAGGGAAAGAGGGAGACATGTAGACAGAGGGGAAGGGGTGCTCGAGGGAATGTACAGGGGCAGAGGAGCGACGTCAAGCGTCGTCGTCGCTCGAGGAGGACGAGGTGAGGCCGAGGAACCGAGCAGCCAAGGCCGGCGGGTTCTCGATACCGCCACGGCCGACCACTGCAGACAAGGGCAAACGCGTTCGTCAGTATCTGCTCGAGCGAGAGAAGGAGAGAGAGAGAGAGAGAGAGAGGGAGAGAGAGAGGGGAGACGCACTGAAGCTGGCCTCGATCGGAATCTCCTCGAGCTCGACCTCGCCGAACCCGCTCAGGGCGATGCGCACGCTCGTGATGCCGGCCATGCTCGCCTTGACCTTGTTGCCGCTGCCGCCAAAGATGATCTTGGCGACAAACCGGCGCAGGACGTCGCCTCGACCGGGGAGGAGGTACAGCGGCGCGTCGACGAACGTGGCGACGACAAACGTCGTCGCGTTGTGGGTCGCGTTGGCGGGCGTGTGGATCGTCTCGGCGGCCATGGCCGACGAGGGGCGCATGCGCGCAAAGGCGTTGGCCGGGACGGGCGACGGCGGGTAGTCGGCCGGGTCGCTGCCGCCGAGAGCGTCGAGCTCGTCGTCGTCGCCCGAATGCGACACGCCGAAAGCCGACGACGGCGCCGACGAGTCGACAAAGGCGAGCTGGGCACGCTTGGCGAGCGACGAGCTCGGCGCGTCGACGAGGGCCGCCTGCTGCGCCCGACGCGGCAAGTCGCCGTCGTACACGAGGACGTCGGGCCAGATCCACTGGGCGTCGAGCCCGGCGGCGAGCTTGGCCGCAATGTCGGGCATGACGACCTCGCCGACGACCTTGCCGCTCGCGAGCAGGTCGGCGTCGGTGTCGCCGCCGCCCAGCTTGATGCGCATGTCCTCCATGCGCAGGTCGCGGAACAGCTCGGGCGTCTCGTTGGTGCCGGGCACGCGCACGTGCAGCTCCTTGCCGCGCACGAGGTCGGCGACGAACGCCGGCGGGAAAGGCGCGTCCGGGCTCGGGTCGTCCGACAGCGGCGGCTCCGGGTGCGCGTCGTACCGCACGAACACGTCGTTGTCGCGGCCGGCGAGGTACCGAGCGACGAACCGCGACAGGGCACGCGACAAGGGAGGCTGCGGCTCGGCCTTGCGGGTCGTCTGGCGCCGCGACGAGGACGAGAGGTCGAGCGAGGTCGGCGGAGGAGGGGTCGGCGCCGACGGCGTGAGGTTGCCCGCCGGGACGAGGTGGCCCGAGACGTCGAGCTGGGCCGACTCGCTGCCGAGCGGGAACGAGATGGGCGCCATAGCGACCTTGGCGAGGGCGATCTCGTGCGGGTCGTGCGGCGAGCGCTGCCCTTGAGGGAGCGGCGGGAGCGGGAGGTGGATCGAGACGGGGACGCGGAACGGCATGCCGAACGCGATGGCGGGCAGTCGACCGTCATGGATGGCGTCGAGGAGCGGGTTGGCGACGAGGGCCGAGGCGGCAAAGGCGATGACGGTCGTGTTCGGGTGCGCGGGCGACGCCGTCTCGAAGACGCTGATCGAGGTCACGTTGGCGAGCTTGTCGGGGTCGTCGGGAATAGGCATGTCGGGGACTGTACGAGGAGAGAAGGCGCGAGTCAGTGCGCTGGTCGAGAAAGAAGGAGAGAGAGAGAGACGGAGGAAATGGGCGACGCACTCTCGCCACCGACGACTCGAGCCAGGCCCGTCACCCTCGTCGCCTTCATGCGACGGAGGAACCACCCTGCAACGCCTCGGGTGTGCGGCGCGCCGACGTGGGCGACGACCTCGCGGATCTCGGCGCGGACGGCGTACGTCTTTGCGTCCCACACGGCCTGGCCAAAGCGGGCGAGGTCGGCGGGCGAGGGAAAGTCGAGCGGGACGTGGAGGGTGAAGGGGTGCATGTCGGGGACCGGGTTGGCCTTTGTCGGGTACGAGAGCGGGAGGGTGAGGGTTTCGAGCGAGGGGACGACGACGAGGGGCTGGTCGCTGTCGAAGCCGTCGCGCGCGTCGTAGATGGCGACCTCGCCGACGTTGACCGAGACGGAGCGCGCCTTGCGCACGCCCCACCGGGCCATGCGGCCCTCGGCGCGGCGGATCCAGCCGCCGTCGTCCTTGCGCTCCCAGTCGAGCGCGCGGCGGACGTCGATGCCGGCGACGGCGTCGAGCTCGACGAGGATGCCCGCGCCGGCCTCGTTGGCGCGCACGCGGACGGCCGAGGGCCCTGCCCACAGGAGGCCGCGCTCGGCCATCTGTTGCGGGTCGCCGTGGCGGGTCTGCTCGGAGAGGAGGCGGCCGACCCAGAGGTGGAGGACGGCGAGGACGACGAGGAGGGTGACGAAGAGGATGCTCGACAGGAGGCACAGGACCGAGCCGACGGTCCACCCTCGGGCGTGGGACGACGATGAGGGGCGGCGGATCGAGACGAGGCGCATGCCGTCGTCGTCGTCGTCGTCGTCGTCGTCGTGGTTGCCGCCGAGGTGGTTGGCGGTGCCGTTGGCCGTCGAGCGGTCGCGCTCGTCGTCCGAGTCGTCGTTTACGAGCGGACCGCGGCCGTGGCGGAGGCGGCTCTGGTGTGCTGCGGCGGGCGAGGACGACGGGGTCGAGGCGAGCAGTGGGGCCGTCTCGAGGTCGTTGGAGCGGTCAAAGGCGTCGGACGCTCGCGCCTTGCCCTTGACGGCTGGCGGGTCTGCGTTGCCGTTGCTCATGGGGCGGGTGCGGGTGCAGGTGGACGAGTCGTCGTCACCGATCGTGAGGTTGGTGGTGGGCGAGCGAGGTGGGCGGCGGCGGTGGGCAGGTGCGTGTCGCGGGGGAGGGTGGTCGTTGGTGGGTAGAGGTGTGTGTGCACAGCTGGTCGCGGTGCTGGTGGCTAGCGGGCGAGGGTTGTTGATGGAGGGAGCAACGTCGAGCCTCCCCCGAAGTTTGACCGGCCACCTTCGCCGCAAAGTGCCGGACCTCGCCTCCCTCAGCTCCTCTCTCGCTGCATCCTTGTCCGCCAAGCGATGCTCTCCCGCGTCACCGTCCGCTCGCTCGCCCCCTCGCCCGCCGCCTCGACCCGCCGCTCGCTGTCGACCCTCATCGCCAACCCGGCCCGCCGTCTCGCTCCCTCTGCCCTCCACCGCGCTCCTCTCGTCGCCCACACCACAAAGCCCGCGTTCGCTGCCACCATGGGTGCCACCCGTCTCTCGTCTGGCGGCCACGGCGAGTCTACTGTGCGTCCCCCTCCTCGAGCCAGAGGGTGACCCCCACCTTGACACGCCCACGCTCACACTCTTTCCCTCGCTCCTCTCGCCCCCCAACAGGTCCGCCCGCCGCCTGACCAGGTCATCCAGGACATTGCCGACTATGTCCACAACTACGAGGTGCGCCCCCGTCTCGCTTCCCCCCTCATTCTCGCGCTCCCTCCCCTCCCCCCCTCCTCCTTCGGCTAGCCGTCCATTCCCCGCGGACCTCGCTCCTCCTCCCACCCTCGCTCCCGCCTGCCACTCCGAGCGACGCACTGACACCCTCAAACACACGCCCAGATCAAGTCGGACGTCGCCTACTCGACCGCGCGCCTGTGCCTCATCGACACGATCGGCTGCGGCCTCGAGGGCCTGCGCGTGAGCGACGAGTGCCGCGCCCTCATGGAGCCCATCGTGCCCGGTACCGTCGTCCCCAACGGCACAAAGGTCCCCGGCACCCCCTTCCAGATGGACCCGGTGTACGTCCCCCTCTTCCTCGTCGTCGTCGTCAACGAGCTCGCGGTCGAGAGACTGACCGGCTCCTCGCCCCTCATACTCGCAGTCGCGGCGCGTTCGCCATCGGCACCCAGATCCGCTGGCTCGACTTCAACGAGTGCGTCTTGCCCTTCCACTCGGTCCCGACGCGAGCGCGGAATGAGAAACTGACCCTCCTCGCCCCGCAGCTGTGCGTCCGCCTCGCCGCATCTCCTGCGACGCGTCGAGTTTGAGAACTGACTCGTACACCCCACGCGCAGGCTTCCTCGCCGCCGAGTGGGGCCACCCGTCCGACAACCTCGGCGCCATCCTCGCCGTCGCCGACTACCTGTCGCGCACGGGCGAGCCGCTCAAGGTCCGCGACGTCCTCACGGCCATGATCAAGGCGCACGAGATCCAGGGCTGCATGGCGCTCGAGAACTCGTTCAACCGCGTCGGCCTCGACCACGTCATCCTCGTCAAGCTCGCGTCGGCCGCCGTCGTGTCCCAGATGCTCGGCCTCACGCGCGACCAGACGGTCGACGTCGTGTCGCAGGTCTTTGTCGACGGCCAGAGCCTGCGCACGTTCCGCCACGCGCCCAACACGGGCTCGCGCAAGAGTTGGAGCGCCGGCGACGCGTGCATGCGCGCTGTCCACCTCGCGCTCCAGGTCAAGCGTGGCCAGATGGGCATCCCGACCGTCTTGACTGCCAAGACCTGGGGCTTCTACGACGTCCTGTTCAAGGGCAAGGAGTTCCAGTTCCAGCGCCCGTACGGCTCGTAGTGCGTCTCCCCGTCCTCCCTCTCTTCTTGTCCCTCTCCTCGCAGGTCCTTACTTCCCTCTCTCGCGCAGCATCATGGAGAACGTCCTCTTCAAGATCTCGTTTCCGGCCGAGTTCCGTGCGTCCCTCGTCTGCGTCGCCCTCGTCGTCGCCGCCGAGCCCGCACTGACCCCCTCTCGCGCCGCGCATCCACAGACGCCCAGACCGCCGCCGAGGCCGCGCACGTCCTCCACAAGCAGCTCAAGGACATGGGCAAGTCGTCGGACGACATCAAGCACGTCCAGATCCGCACGCAGGAGGCGGCGATCCGCATCATCGACAAGAGCGGCCCGCTCGACAACTTTGCCGACCGCGACCACACGCTCCAGTACATGGTCGCCGTCCCGCTCATCTTTGGCCGCCTCACGACCGAGGACTACTCGGACAAGGTCGCCGCCGACCCGAGGATCGACGCCCTGCGCGAGAAGGTCCGTCCCCCTCGTCGTCCTTCTTCCTCTCTCTCTCCTCGCCCTCACCTCGTGACTGACTCGACGTTTCCTCATTCTCTCTCGCCCCACAGATGCAGTGCGTCGAGGACAAGACGTTCACGGCCGACTACCACGACCCGGACAAGCGCTTCATCTCGAATGGGCTCACCGTCACGCTCAACGACGGCACCGTCCTCCCCGAGGTCCACATCGACTACCCGGTCGGCCACAAGCGCCGTCGCGAGGAGGGCACCCCGCTCCTCAACGCCAAGTTCGAGCGCCACATCCGCCCCCACTTTGAGTCGGCGCACGTCGACAAGTGCGTCCCTCTTCCTCTCTCTCCTCCTCTCTCCCTCTTCCTCTCTCTCTCTCGCCGTCACAACGTCTCTCCTATCGGGTGTCGTCCCTCGTTCGAGTCGCTCACCAAGTCTGTCTCTCCCCTCGCGCACAGGATCCTCAAGCTCGTCGGCGACCAGCAGACGTGCGAGAACATGAGCGTGAGCGAGTTCACCGACCTCTTTGTCACCAAGTGATCGGGAACGAGACGGCGGTAGACAAAGAAGACGCAGGGCTTCTTTTGCAATGAGGAAAAGCCGAGCAGTGCCACAGGACCTTCTTTTTCCCCTCGCGTGCGACGACGAGAGAAGGGAGGCTACAGAGTACGACAGCGAGATCTCGACAAAGACTGAGTGCGAGAGTGATAGAGAGAGCCGCCAGGGCTGTGGGAACGAGTGCGAGGGGGGTGCGAGTGTCTGTTCGGCAAAGAGGGAGAGAGGGAGGGAAAGAAGGGCGAGAAGACGGGAGGGCTCAGGCGACGATGACGACCTCGGACAGGATGTGGTACGCCCCCTGCTTCATCGTCAAGTGCAGGCGCCGCTCGACCGGGCCCGCCAGGTCGTCCTCGCCACCGGCCGCCCCAGTCCCGCTCGGGTCGACCGACGACCGGCGCGAGCCCGTCAGGGACGGCGACGGCGACGATGACGCAGGCGAGGGCGAGGAAGGGATTGCCGTGCCGTCGTACGTGAGCGAAATGTGCGTGCCCGTGATGAACTGGGCCTGCGAGAGAGAGAGAGAAAGAGAAAGTCGGCGCTCGAGCCTCGTCGAAAGAGGGAAAGGGGGAGAAGTGCGGCAGCGTACCAGTCGACCACTGAAGGCGTTGCGGATCTCGACGATGGTGGGCGAGATGGCGACTGTAGGCAGGACGTTGGCCGAACGAGAGAGGGCGGAATGAGAGAGATAGTCAGGACGCGTGCTTGGGAGCGACGAGGCCGAGGCGGTAACGCCGGACCGCTGCGAGGGAGAGATGAGGACGCACAGATGTAGGGAGCGCAGTAGGCGATCGTCTCGGGCTTGCTCTCCCACTCGATGAACGGGCCCTCGATCGGCTCGCCGTGACGGCCGACGTGGATGGCGAATTCTGCGGGTGAACCGAGACGTGGTGAGACGCTGTTCGACGAGTCGACGAGAAGCGGACGAAGAGAGAGAGTGGGACGCACCCGAGTAGGCGAGGAGGAACTTGCTGTCGCCGATGCGGAACATGCCCATCGTCGAGGCGTCCTCGCAGCGCTTGGCGAGCAGGTACAGGGCCCGGTCGTGTCGCGACGGCGGAAAGTCGGGCACCGTCATCGTCCTGTGCAGGGCGGGTCACAAGATCTCGTCAGGCTCTGGCGCACGAGGTCGAGAGGGAAAGGAGGTCTGAGCGCGCACGCACCTCATCGACTCGAGGTCCATGATCTCGACGCCGCGCGAACCGATGAGGGCGAGCTTGGAGCGCTGGAAGTGGAGGCCAGTGACGAGCGACGGCCTGTGTGTGAGAGTCCGAGTGAGCGACTGGCTCGGCCTCGTACTTCCAGCCCCCGTCGACCCGGCGCCGAGAGAACGAGGGCTAGAAAGAGAGAGCGCGACGCACATGAAGAACTCCTTGTACGTCCTGAACCACTCTGGCCTGCCGCCACCGAGACCCAGGAAGCGGTGCCCGCCGCCGCCGCCTCCCCTCGCCCGCTCGGCGTTGCTGACGGGCTCGAGCGCCTTGAAGACCGACTCCTTGACGCCCGACTTCTTGGCGTCTGTGGTCACGGACAGGGTCAGGTCGAGGCTCACGAGACGAGGAGAAAGAGGCGAGGTATGCGCGGGCGAGAGGGAGAAGGAAGTGACGTGGAGGCGGGCGACGAGGGGAAGAGGACGCACAGATGACGAGCGTGCGAGGGTCGGCGTCGCCAATCTTGCCGACCTTGAAGAACGAGACGTCCTTCTGCCCGCTCAGGCGTTGCGGTGCTGCGTGAGGGCAAGGTACGAGGGTCAGGATCGGGCTCGAGAAGGAGGAAGACGACAATGAAGGGAGCGAGGGACGCACCTTTGCTGGCCTGGTCGAGCTTGCTGCCCGCCTTGCTCGGGATGAGGGCCTCGAGAGCGTCTGCAGGAGCTAGAAGCGTCAGTCGCGACCGGATCGAGGCCTTGAGCCGGGCTCATGCGGCCCGACGACGGGGACGAGTACGCGGACAGGACGACTCACAGGCGACGAGGACCTTGTTGGCGATGACGAGGAGGAACGAGAACTCGGGCAGGACGGCGCACTGCGTGATGCCCTCGAGGTGGACGACCTGCTGCATCGTCCTCGGCCGACCCTGACCCGCCGCCGACGCCGCCGACGAGCCCGCTCCTCCCGCGCGCCAACCGACAAAGATGCCCTCGGCGCACCCGGCGACGACGAGCCACTGGTGCCCGTCGCCCGACGCCGAGCCCGCCGCGGCAGGCATGCGCAACGGCGTCGAGCACGTCGGCTTGCCAAAGCGCGTGCCCGGGTCGGCCCTCGCGGCGGCCGGGCTGAGCAAGCTCCCGACGACGGCTGACGTCGAGCCAAACGTGAGGTCGGCGAGCGGGTCGAGGCGCACGACCGGGTTGGCGGCGGCGTACTGGGCGCGCTGCGCGACGGCCGCGTGCAGGTGCGCCTCCCACTGCGAGCGCAGCGCGGCCGACTCGACGTACAGGTGCACGAGGCCGTCGTACCGCCCGAGCTGGAAAAACGAGATGGGCCACAGGAGCGAGTCGCTCGCGCCTCCTGCTGCTGCGCTCGAGCCGCTCGCGAGCCCAGGGCTTGGGGACCCGCCGCCGCCACCGCCGCCGCCGCCGCCGCCCGTCATGCTCGTGGCGAAGCTGCCCGTCGTGCTCGGCACGGGCGACAGCGGCGCGCCGCCGTCGGCAGCTGCCGCCGCGCCCACCGCTCCCGCAGCCGCACCGGGCGGCAAGCCGGCGCTCACAAAGCCCGAGCCACCGCCGCCGCCGACGCTCGCGCCCGTGCTGCGCGTGCTGCGCAAGTGGAAGCCGCTCGAGCGCGGCACGGGCGGGTCCGAGAAGCTCGTCGTGCGCAGCTGGACGAGGTCGATCGGGACCGGGCGGCGCGCGAGCTGGTACTTGGGGTGGCCCGTGCCGTCGCGGTCGAGCGCACGAGGCGGCTTGGTGACGACGAGGTAATTGTCCAACAGGACGACGTGCGCCTCGGCGAACTGGTCGGTGAAGGCCGGGCCCGACGCTTCGGGCCGGCGGAAGACGCGACCGGCGAAGAGGAGGCGGCGCCGATCGTCGACGAGCTCGAGGTCGGGCACGTCGCCGCCCTTCTTGACGAGGTCGCGGTGGTACTCGCGCAGACGGACGCGCTCCTTGGTGCGCTCGATGCCCTCGTTGGCGAGCGACCCTTGGCGCCGGATGACGTCGAGCGCCTGCTCGAGGTACGGCCGGTCCGGGTCGTCGGGCGCCGAGCTCGACAGGATCTGCTCGAGGAGGAGGACGTAGCGTAGGCCGCGGAACGTCGCCCGGTTGTGGAAGGTGTCGAACCCGCGCCGAGCCGCCTCGGGGCGACGCGAAAAGTCCTGCAAACGCGCACGGGGTCCGTGAGTCTCTCGTGTGCGCCCTCGTGAAGGAGGGAGAGGGAGAGACGAGGGACGTACGGCGAGGAGCTCGGCGAACCTCGGGTTCCGGTCCCTCTCCTCCTTGAGCAAGAAGTCGGCCATGGGGAACGCGACCGTGAACGCGACATAGTCGCGCTCCCACTCGAGCGCCGCATCGAGGACGAGTGCGCCGACGCCGCGAAACAGGTAGTGCTCGGCCTGGCGCTGGCGGAGCGCGGCGAGGAGCGAGCGCGAGTGGTCCCGGATCGCCGACAGGTTGAGGAGCACCGTCGACAGGAAGTGGGCGAGGCGCGACGCGGGCGCGATGATGGGCGGTTGCGCGTTGCGGAGCGGCTCGACGAACGCCTGCGAGCGCGAGAGGGAGAGACAGGGTCGAGTCAATGCGAGGCTCGACCGTCGGCGACGAGCGCCGCCTTGAGGAGGAGGAAGAGAAGGGAGAGGACGAACCGTCTCGATGAGGCACAGGTCGTCGTAGTACTTCTGCTCGCCCTGCACGAGCTCAAACACCTGGTTCTGGTACGCGATCTCGCGCTTGTCGAGCGCGTCGCGGACCTCGCTCGGGACGCTCGTCGCCCAGTTGTCGGCCTCGGGCTGTGGAGGAGGGACAGTCGATGGTGCTGCTGAAGGCGAGGGCGACGTCGAGGTGAGGAAGGCTGCGGACGACGGGCTGGCGGCGGTCGTGGTCGACAGGGTCGAGGCGAGGCGGTGCAAGGCCGGCTGCGGGCACACGAGGCGAGTCAGTTCACGAGACACAGAAGGGGAGACAAGGAGGAACTCGTGAGCGCACCTTGCGATTCGGGCAGTGGTAGGCGTAACACCCTCCTCCAGCGCCGCTCGAGCCTCCCACCTTCTCGCCCTCCCCGCGCTCGCGCTCGAACCGCTCGCAGAACGGGCTGTAGCACCTCGCCGCCTCGACGATGACGCCGTTCGGCACGGCAATGTCGTCGCCGAGCGGGCCCTCGCGCGCGAGCACGAACCGCTGCGAGTCGTCGTCGCGCACGCCGGCGCCGCCGGCGCGCCAGTCGCCGCTCCCGCCGACGCCGGCGCCCCAGTGCGGGTCATGGATCCACAGTTGGGCAAGGAGCGACTCGGCGACGCGCTGCGCGACCTGGCGCGGCGAGCGCGCCGACATCGCCGCCGACGACGACGAGGGGAGCGCGCGCACGAGGGTCGAGATGGCGGTCGCGCCCGAGAAGGCGTCGCCCGGCGCGGCACACGACGACGCCGACGACGCCGACACGTGCTCGTGGACGTGATCGGCGAGGAAGACGGCGAGGTGCGACAAGAGGGACGGGTCGAGGTACGCCGAGACGCCGCCGCGATCGTCGTCCCACGAGTCGGCGGGCGGTGGCGCCGGGGCCGGGAACGACGACGGGAACGAGGCCCACGACGACGAGGCCGTCGGCGCGCTGGGCTGGTACGGCAGCGTGTCGTAGCTGTTGGACCGGTGCGACGGCGCGCCCGGGAACTGGGGCGAGGCGTGCACGGGCGGCGTCAGGGTCGCGTAGCTCGCGTAGCTCGGACGGCGCGACACGTCCGGGCTCGAGGTGGTCGTGGCCGTCGTGGTCGGGTGTGACGAGGTCGAGCCCCAGCCCGAGCCGGTCGACGAGGACGAGGGCAAGGTGGACGAGGGTGAGGGTGAGGGGAGGGGCCGCGAGTAGGTCGACGACGTGTCGGTGCGCGACAGGTAGTCGGGGACGCCGGGCTGTTGGTGGTGGAGCGGCGGCGACATGAGGATGGTGGGTTGTCGGCGCGGCGGGGCGCTCTCCTGCCGCGGCATGAGTGGCTGGGGCACGGCCGGGCGGGCGGCGTAGGCCGGCTCCGAGGCGGTCGAGAAGTGTAGCGACTCGAGGCGGTGGCGGTAGTCGGTCGCGGCGGCGGCGGCGGCCTGCTGCTGCTCGAGCCGGCTCGAGGGAGGGCGCGGCGGCGGCGGCGAGTTGGGCGTGCCCGAGTCCGAGGGCGGGAGCGAGTAGACGCTGAAGTGGGACGACGAGGTGGACGAGTCGTGCGAGGATCTCGAGGTCGTGTGCTGCTGGGGCGGGTGGTGGGCGCCCTGGAGCGACTCTTGGCGTCGAGGCTGGACCGGGTTTGGGGCGTAAGCCGGGTAGGGCGGGTCGGCGAGGGCTTGCGGGGCGGTGGGCTGGGTTGCGTAGCTCGAGATGAAGGCCGACTCCTCCCAGGACGGGGTAGGGCGGTGGAAGACGGCGGGTTGAGCTCCCGGAGGAGGTGGGGGAGGAGGTCGAAGCGGACTCGACGAGGTAGTGGGCGGTGGTGGCGGGTAGGCCGGGTAGTAAGTGGTGGCGTAATCCTGCGGCGCATAGGGTTGCGCGTCGTGAGGGTAGAGCGGGGTTGCGGGCGAGGCGGAAGCGGGCGGACGAGGGGGACGAGGAGGAGGGGGGCGGCGCGCTCGCGGGTCGAACGAGGGCGCCATGGTCGGTGGGTCGAGTCGCAGCTGTGGTGGCTGCAGCTGTCGATTCCCTGGCGGATGGCTGTCGAGGAGGGGGAAGCCGGGTGCCCGTCTCTGGTTCGTCTCGAGCCCTCGCCTCTCTCCCTCACCGACGCTCACCACGACCGAGATGCTCCGCTCCATTGCTCGCCAGCCTACCAGGCTCATCGCCGGCACCCGCGCCGCCCACAACCAGGTCTCGCGCGTCCCCGCGTGCGTCCCGTCCCCTCCCTCTCCTCCTCCTCATCTCGCCCCCTCGAACTGACACTCGCACACACCCGCAGCGCACCGCACACCCCGCCCTCGGTCGGCCCCGCACAGGCGCCCAACCGCACCACCACCTGGTCAAAGTCCCAGGCGGCTCGGTCCGTCTCGGCCTCTCCCTCCTCTCGATTCCCTCGTTGCTTACCCTCTCCCGCCCTCCGCGCAGCACCGAGGCCATGGTCGGCCCGCGCTTCGAGCAGACCAACGAGACGTTCCAGCCCCGGCCACTCGCCGCCATCGAGCTCATCCAGGACGAGCCCATTCGCCTCGTCGAGGGCCGCACCGCCGCATGCGACGGCGGTGGGGGCGCACTCGGCCACCCGCGCATCTTTGTCAACCTCGACAAGCCCGGTTTTCACGCCTGCTCGTACTGGTGCGTCTTGGCGCTCTCTCTTTCTCTGGGGCTCGTCCGTCACCGAGAACCCGAACCTGACCGCGAACCTTGCCTTTCTCTCTCTACAGCGGCATTCGCTACGAGCGCGACCACTCGCACCACCACTAAGCCTCTATCTCGACGTCGAGGCGGATTGGGTGCGGCGCGAGTCGATGGTGAAGAGGACGACGTTGGTTGGAGGCCGTGTATGTGTGCTTCTCTGGATTCCCGTTTCGCTGTTTCTTCTCTCGCGGTCCTGCGAGATGTACTTGTGGCTCTCGAGAGTGATGTCTGCGGTTCTGAAAGCTCGTGGCAGCGAGAGGAGAGGCTGTGTCGCTCTCCTCGACGACAGCCACCTGCGGCGAGAGGCCTTGCCGCTCTCCACCAGCCCTCGCTCTCGACGCAGCGGTACCGACTGCAGCACCAGCTTGTGCGTCCCTCTCGCCCCTCGATCTCTGCGCAACGTGCGTGGCGCGGCGCACTGCAGGTCGCGCGCCGACTTCATCGCCTTTTCGGGCGGTCGACGTTGAGGAACCGCGAGGGCAGCTCGCGGTGGTGCGCGGGCAGCAGGGAAAGTCTCTGTGGGAGGTGCACGGAGCTGGGCGGGGTCGAGCAGGCGTCTTCTGCGCCGAGCCACACGAGCTGACCTTCTCCATACTTCCCCCTCGACTCGTCCGCCTCACCCGCCGACTCTCCCGCCGCCTGTTCCTCCCTGCACCCGCACGACCGTACCCGTCGACCTACAGCACACACCCGCCCGCCCCAGCAGCAGCCGCACCTTGACCCACCTCCGACCCTCACCTCGCACCGCCCCGTCCTCATCAGCTCGACCATGGCCGCCAACGCAGCCAACGAGATCGACAACCTCATCAGCGGCTCTGGCTCGACCGGTGGCTTGGGCGTCGCAGGTGGCAGCGGCGGCATCCCGTCCAACTTTGACGCCGCGAACGCCCAGAACGACGAGGGGGTGCGTCGCTGCTCTCTCTCTCCCTCTCTGTCTCCCCTTCGCGCCCTCTCCGGTCCCGGCTCTTTGCCCCTGTGACTTCTGCGCCATGGAGCGCAGCCAGATCGTGGAAGGAGGACGGCAGGGGCCGGCGTCGCCGCCTTCTCGCGGCCGGGACCATCCTCTCGAGCTCCCGCACGCCGCCACGACTCACCCTGACGCTCTTCCTCGCCCTGTACGCAGATTGAAATGGCCTTTGCGGTCTCCTGTATGGAACAAGCGGAAACCTACTTTAACTTGATCACCAAGGTCAAGCCGTCGTCGCTCAAGCGGTTGACCAAGTGCGCCGCTCGTCCTTGTCTCTCCCCACCTCTTCCGGGCCGCACTGACTGACTCGTCATCCGTTCCCTCGTCCTCTGCACACTATCTCCTGCCGCCCTTTCGTCGACCTCGCTCGCCCTTTCCTTCGCCGACTCGCCCTCGCCGCAGGTGGGACGAGGAGATTGTCGAGGCGTTCCTCCAGAACTTTCCCGAATACAACTTCGCCGACAAGCTCAAGGTGCTCAACGAGGACGAGATCAAGAGCGCCAACGGCAAGAGGAGGTGGCGCGAGTTCATGATGCCGTTCGAGAAGAAAGTTGGTTCGTCCTCGCCTTCCTCCTCCTCCTCCTCTCGCCCTTCTTTGTGGAGCCGCCCTCTGACGTGTACCGCACACTCCCTCTCTACGAAACCGCAGACGAGTACAACTTTGGCACTTTGATCCGGCTCGACTGCACCAAGGACTACTCGCAGGAGAACTCGATGTTTGGTGAGCCGCCCGTCCTCTCCCTCCTCTCCCTTGCCCTTCGTCCTCCTCGAGCGAGCACGCTCGACCACGCCTCGTCTGCGTCCTCGACCACCGTCGCCCGCCGGCTTGACCGCCTCGACCTTTTCCACCCTCCCTCTCTCGCACCCTCTCTGCCTCTCCTTCCGCCCTCGCTCTCGCCTCTCTCCTTCCAGCTCTCCTCCCTCTCTCGAACCCTCTCACTGACATTCCCTCCTCGCCTCCTTCCCCTTCCATCGGTCCCGTCGCGCAGGCTACCGCCTCCAGTTCTACGCGATCGAGATCCTCCGCAACCGCAAGGGCCTCAACGACGCCGTGTGGCAGCAGGCGCAGGACGACCCGACGGCGTTCGCGTGAGCGGCGGCGAGCGACGGCGAGCAGCGAGCGGCGAGCCGCGAGCTCGTGTGGGAGGGCTGAGAGCGGGAACGGGGCGGGCTCGAGCGCAGCAGGCGAGGCGAGCCGGGGCGAGATGTGTAAAGACCAGCTTTCAGACGCTCCTTTGTCGTCGGTCTCTCTCGCTGAGATGCCCTGAGAGATCGACAGCGCGAGAGTCCACCAGACCATGCTCGTGCGCGAGTCTCTCGACGAAGCTCGAGGCGAGGTAGGTGCGGGACCAGCGCGAGTGTGTTTTTGCATGCTGCGACGACGAGAGAAAGAGAACCTATGAGACCGAGACTAAGGAGAGGGAGAGAGTACGAGACAGACGAGGGAAGGGGGCAAGGGAGAGGAAAGGAGACGACGATGCGGCGAGGGTCGTGAGGAAGGGCACGGCGTGACGGAGAGGGGGGACAAAGACAATCTAGGTGGTGGGAAAGGAGAGGGAGAGAGGGTGGGTGCGAGGTGGTGCGGCGGCGAGGGAAAGTGCGACGAGAGCGCGGGCGCGACGCTGAGAGAGGCAGAGAGACCGCCAGGCCTTAGCGCTTGCCGAGCTCGACCGGGGTCCCGGCCTTGGCCGCCGCCGACTGGGCAGTCCTCGCAGCAGCGTAAACTATGCCGGCCATGAAGCCCACAAAAATCGAGAAGACGTTGGCAAAGTTGGCCGGGTCGCCGAAGAAGAGGATGCCCGACGCGGCGACGGGCAGCTTGTTGAGGGCGCCGACCATGCTGAACGTCGTCGACGAGGTCGTGCGGACCGTCCAGGCCGTGCAGTACGAGATGAAGACGGCTGCAGCGCCCGAGAAGGCCATGAGGTTGAGGAGGCTCGTGCGCGTCTCCTCCGGGCTGTGGAGGGGTGCTCGGACGCGAGGTCAGGACATTCCTCGTTGATCACGCGAATGAGAGAGAGGGACGAGGGACGCACAAGTTGCGCTCGAGGTTGTCGGACGACCAGGTCTCGAACAGGAACGAAAAGACGACGAGGACCGGGATCGACAGGAGGTTGTTGTAAAACATCGAGTCCCAGTCCTTGAAGTTGGTGATCTTGATGCGCTTGCGCATGGCGAGGACGTAGCCGGCCGAGACGAAGCAGTTGAACTGGGTGCGAGGTGAGGGCAGGGTCAGTGCGCGCGCTCGAGACGATAAAGGAGGAGACTTGGTCGACGCACGAACATCCACAGGTAGCCTGCGCTCGACTGACCGCCGGGCTTGGGCGCCGCGACGACGCCGTTGACCCAGTTGAGGAGGTCGGGGCTCGCGGCGATGAGGGACGAGACGACCTGCAGGGGCGCGCTCTCGTCAGTCTCTCCTCGTTACGTCGACGCTCATCGGCGAGAAAGAGGATAGTGGGACGCACCATGAGGCCGAACGACGCTAAAGTGAGGGGCGTCACGCTGCCGCCGAACCAGAGGACCTCGCCGTACGCGATGAGGATAATGGTGAGGTTCTTGAAGATGGTGTAGACCGGGACCGAGAGATATTGCTGTCAAGGGGCAGGGGCTTGTCAATACCTGTGAGTCGCGACAAGGACGAGCGAGAGGGACGCACGAGCGACTTGGAACCGGTGTAGATGACGAGGACGAGGAGGAACGAGATGGGGAACCACCGGCGTGCGTCCTCGCGGTCCCAGTCGCGGAACGTGATGACCTGCGGGTACGACCGATTCAGTCTTCTGTGCTGGCAAAGAGAGAGAGAGAGAGAGAGAGGAGGGACGCACGCCCAATCGCTTTGCAGCCACGACGCACGAGACGCAGACGACCGATTGAATCGTCAAGAGGAGGAAGTTCATGTTGAACCCTTTGCCCGACACGACGTACTCTGCACAACGTCGAAGGACAAGGTCAGCTGCTGCACGAGGCGCAGGAAGGGCGAGAAGGCGACTCACTGTTGACGACCTGCGAGCATGCGCCAAACGGAGATCCGGGTCAGGTTGGCGACTTGGTGCAGGACAGGTACTGAGAGAGCGTGGGCGTACCGTCATGAGGATGCTCGAGGCGCAGTAGCACAGGACGGGCAGGGACGGGTGGTTGAGGGCGGCATCGAGGGGCGAAGGAGGCGGGCTCGCGAGGCGGTTGACGGCCGGGCTCGCCGAGAAGCTGCCGGTGCGCGAGGGGGCGAGTGCCGGGTCCTGGTCCTGGTCGACGACGATCTTGTAGTCGCCCTTGGGGTCCGACGAGCTCATGGCGGGCGGGAGAGCGAGGCTTGTGATGGAGGGAGGCGGGGCGGTGAGCGAGGTCGAGGTTGTCGATGCGGCGTGGGTGGTGCGAGCGCGTGCAGTCGGTGTGTGGCTCGGTGGCGGTGAGGAGCCTCGGTGCGCGCTGGAGCGAGGACAGGCAGAGAACGAGGGGAGAGCGAGGGCTGGGAGAGTTTGGCAGCTGGCTCGTCGCTGCGCGCGCGAGGCGAGACCTTTTGCCCCGGCCAAAAGTGCGGGGTAACGTCGGCTCGCTCTCCCTCTCTCCCTCTCTTGGGAGCGCTCTCTGCCTTGCGCATGGTCCACAGCCTCGCAGACTGGTTCGCAGCACACGGCGTCTGGCTCGCCCCGTCCATTCACCTCGTGTCGGGTCCTTCGACCGCCTCCTCCTCATCGCCGACCTCGGTCGAGGCGACCGCGTCCATCCGCGCCGGCACGACACGCAAGTCCGACTCGTCCCAGCTGCACCTGGCGCCATCAAGCTCACGTTCCCGTGCGCAACAGTCGCCCAAATCCCGCTCGACCTCATCCTCTCGCACCGCTCGTCCGCCCTCGCGACCGCCGTCGACGACAGCGACGACGACCCGCTCGCTGCACACGCGCCTGCGCTGCGCCTCGCCGTGCATGTCGCGCACGAGCTCGCTCTGGGCTCGCGCTCGCGGTGGGCGACCTACCTCGCGCTGTGCCCGCCGCGAGAGGCAGTCCCGATCGCTCTGCTGTGGGAGGGCGACGCGCAGAGGTGGGCGCGAGGGACAGAGCTGGCCAAGGAGTGCGATAGGATCGGCATCGACAAGGTGCGCCCCCTTTCGCTCTGTCTGTCCCCGCAGATCTCTTACGCGCGTTGCTTTCGCAGGCGGTCCTCGAGCGGTTCTACGACGACGTCGCCCTCCCCCTCCTCTCTTCCCTTCCGTCGACCTCGTCCACCTCTCCAGCCTCCCTGTCAACTTTCCTACATGCCTACACGCTCGTCTCGTCGCGCGCCTTCCAGGTCTCGTCCTTCCACTCTCTCGCCCTCGTCCCGCTCGCCGACGCCTTCAACCACTCGGACCCGCCGCACGTCCACCTCGCGAGCGACGCGTGGGTCTGCCCCGAGTGCGGCACGCTCGGCGTCTGCGCGCACGACGACGAGGACGAGGGCGAGCGCGAGCGCGACTTGGCGCTCGAGCCGCTGCGCACCGAGCCCGCTCGCGACGAGGCCAACACGGTCGACATGGTGAGCGAGCGCGACATCGAGGCGGGCGACGAGGTCTTCAACATGTACGGCAGCGCCTTCTCGAACGCGCACCTCGTCGCGGCGTACGGCTTTCTCCTCGAGGGCAACGAGCACGACGTCGTCTCGTTCGAGCGGCGCGGCGCCCTCGAGACGCTCGTGTGCCTCGTCGGCGCGACAGCTGGGCCCGAGCGCTCGATCGGCGAGCTTGAGCGCGAGCTCGACGAGCTGAAAACCGCTTGGCGCACGGTCTCGAACGGCGGCCCCCTCCTCGACTTCGACCACCCTCTCATCGCTCCTCCTCCTCCTCCCACATCGTCCATCTCGGCGCTCCAGGATCTCTACATCGACGCCGACGCCCGCATCTCGTCCTCCCTCTGGCTCGTCGTCGCGCTCATCGCTCGCCACGTCGCGAGCGGCACGTTCCCCTCGGCGAGGAGGCGCGACGAGGAGCCGCCTGCGGCCAAGCGGGCTCGCGGTGCGGCGCCCGATGTAGGAGCGGGGCCGATGGACATGCTGCAGAGCGCGGTCGGGCTCGCAGAGCGGGCGGGCGAGGTGTGGCGAGCGAGCGAGGACGCTCTCGAGGCAGGTGCAGCAGGGTCGGGCGTTCCGTCGTCGGTCGATGACGAGCCAGATAATGTGGAGCAGGCGGTCGAGCGCGAGACGCTACGCTGGGCGGGCGTGCTCGTGCGGGGCTTGTGCGCGGCGAGGGTCGAGGAGCAGGTCGAGGAGGCTCGAGGGAACAAGGCGAGCGAGCTGTACGAACGGGCAGAGGTGCGCCCTCCTTCCCTCCCCTCTCTTCTGCGCCGAGTCGATGCCGCTGCGGTACTCGATGTCTGCGGTGAGCAGTCGACTGACCAGCTTCCTCGTCTGCAGGAGGCCGACGACCCGTCTCTTCGCCTTGCGATCGAGTTCCTCGCCGGCGAGCGACTTTTGATAGAGCGGGTCGTGTCGCAATGGACGTTCATCTAGCTCTCTTCGTCGCACGAGAGCGGGTCGCCCGGAAAGCAGCGCTCTGCCTCTCGGTTTGCTGCGACAAGCTGCGATGCATCTCTCGGCGCGCGCAATGGACGAGAAGAGGTGGCAGAGGGCTTGATTCGCAGATCCCGGTCTAAGAAGTCTAGATTGGATGGTGAGAGGAATGGCGGCCGGCGTCGGACGGCGCCAAAGGAGGCGAGGACCGTGCACGCGCGTCAACCTTCTCAAGTGCGACCGCGTCCTCCCGAGCCCGACCTCGCGCCGCTCCTCCTCCCGAGCGCCTCGAGCTCATCTATTACGTCCGACGCCCGAGCTCGACCGTCCTGCGCCGGCGGCTCTTGGCCGGCAAAGGCGTGAGCGCGCCGCCGACGCACTCGGTGCCTGCGGCGACCTGCCTGAGAGGGACGCACCCGCCCGCCGGCGAGCACAGCGAAAAGGTCGTATCGCGCACCCTCGCTCGTCGACACGGTGCGGCCTGCCGCCTATCCGCGGCACGGCCTCACCGCCGCAGCAAGGCGCGTGCCGAACGCCCGTTCCAGCCGCGCCGCTGCCCGTCCCTCTCGACCAAGCCCATCTCTGGTCGTCCACCATCGAGGCCGCGAGCCCTAGAGCTTCTTTGCTCGAGCCGATGACCTGAAAGGCAGCGGTCCGAGAGAGAACGCCAACAACGAGACGGAACCCTTCAGGCTCGCCGACGAAGGCCGTCTCCGTTGCGCCGCCAGCGAGCTGCCACCCGCTCTGCCGCCCGTCTGAGCAGGACTCGACGAGCTCGCGCAGCTGCACGTGGGTCCAGCGCCGATGACGAGGCGGTTGCAGAAGTGGGCGAAGGAGGCGCGGCGTGGGTGGACGAGCGCAGGCTGGACAGGGATCGCTCGTCCGAGTGCCCCGCGGCCGGCGAGCTGTGCCGAGCTGTAGCACGAGCCAGGTGGCCTCAGTCGAGCACCAGAGAGGGTGGGCGAGGAGAGAGAGGCTCGTCTCTCGCTCGTCCTGCTCCCGACCTTGGCCACGCATGGCGAGCATCTCGACTGCGCGCCACGAGGCTCTGCTCGAGTTCTCTGCACTCGGCCAGGCCGACCACCTCCCAACAGGCCTGTACATCTACCCGAGCGAGCCCACTCGTGAGTCGCCTCGTTTCACTCAATGATGAGCAGACTGTGCGTCGACCAGCGCGCCTGGGGCCGAGGGCCTGCGCGTGTCGAGCCCTGAGTAACTCCTTCTACTCCTCGAGCACCGCGCATGGCTCCAGCGCGAGCCGTCGCCCCTTCCACCTCGTCGTCCCCCGCACCCACCTCGCCGACGAGCGCTCCTCGCCCCACAAGCCCCACGAGACGAGCTGACTTGCCCTCTCATGCCCACGCAGGCTGGAATGGCGTCCTCTTCTTGCACCGCGGCTACTACGCCGGCGCCGTCCTCCACCTCACCCTCTCGCTCCCCGCGGCGTACCCATCTTCCCCTCCCATCGTCACGTTCGACTCGCCCATCTTCCACCCGCTCGTCGACCCCTCCTCGGGCCGCATGCGCCTCGACTGGCGCTTCCCGACCTGGCGACCGCGCGAGGACTGCATCGCCCTCGTCCTGCACGCCGTCAAGGCCGCCTTCAAGCGCAAGGGGCTCGAGTCGCTCCGCGAGGCCCTCTGCGCAAACGTCGAGGCGTACCACCTGTGCGTCCACCCTCTTCTCTTCCCCTCTCATGCGACGAGCGTGTCCTGACGAGATGAATCGCCGTCCGCAGCTACCGCGAGCAGACGCCCGTCTTTGCCCGTCTCGCCTCGCAGTCGGCCCTCCTTTCCGCCTCGGCCACGTCCCTGTACCACCCGCCGCCCTTGCGCAGCGAGGATGCACTCGTGACGCCGATCCGCTTCCGGCGACTTGAGGCGGGCGAGGAAGACCGGCTCGCCCAGGAGGTCGAGCGGCTCGGGCGGGCAAAGGTGGTCGGCGGTCGACAGCACGGCGAGCGGGGCTAGCTCGTCGTCGAGGGAGGAGCGATACCCAGCCGTCGAGGATACCCTGTAACGCGCACCGCATGTTGTCGTTCTTTCTCTCGCTCTCTCTCGCTCTCGTCGCACGCTCGGACCCGTGAGAAATGGAGAGAGGCAACAGGTGTCTTTGCAAGGGGATGCGGAGGAATGCCACTACTATCGGGGTCCCACGTCGTTGACAAGATGAGGAGAGGGGAGAGAGGGGGGAGGGAGAGAGGCGAAAGGGAGAGGGAGAGAGAGAGAGGGTCTGCGAGTGGGCGTTACCAGAACGAAAGGGAGACGAGGAGGCTGCAGCGGGGTATCAAACCCGGCTAAGTGGTGGGGCATCAAGCTCGTTAAGGAGAGAGGGAGGGACGGCACGAGAGGGAGAAAGGGGTACAGGTCGGTCACGACGACGAGAGCGAGCCGAGCACTCAGTGCCGGTTGCTCCTCGACGACCTGAGCGCGTGCGCCTGCGCACGCGCAAACTGCTCGTGCACGCTCGACGCGGGAGCCGACGCCGACGGGGCCCGCCGCAGGCGGCTCTTGGCCGACATGTGCGCGCTCGGGCGCTCGAGCGGCGCGACGGCGACGGCGACGGGCGCGGGCGCGATGTCGGCGACAGCACGCTTGACGACCCGCGCCATGCGAGTGCGTGACGCCATGACGATCGCGCCCTGGACGCACTCGGTGCCCGAGGCGACCGAGCCCATCGGCGTGCAGCCGGTCGGCTTCGAGCACAACGAGAACGTCGTCTTGCTCGTGCACGACAGCCACGTACCGACGTAGCCGCCGCTCGACGACGAGCTCGCCGAGGTGGTGGCGGCAGGTGCGGCCGACGAGGTGGTGCGGGCGACCGAGGTCGAGGCGGCGCGGGTCGTCGTCGCCGGAGCGGGGACCTTGCTCGTCGTGGTGGCTGCGGCTGCCCGGCTCGACGACGACGACGCAGGAGCCGCCGAGCTGAGCGCTGCAGCACGGCTGCTGGCGCTAGCGCGGGCAGCTGACAGGCGAGAGACGCCAAAGGCGCCGACCGGGGCGGCGCTCGGGAAGGTCGGCTGCGCGGCGGCCGTCGTCGTCTGGGCGCGCGAGGTGGTCGCGGCAAGCTTGGTCGTCGTCGTCGCCGCAGCCTTGCTCGTGGTTACTGCGGCGTGCAACGACGTCGTCGCCTTGGGCGGCGTCGCGAGCGAGGAGGAGCTCGAGCCCGAGCCGGCGCCGCCGGACGACGACGACGAGCCCGACGGGCCGACCGTGACCGACATGTTCTCGTCGTACGCGCAGCCGTCGATGACCGTCGCGGGCGACGAGCTCGACATGCCGGCGCCGTAGGCGACCGACGGGCCCGGGTTCGGGAACACGGGCGTCTTGCCCTCGGTCGTGATGCACGTGTCGCCGAGCGTGTTGGCGCGGAACAGGCCCGGTCCCGTGAACGACTTGGCGGTCGACGAGCCCTGAATGTCGACGATGGCGCAGTTCTGCGAGGAGGGGGAGAGAGAGAGGGGTTCGAGCGCAAGGTCAGGTTCGGGTTCTCGGCGACGACGAGGGACGCGCTCGCCGGCTCGAGAGAACGAGAGAGAGAGAGGCGGGACGCACCATGTACTCCTCGCGGTTGCCGACGAGGTTGAACCACGTCCAGGCGAACGTCGCCTTGGTCGCCGAAGGAAGGCCGCTCGGGATGGGCACGCTGTAGGTGCTCGCGAGCGGGCACCCGCCGATGACGCTGTGGATGACGGCGAACGACTTGCCCTGGTCGTAGCTGACCGAGAACTGGCACGACCCGCCGCCGTGCGTCGCGCCGCCGGCCGCAAACTCGACCTCGAACGACGAGCCCGCCTTGAGCGTCGCGACCGCGCCGAGCGAGCTGTACGCCGACGGCGTGTTGTACCCCTTGCACGGGTAGTTGGACCCGTCAGGAAACAGCGGCGCCGTCATCGAGTAGTCGATGTTGGCCTCGGCCGTCTGCGGGTCGAACTTGGAGTTGATGGCTGTGGGCGGGGCGGGCAAGAGGGTCAGTTCTCGTGGCCGCAAGGCGCGCTCGTGCTGTGGGACCCTCTCTATAGCTTCCTCAGAGTCTCTTGAGCGTGCGCCGTCGAACAAGGAGACGCGCCAAGCCACCCACCACGCGCCGTCCTCGAGCCGAGAGTCGACATCAACTCGGCGGTTGCGAGACGCGACACGGCGCTCGCCCGCCCGCCTGACACGCCCACATGCTCCATCGAGACGATACATGGCCCCAGCCAGGCGCTCGAGCCGGCTGACGGTGCGCACGACCCACCCGGCTCCGTCACTTGCCGGAGACGAGACGCGAGGAGATGAGGGGACGTACGAGGTGGGTACTGGAGCTGGATGTGGGCAGACACGAGGGTCGTCGCCAGGATGGTAAGGAAGGCGATGGAACGGAGCATGGCGGCCGGCGCTTGAGGTAGGGAGGGTGGGTGCGGTCGGCGAGAGGAGCGAGGGCGCGAGGACAAGGGCGGAGGGGGGGGGCGAGCTGCCTGAGCTCGAGCGGGTTGGTGGTGGGGTGGAGAGGTTGGCGGGCGGGTGCGACGAAGCCTGTTCGGTCGGCTTTGGGAGAAAGGGCGAGGCGAGAGAGAGGGACGAGGGGGAGAAAGAGGCGGCGACGGACCGGCGTCGTTGAGTGATTCTCCTCCTCGAGACCGAACTCGGACGCGCGTCTCATCGAGCGAGGACAAAGAAGCTCTCCCCGATCCTCGTCGCCAGCAGCGCGCTCACGGCGTCCGTTGCAGTCCAGCTTACGCACGGCATCGTCGCGAGAAGACACCCGCCGCCCGGACCACGAGAGCTCGCTCGCGAAGACGATCACACTCTCGCAAGCGCGCTGTTCGCGCATGCGCACGGTGCGCAGCGATCTGCAATTGTCTTTCGCCTCGAGAGGAAGGCGGCCGAGCGAGGAAGGTCGAGGCGCGCGCGCGCAAGTTCGAGCGAGGGCGGCGCGCGCTCGTAACGACGATTACGAGCTCGACTGTAATTGAAAGCTAACGAGTCGAAGACAACCTGCGTGCCCTAAGCGGCCGAATACAAACTTGGTCGTTACCGCTCCCCCTCCGCGCCCTCGCGCTCGCCCTCGACACCCGCCCTCTCGCTCGACAGATGGTTCCGCCCGTGCGCCCTGCTCCGCCACCTGCCCTTCTCGAGGCCCTGCGCACCGCCCGCGTCCCGCTCGAGTCGTTCGACGAGGCGTGCGCCGCCTGCGCCGAGTGCGATGACACCGACGCCGCCGACTACCCGAAAGGGTGCGCCCGCCTCTCTCTGTGCTGCACAGGGACCGTGTTACTGACCTGGATGCCCCGCGCAGGTTCGAGATGGACCTCGAGACGACCATGCTCGGGTCCGTCAACCCGCTCGGAAGGTGCGCTCGACTCTCCTCCTCTCTCTCGCAGCACTCGCCTCCCTGCCCGCAAGCTCACTCGCACGCTCTCCACCCCACTCGCAGGCAAATCCTCGTCTCGACCGGCAAGTCGGACTGGATCCGCGAGGTGACGGACGACGCCGACTCGATCCCGGGTCTCGTGCGGGCCGTCTTTGACGAGACGAGCGCGGCAGGGACGCCGAGTGAGAAGAAGGGCCTGCTCGGCAAGTTCGGCGCCATGGTCCTCGGCGGCGACAAGAAGAAGGAGGACGAGCAGGAGGGCATTCCGGGCGTGCACCCGTCGTCGGCGGCACCACCTGCAGACGGCGTCGTCTCGTCCAAGCTGTGCGTCCTCTTCCTCTGCCAGCCTCGCGCGGTCCCTTCAACTGACTCTCTCGAGGCCCGCAGGTCTATCCTGTCGTCGTCCTTCATCTCGTCGTCGCACGAGGGTCATCGCGAGTCGGTCATCGTCCTGCCCGACTACAAGGTCGTGCACGAGGTCGAGGCGTCGAGGGCAGCTGTCGGCGAGCTCGTCAAGGGCTACTTGCGACCTGAGGTCGGCCGGGCCGGCGCAGGAGAGCTGTCGGGGTCGTTGCGAAGCTGGTGCGTCCCCTCTTTCGCCCGTCTCGCTCCACCTTCTCGTGCCTCACTCACGATCTCAACGTCGCGCAGGCCGCTTCCGTATCAATGCGTCATCCTCCTGTGCTCGCATCGCAAGCGCGACAAGCGCTGCTCAATCGCGGCGCCGCTCCTCATCTCGCAGGTCGGTCCGCACCTTTCCGCGGCCCCCTCCTCGTCCCGCGCGACCTGACCCGCCTCGCGTCGCCTCCTGCAGTTCCACCATCACCTCGAGAAGCACGGCTTCCACGTCGACGAGCGCGGCGACGACCTGACCGAGGATGCCGACCCGATCGAGGCGTGGGAGAGCGAGGACAAGGAGGCGAGGCTCAAGGAGCAGCTCCAGGGCGTGCAGAAGGCGGACCAGGCTCGAGTCGGGCTCTTCAAGGTGTCGCACATTGGTGGACACCGGTATGCGGTGCGTCTTTCGCTCTCTCTCTCTCCGTCGTCGCACGAGCCTCGTCCGTCGCGCCGAGTCGAGCTCACGCGCGTTCCTCCCTTCCTCTCTCCCTCGCGCGCAGGGCAACGTCATTCTCTACTTCCCCAACGGTTCCTCGGTGTGGTACGGCCGTACGATACCCTCGGACGTCGGCCTCATTGTGCGTCCTCGTCCTCCTCCCTCGCCCTCGAGCCCCTTCCTCGTTCGACCTTGTCCTGACCCTGCTCGGCGCCCTTTTGCGCTCGCTCCTGCAGGTCGACCGGACCATCATGGAGGGCAAGGTCGTGCCCGAGTTGCTGCGCGGCGGGCTCGGTCTCGAGGGCAAGGACGGCGACAAAGGCGTGCTCGACTGGTAGAACGACGACGGCGCTTTCTCTCTCTGTAGAAGCTCTCTCGATCCTCGGAATAGATCAGTACCTCGCGCTCTCGGTCTCGTCGCACGCAGAGACACGGAGAGGGTGCTCGATTAAGGTCGCATTGGCAGGCTGCGGGTGGGCTAAGCCTCGAGAATGCGTGTTTGTGGCAGTGATACAGAACGAGCAAGAGGACGAGACGAGGGGATATGACAGAGGGAGAGAGGGGACGAGAACGAGAAGGGGGAACCTTGGGTGGGCAGCGCACCCCTGTGCAGACTGCCCGGACTTGGGGGGGCGACGGGAGGAAGGAGGGATCTAGACATGGAGGAGAGCCCGGATCTTGGCCTCGAGAGCGGCGTCGCCCTTCGAGTCGATCGTGTACCGCACGTCCGAGCGGCGGAAGCCGTTGAACTGGCTCGCCGCGCAGATCGTGTAGGCGCCCATGTTGTCCCACCGGAGCCAGTCGCCGACCTCGAGGAGGTTGGTCGGCAGGAGCGCGTCCGACTGAACGCAGTCGATCGAGTCGCACGTCGGGCCCCAGATCGAGCACGGCTCAAAGATGGCGCCGGCGTGGGTCGACGCGACGGGCGCCGGCTGGAACTCGTCGCCGAGCGTGAGGACGTGCGGGAACACGACCTGGTGGTCGAACATGGTCGAGTTGAACGACGAGTAGACGCCGTCGTTGATGTAGTCTGCAAAGGGAGAGAGAGCGAGAGAGTCAGGGCGAGGTCCGAGCGCGAGAGAGAGAGAGGGACGAGGACGCACACATCGTGATCGGCTTGCTCTCCTCGTCGTCCTCGACGCCGGCAAGCTCGAGCATGCTCGCCTCGTCGTTGGTGCCCTCGCGAGCGGCCCGGCGCGCGATGATGTTGGTCGCGAGCTCGAACGCGCGGCAGACGTAGTACCGGCCGGGCTCGGCGATGACCTTGACACCTCGGCCCTGGGCGTCGAGCGGGAAGTGGACGGCGATGGCGTCGCGCAGGACGGCGGCAATCTCCTCGAAGTTGTTGTCCTCGAACCCGCCGCCTATGTCCAGAAGGTCAAAGTCGAAGCCCTCCTCCTTGCCGACGTCGAACGCCCACCGGGCGCGGCGGATGGCGTCGCCAAACAGCGACGGGTCCTTGCAGCCGCTGCCGCAGTGGAACGAGATGCCGACGACGTTGACGTCGAGCTGCTTGGCGCGCTTGAGGAGGCCGCGAGCCTCGCCGAGCGGGGCGCCGAACTTGAGGCCGAGGCGGCACAGGCTGCTCGAGTCGTCGGTGAGGATGCGCAGGACCATGCGGGCGCCCGGGTGGTACTTCTGGACCTTGGCGAGCTCGTCGGCGTTGTCGAACGTCATCGTGTCGACGCCGTGCTTGGCCGCGTGGCGGATGAACGACGCCGCCTTGCACGGGTTGGCGTAGATGATGCGCGACGGGTTGATGGTGCCGGGCAGCGCGAGGACGGCCGAGATCTCGGGCTGCGACGCGCAGTCGAAGCCGAGGCCGAGCGCGGCCATGAGGCGCAGGACGTACGGGTCCGGGTTCGACTTGACGGCGAAGAAGGGCTGCACGCGCTGCCCGAGCTCGCGCATCCACCGCTGGTGCTGGCGGTACACCTCGCCGAGGTCGGCGACGAAGAAGGCGTTCTCGCCGTGCGCCTCGCAGTCGTCCATGTCGATGTTGGCGAGCGCCTGGCGGAAGTTGTCGATGATCGGGCCCGAGTGGACGGCCGGGAGCGGCACCTCGACGTCGCGGGTCGCGACCGACGCACGGGGCGGGCGCGCGGCGTACGAGATGGACGGCTTGCGGGCGACCTGGGCCGTCGCCGGGGCAAAGTGGGACGCCGGCGGGCGGACCGACGAGTACTTGGGGGCCGACCCGGGCGAGAGCGACAGCTGGTGCGCGAAGGGCGAGCGCGAGAGGGGCGAGCACGACAGAGGGAAGAAGGGGACCTCGTTGTCGGCGGCGAACGACGACTGGGCCGAAGGGATCGCGATGGCGGCCATCTCCAGCGACGGGTTGGCGGCGGCGGCGGTGGATCGGTGAGGGGGAGGTGCGAGGGAGGAGGTCGACGCGGTTGACGCGGACAGTGGTGCGGCGGTGGAGGAGGCGGAGGAGGTGGGGTCTGGCGGATGCGCCAGGGGGCTCTTGTCAAGCAAGAGAGTCTGTCAAGGACAGCGGGCCGCCCCTGCACGTGCACGCAAACAGTCAGTTGGACGCACTCGACGACGACGACGAGGAGTAGGGGTGGGACGCACCGTGAGCCTCTTTGTGCGAGCTGGTCGAAGCCGGCGAGGATCTTCGCCCCCGAACAGGCGAAGAAAGTTGCGGGTGGGGCGCGAGGACCGCCGGGTGGGCGGTGGGTGGGTGGTGGATGTGGTGGTGGTGGTAGTGCCGAGGGCGAGCCTTACGGGGGCTTGGGCAGCGTCGGCCGGGGTTGCGACCGGACGAACGAGGTGAGATGGAGCGAGAGGGTCGAGAGGTCCGACTTGGCGCTGTCGAGTGGACGGGGCGTGCTGGGTGGTGGGCTCGGGCGAGTGACGAGGGCTGGGCTAACAGCACACGGCTCGCTGACTGGCTCTGGGCGGGAGTCTCTGCGTGGACGGTGCGAGAGGAGGGAGGGGGAGCAGAGTGGCGCGTTTTTCCCCTTTGCTCGCCGCTCGCTCGTCTGCGCGCGACCCTCGCTCGCGCAGATCCCGGCCTCGGCCTGCGACACGTATCGGCCAAAGGTCGGCCCCCGGGCCCCCCTCTTCTCTACGGTCGCTGACGCGCAAACTCGCCGGCGCAACCGCATCTCGCGCGATTTGCGCTCGCCCCTCTCTTCTTTCTCTCGCTCAGTCCAGCACGTAGAGCTCTTTCTCACAGCTCGAGCGACTCTTGCGAACAGCTTTCGGCAGCGAGAGACGCAGCGAGACAGAGAAGGAGAGACTGGGCCAAACGCGCGCGAGTCGATTCGGCAACCGTTCGAGGGCAGTGAGCTACGTCGGACAAGGACAGAGAGTAGTGGACACGCCGGGCCACCAGATCCACCCACACGAGCCGACCGCAGTCTCAACAAGAGAGGCCTCGTCGACCTGGGGAGGGGGGAGCGAACGAGGCGAGGAGGAAGGGAAGTGGAAAGGGCGGGGTGGGTTTAGACCTCGGCGAGCTCGCGGAGGCGACGGACGGTGCTGTGGACGACGATCGAGGTCAGGACGGGCGCGCGAGGCTAGAGGCGAAAGAGGGAGAGGAAAGAGGACGCACCTCCGGACGGTCGCAGCAGCGGTGGTCGAGACGGTCCACGCGCCACCAGCAGTCGTCTTCTTGCACGCACGGCAGTGCCAGATGCCGACAGCGGTGCGCTTGACGGAGTCCTGTGGGCGAGAGAGGCGTCAGGGCCTGCGCTCGTGTGCTCCTGGTCGCTCGCTCGTCGTCCTCGCGCCGGGTCCCGCCCTCTGCCCGCGGCACTTGCTCCTCCAGTCGACCGCCGCCTCGCTTCGACCGCATCGAGAGAGGGCGAGACTAACCTTGCCGCAGAAGGTGCAGCTGCGCGGGGAGAAAGAGTCAGGGCCTACGCTCGAGGGCGGACAAGAGAGAGAGAGAGGGGGACGCACGTGTAGGTAGCGTGCTGAGTGATCTCCATCTTCTTGATGGTCTTCCTCAGGGTAGCACCGTAACGCTGTGGGCGGGAGGCGACGAGTGAGCGAGTCGCTCGCACGGCGGAAGGCTCGGGACGAGAGGAACGAGACGCACGACACCGTACTTGCCCGTCACGCCGACCTTTCTGGTACGCTTCGTCATCTGTCGGGTGCGTGCAGAGAGGCGGTCGAGGCGAGAGGACGACGAGGTCGACGACGGCCGGGGAGGGAGCGAGGTTGGCGGGCCGGATCACAGGTTTGCCGTCACGGCAGGTGAGGGGTCGAGGGCGGGCGCGGTCGGGAGCGGGTGGGTGCGCAGGGTCGGTAGGCGGCGCACAAGGCGGGCACAGGGGCGGCAGTGGGTCGAGGAGAGGTCGGGTGAGGGGAGCAGGGTTTGCGAGCGACGAGGGTCGGCGAGAGGCGACGAGGGGAGGTGGGAGGGCGGGCGCTCGTCAGTTGGGGCCTTGAGGAGTGTGGCACGAGTGAGGGGGACGGACCTTGTTGGATGGACCTGAAGGGAGACGAGGACGGAGGAGAGAAGGCGAGGCGGGCGGCACCAGGCCCAGCTCAGCTGCTCGCCTCGCGCTCCCCTCGCCAAGTCCAGCTCTGTCCAGCGCACACTGCCCAAAGTGCAGCTCGATCTGTGTAGACCATTCTCTCACACCCTGCAAACAATTGTCCCGCTGTCAGAAGAGCCGCAAGAGGTGTCCGCCCGCTCGTTCTCTTCCTCGCCCCGCGCAACCTGCCGACGCAGCTCTCCTCTCGTTACACACGCGCTCTCCAGCTCTTGCAACAGCTGCACGGCCTCGACTCGACCCGACCGCACTCCGGCACAAGCCTCTCTGCTCCACTGTGCGTCGCACGTCCTCTCCACTCCGCCTCCCGTGCACCGCTTCCGCTCGTCCCTCGCCCCGGCAGCAGGGCGCAGCGGCCGCGGTCGGCGACGACGTGCAGCAGGCGCACCGGTGTACTGGCCGAGCTGCCGAACGCGCGCACTGACACCCCCTCTCTCTCCCTCCTCGCAGCCCGACTCTCCGTGACCTCATCTTCCTCGCGCACCTCGAACATGTCTGCCGCCGACTCCAAGCCTCGCCTCCCGCGCGTCTTCATCGTCCGCCACGGCGAGACCGAGTGGAGCCTGTCGGGCCAGCATGTGCGTCCTCCTCTCTCTCCGAACTCGTCCCGCTTGCTCGCGCAGGCTCGGTTCGGTCTGCCTCGCTCAACTCTGTCGATTCCTCCTGACTTGCGCGCCCTTCCCGTCCTGCAGACCGGCCTGTCCGACATCCCGCTCACGCAAAAGGGCGAGGACATCCTGCGCGAGCTCGGCGGCCGCATCGTCGGCAAGGGCAAGGTCCTCGACCCGACCCACATCCAGCACGTCTTTGTCTCGCCGCGTCAGCGCGCCCAGAAGACCTTCAGCCTGCTGTTCGACAACCGCGGCGTCGAAGTGCCGAGCTACTCGACCGAGGACGGCGTGCGCGAGTGGGACTATGGCGTCTGCGAGGGTGCGTCGCCCGTCCTCCTTCCCGCCTCTCTCGCGAGACCGCGTCGAGAGCAGGCTGTCAGACCTCTCCAGAGTGATACTGACATGTCTCTCTCCACAGGCAAGAAGACGGCCGAGATCCGCAGCGAGCTCGGCGAGGACTGGGACATCTGGACCATGGGGTGCCCCGAGGGCGAGTCGCCCGACGAGATGACGGCGCGCTGCGACGCCATGATCCAGAAGGTCGTCGACCTCGCAGAGTGCGTCCCTCTTTCGCTCTCGTCGTCGCAAGCTCTCGTCTGTCGCGAGCGGTCGACTAACCGCGCTCGTTCCCCCTGCAGCGCGCACCACGGCAAGGAGGAGACGGCGGGCAGCCACGGCGACATCGTCATCATCTCGCACGGTCACTTCAGTCGGTGCTTCATGTGCGTCCACCCCTCTCACTCCTTCCTCCCTTCCTCGATCCGCCAGCCGTCGTCGTTCTTCCTCCTTCTCTCGCCGACGCCCTCTCTATCCAGAGGCGCCCGACACTGACCCTCCTCTCTCTCCCCCTGTCTCCTCGTGCATCTCGCAGGACCCGCTGGTGCAAGCTCAACCTGTCTCAAGGCCGCATCTTTGTCGCCGACACGGGCGCGCTCCACAAGCTCGGGTTCCAGCACCGCAACTTTGACGAGCGCAGCCTGCTCGGCCTCAACCTGTACAGCGTCGAGGAGTAGAAGAGAGGGCGACAGATGGTCCATAGACGGAGGAGCATGCGGTGCAACCTTGAGAGGGAGGTTCAAGTGCGGTCCAAGAGGAGGTGCGAGAGCGAGAGAGAGCGAGAGCTTGCCCAGGCCTGGTCTACTTTCGCCTCTCGTCTCTGTCCGACCTTTCGCTCTCGACGCTCTCGCTCAGGGCAGCTGCCGCCCTCTTTCGCTCGTGTCGAGCCGAGTTCGACCGCTTGCTTGTGCCTCCCTGAAGCCAAAGTGCGCTCTGTCGCTGACTATCGCTCTCTTGCCGATCGCAGCTTGCGCTCGAGCTGCTTTGAACGTTGCCGGACGCTACATATCCAAGCCTCGCACCGAGTCGAGAAAGCAGGAGAAAGCCGCTGTGGAGGGGTCTGAGCGAGCCTTCTCAAGCGGAACGCCGCCGACGAGAACTCGGTCAGCTGCAATTCTTTCGCTTGACGGCTCGGGTGAGGCCTGCCGAGACTCTCAAAGAAGGCGCTCGCGACGGAACGAGCGAGCAGGAAGCAGGCTCGCGGGTCGTCGCTCGCCCGACTCGAGAAGGGCAGCGACCGGGCCAACTCTCGCTGCACACGACAAAACATCTCGGGAAACGCGCTCGATTACACCGCAGACGTCCCCTCGTCAGATCTGGGGCGCGCACGAAGCCGTAACCCTGCTAGATCAAGAGCTAGCGTTTGAGCGAGGGTGCGCAGGATCCCCCTGTATTTAGCAGGTGGCCGGGCGCACGGGCGCTCCGCAGGGGTGCGCACCGTGCGAGCGGCTCACCAGAGTGCGCCCGCTGCCCTCAGGGGCACGTGAGGGCGGGCGCAGCCTCGTAAGGACCCGTCCGCGGCGGCTCGACTCGCTGAGCCGTCGGGACGAGTGCGACGACGGACAAGAACTCTGGGCGGTGCTGGAACGCTCGACAGAGACGAGGACAGCTTTCGGAGAGGAAAGGGCGCCGTCATGTGGCGCAGGAAGGGCGCGTGAGGAAGCTTTCGGGGCCGAGAAGGGGGGACGTGCCATCGAGGGCTCGACTGACCTGCGGTGCGAGGTCAAGATGGTCAGGGCGCGGCTCAGGGAGGAGTATAGACCGTTGTGGAGGTCCTGGGGGCGAAAGAAAGGGCGAGAGGGACGTACCAGGATCTGGATGAGCCGGCTCGAGGTCGACAGCGAGCCGCAGACCGACTGGACGACCAACCACCCACACAACGCAGCCGCTCTACCTGTGAGAGCAGTGAGTCAGCTCTCTGATGCGTCTGATATGCGCCGCAAGGTGGCAGAGGGGGCGAGAGGGGAGGGAGAGGGCCGGCAAACACGGGGAGGCGGGGACGAGAGGGACGCACCGACTAGGGAGGCCCGCGCAGCGTGCCCGGCCTGCTCAGCGCCGTCCTTGCACCTTCTAGAGTCCTCGGCGAGCGCGTCCACCGGTGCACGAGTCGTTGTCGCCAGTCGAGGACAGGCGGCCGACGCGGTGACGCTGATGGAGGTTTGACGAGACGGCGAGCGCTCGCAGCGGTGCGGGGGCAGCTCGTAGTCGTAGCTGAGGCAAGCAAGCACTCGGGCGAGCTGAAACGCGCCGGCCCAGTCGTGAGGTGACGTGTGGGAGGAGCGAGGCGAGCGGCGAGACCACGACTCGCCCTTGGCCGGGCTGGCACACTGGCTTTCGGCTCTCCGCGGCGGGTCTTGAGTCTAAGAGGCCATCTATATACAGATTGTCTACCTCTTGAGCGACCCCTCGCGCTGCAGGCCCGCCTCGCCGCCGAAAACGCCGCGCTCCCGCTCGACCTCCTCCCTTGTCAACCGCCTGCGCAAGCCCTCGTCCTGCTCGCGGTCCTTGACGCTCGTCCTGCCCGGCCCGAGCTCGACCGCCTCCTCGTCGCCCGAACGCCTCGCAGGACGCGCCTGGCCGTACTCGGGCTGGAGCGGTCCGCCGAGCGAGACGAGGACGGCGGCCGAGTTGGCGGTCGGCGCGTCGAGCGCGAGGAGCTCCTCGGGCGTGAACATGCGCGGCACGAGGTAGTACCGGACAGGGATGAGGACGATGATGATGACCGGAAACCCGATTCCGGCTGCGAGCACGAGAGGCGGATGAGCATCGACTCGAGAGAGGAAAGGAGAGAGGGAGAGAGAGTGTGGGCGCACCGATAGTTTCCGAAATGGCGATGATGGCCGCAAAGAAGATCCACTGGATCGCGACGAAGCGGAAGATGGAGCGGCGGCTGATGTTGTACAGCGGGTGCGTCGAGGGCGTCATGCGACGGTCGCGCAAGAGGTACAGCGTCTTGTGCACGATGCCGTTGCCCTCGACCGAGCCCCAGCCGACGACGATGAAGATGCCGGCGAACATGGCGCGCGACATGAGGCCGCTGCGACGAGAAAGAGAGAGGGAGGTCAGGACGCGGACCGCGCGCACAACGAAAGGGGAGCGAGGACGCACAGGACGACGAGGAGCGGGCGAGACATGGTGCCGAGGATGAGGAGCTGTGTCGGCAAAGATACAGAGTCAGTGTCGCGAACGGGGGCTGGCGAGGAAGGGGAGGAGGACGCCCGCCCATGGCAAAGTGCGACACCCTCTGCTCGACGACCCTCGTCCTGACGACCTTCATCGGCGCCCTCTCGGCGCCCTGCTCGATCCTCCTCTCGTCGTGCTCCCTCGCCTCCTTGACGTCGCCCTCGAAGAAGCCGCCCTCGCTCACCTCGGTCTGGGCCGGGATGAGGTGCGTCTCGCTCAGGCTCTCCGTGTGAACGGGCGCCTGCGGGACGAGGCCGTTGGGCGCAGGAAGGCCGATGACGCCCGAGACGAACGTCGTGCAGCCGAGGAGGAAGAAGTCCCAGTGGAAGCCGGCGGGACGCTTGACGGGGAAGCCGCGCGACTGGGCCATGACGGAGCTGACGTTGTTCTGCGAGGGCGCGCAAGAAGGCGTCAGATCGACGACGACGAAAGGAGACGAGGAAGAGAGAGGAGGACGCACGTCAAAGTAGAAGAGGAGGGTCACGAGGCAACCGAAAGGCAGCGCGACGAAAACCCACTTGACGGGGAGCGACCAGAACGGAACGACCCAGTCACGGCTGCACGTCGTCCACTCGTCAGTTCTGCAGGTCCCAGAGAGGTACAGGAGCGGACCGGGACGCACTTGAGGGTCGGGTTGAACGTCGACGTGATCGGCAGGAACTGGATGTCGGCGTCCTTGATGTACCCGGGGCTGCAAGATCGTCGAGGAGCGTCAGGCGTCGTCCGACTCGATCGCAAGAGAGAAGGGCATGGAGAGAGGACACGCACATGTGCACGAAACCGGTGTAGAGGATGACGGCGGCCGCAAAGGCATAGTCGACGAGAAATTTGCGGAACCAGAAGGCTGCGAGGCGACCCGAGTCAGTGCTGGGGACATCGAGAGAGACATTCTTGCCAGGAGGACGTACGGCCAAAGTGCAGCGTGCCCGAACGCTCGGTGAAGTAGACCGTGAGGGCGAACAGCATGGCGATGACGACGCTGAACCAGCCCGACTGGCCCGTGCCGTCGTCAAACTCGTACACGAGCAACTCGATGCCCTTCTGGATGTAGATGACGCCGACATCTGCGAGAGAGGGGAGTCAGACGAGGACCCCTCGCGAGTTGAGAAGGCGACGACGCACAGAGGCCAAACGTCTCGCTCGTCATGCTGCGGGAAGAGCTGCGTCAGGGTCGACTCTCGACCATCGAGAGAGATCGAGACGCACTCGGTGACGAAGCGGGTGTAGTCGCAGATGTTGAACACGGCGACGATCCAGTGCGTGATGGCGGACCAGCTGCGGCGACGACGAGGATGGTGAGCTCGGGCCTTGCCAAGAGAGCTGCGGCGAGGAGGGACGCACATGAGGACCCAGGCCTGGAACTGGATGTAGTCGACGTCGTAGTCGCGCAGAATGTCGAACGTCGTATAGTTAAACAGGTTGATGAGGCCCGTCACTGCGAGGGGGACGGCGAGGGTGAGCCCGCCGCTCTGTACGTGCCCGAGCTTGACGCAGGATCGAGAGGTGACGCACCGCCGACAATGGTGAGAGGCTGGACCGACAGGACGGCAAAGACGAGGGCCGGGAGGGCGGACGCGAGCAGGCCCTCGTTGACGCCGTAGGTGCCGTCGGTGCGCACGTACATGTCGATGATGTAGGCGAGCATGGGCATGACGCTGCGAGGTACCGAGGCCGTCAGGAGGTGCCTCGGCAGGGAAAGAGAGGGTGCGAGGCGGGGACGCACTTGAGAAAGTACATCTTGAGGGTGGCGCCGACGACGCGCTCGAGGTTGCGAGGCTTGAGCCCCTCGGTCCAGTCGCTGACGTAGAAGGGCAAGCGCTTGCGCACGTCGTGGTACATGCCGCGGAAGGGGCGGTACTGGTAGGCGAACGAGCGCTCTGGCCACGGGCGACGATCTGGCGAGAAGGAGCGCTCGTTGCGGCGTGGCGGGCGGCTGGCCGGCTGGCGGTCGCGGTGGGCATCTTGCGCGAGGTCCTTGTCGGGTGCCGAGACGGGGAGGGTGAGGGAAGGGCCGCCTGCGGAGGAACGAGAGCTCGCGGTCACGGTGCCAGGAGGTGGCGGAGGGTCGAGCGACATTGGCGGCGTGGGGCGCTGCGAGCGACGAGGCAAGCTGCTCGAGGGAGAGAGGAGCACGAGAAGCACCCAGTCCAAGGCCAGCTGGTGGCGTGCGGTGCGTGGTTCGAGCCAGGAACGCCGACCCCACCTGTGGTCGCTGCCTTCGTCGTCGTCGCCGTCTTCTTCTCGCTCAACTCGACTCAGAGCGGCCAGCTTGTCGCCTACCTGCCCTCCATGTCGCGCTTTGTCCGAGCTGGACTGTCCGACGACCTCACCCTGAGCCCAGGTGCGCCCCTCGCCTCGCCTCGTCCCTCATCGTCGCCCCCTCGCTCACCTGCCCTTGGCCCCGGTCCACAGATGTCCGGATCCACGTCCTTGTCCCGCTGTGCGCCGTCGTCCTCTTCAGCGGCCTCATCCGCCATTACCTCGCCCGCTACCTCCAAAAACCGCCAAAGGAGCAGCCCCTCCTCGTCGTCCGCGAGCAGTCCGTCCTCTCTCTCTCTCTCTCTCTACCCACCTCTCGTGCGCCCAAGTTGACCCACGCCCTATGCAGGCGAGCCCTCACCCGCGCCCAGGTCCTGCGCGCCAACAGCTCGCACCTCGCCCCCGCCGCCTTCAACGCGCTCCGCTCCCACCTCCAGGTCGCCCTCGAGGATGGCTCGTACCTCAAGAAGCCCGCTCCGCCCGAGGGCTCGTCGCCGGCCAACCCGCTCGACAACCCGCAGGACATGGAGCAGATGATGGACGGCATGACCGACATGATGAAGAAGCAGGCCGTCGGCTTTGTCCCTCAGGTCCGTCCCTCGCTCTCTCTCTCTCTTCCTCGGGTCGCAGCTGACCCCTCGTCTCGTTCACCCGACGCAGATGGCCACCATGTACCTCGTCAACAAGTTCTTCGCCGGCACGCTCCTCGGTGCGCCCCCTCGCTCCCGCTCTCTCCGTCGACCTGCGACCTGACCTCGCTCGCCCTCGAACAGCCCGCATCCCCTTCCCTCTCCCTCTACGCTTCAAGGAGCTCCTCCAGCGCGGCATCTGGCTCCCCGAGGTCACGCTCGACGCGTCGTGGTGCTCGGCAACGTCGTGGTACTTCCTCTGCATGTTCGGCCTCGGGCCCGTCTACCAGCTCCTCGTCGGCGACTCGAGCGGTCCGTCCCCTCCTTCTTCCCCTTCCTCTCCTGGATCAACGCGACCTGACTCGTCTCCCGTTCAACCCGCAGCGACGCAGATGGTGGCGATGAACCCGATGATGGGCATGGCCGGCGGGAGCGGCGGTGCGGCGCCCGTCATGCCCGGCGCGCCCGGACAGGACTTTGTCAAGCTGTTCCGCGGCGAGCGCGAGAACCTTGACATTGTCGAGTACGCGTGGGCGAGCGACGGCGTCGAGGACCGGCTCCTCGGCATGTTTGCGTCGTAGACGAGCGGCCTGCAACGAAAACTTGGTGTACCGGTCTCCTTTTGACCTCGAGAGCCGCTCTCGCTCTCCCCTCGTGCTGCTCTTGGACGTTCAGGTCTGCCGCGAGCGCGAGGTGAGCTCGCCGCAGTGAGAGGATGCTCCTCGACTCGTCCTCGAGCGACCTTCTCAAACTCGCTCTCGGTCACGAGAACGGCTCGAACGACGCACATCGTACTGCAGCGCCTGCGCCGAGCTACGTCAAAAGTCCTGCTCAAGTCCTCGTCTCCTGGAAATTCGAAAAGAGTCCTTCGTCCAGCTTCGGCTCGTTCACACTCGCGACCCTGCTCTTCTCGCCCGCCCGCCCGCCCGCCCGCCCGCCCGCCGTCTAGAGCGTGTAGGTCGAGAAAGTCTGCGCGCCCGAGTCGATCATGAGGCCGTACCGGGCGGCCTGCGCCAGGCTGCCGTCGCTCGTGTCGCCCGAGCAGTCGAAGAAGTTGACGCCGCCGACTCGGGAGCGGAACGCCTGGCGCGCCTTGTACCAGATAGTGCCCGGTGCGTCGGTCCTGTGCGAGGAGAGCGATTGCGAGGACGAGACGGGGCAGAAAGGTCAGGTCTTGGTCGCCGACTGAGCCCGAGAGAGAGAGAGGAAGAGAGAGAGGAGGAGCGAGAGAGAGAGAGAGGGGACGCACGAGATGAACTCGCTCGTCGTCGGGTTGTAGAGCGTCCACGTGTGCGCGTAGCTGACCTCCTGGATCTTGCGGAAGCCCGACGACGGCTTGAACTTGGGCACAAGGTCCTTGTACAGGTACTGCCCGTTGTTGCCGATGTAGCTCCCGCACGTCGAGCCGCTCGTCGCAAACTGGTACGCGATCGTCGTCGTGCCGTCAGGGCACGTCTTGAGCGTGTAGGGCTGCTTGACGTAGTAGCCGTACGCATACATGGGCAGGCCGACGAGCTGGGGACGGGCGACGAGGGTGCGGGTGTGCCGGGAGAAGGTGAGGAGCGGACGAGGAGGCGTGGAGCAGGATGCGGTCGGTTTGGGAAGGGAGGCGAACAGGAGAGGGGTAGGGGTGGAGAGAGAGGGTCCGGGTGGACGAGGCCGAGGGAGCGCGAGGGCAAGTGGGAGGACGGCGACGAGGGCGCGGTTGCAGGGAGGTAGAGAGAGTTTGTCGGGGAGGGAGGAAAGGGAGAAAGAGGAAGGAATGTCAGTCGGGCTCATCGAAGAGACCGGACTTGGGAAGGTCGAGCGCACGATGTGGCTGCCCGAGAAGCCGGCCTTGAGGTACAACGAGATACTGCAGGCAGGACCGAGAGTGTCAGGCCTCTCGAGAGGATCGATAAAGGTAAGACGACCACGCACCCGCTGTAGACCGAGTAGGGGTTCCCGGCCGGCGCGCAACCGGCAGACCATGGCGAGTTTGGGCCCGTGTAGCCGTTCCAGGTGCCCGTGATATCGTACGACATTATAGTCAGGTAGTCGAGCTGAGCGGCAAAGGGCTTCATGTCGGCGAGGATCTCGCCCGACGCGCCGACGACGCCGCTGACCGGGACCGCCATCGACAGGCGCGTGTTGATGCCGGCGACTGAGCGCAGGGTCTGGAGGAAGAGCAGGAGGTTGGCGGCGTCGGACGGGCTGAAGATGTTCCCCTGGTCGGTCGGCGTATTCATGAACTCCCAGTCAATGTCGATGCTGCGGGACAGCGAACGAGTGGGTCAGAATCGGCCTCGCTCGAGAGGTAGAGACGACGAGACGCACCCGTCAAAGCCGTACTGCTGCATGACGGCGACGAGCGTGCGAGCAAACGTGTTTCGAGACGTGGCGGTGGCGACGTGCGTCGAGAAGTACCTGCTCGACGAGGAAGAGGTCAGGGACGACGTCCGGGCGCGAGGTCCGACAAAAAGGCTTGGGGACGCACTGCGAGCCGGTCCACCCCCCGACAGTGTACGAGACTGTCACTCCTGCGGCATGAGCACGAGTGACAAAGTCGCGAATGAGCGAGTCGTCGATGCCGGCTTGCGAAATCGTCGACGCCTGCGGACGAGCAAATCGTCAATTCCTCGCTCGCGACGAGCGGAACGAGGTGCTCGTGACTCACGCTCGGCGTAGTCGTGAAGACGAAATAGTCCAAGTGCGTGTACTTGTTGTAGGGAACGTCCTGGGTGAGGAGGAGGTCAGGCCTCGCGCACACGACCGAGGAGAGAGGCTGAGGACGCACCGCCGGCGACATTTGATAAGACGGGAAGTAGGCCGACAGGACCTTCTTGCCGGTGAAGCCCTTGCCGTACGTCTGCGCAGAGACCACAAGGCTGGAAGCGGCGGCGAGGAGGAAGAAGACGGGTCGGACCATGGTCGAGGAGCGACAAGGATGGACTGGAGCCGAGGGACGCTGATCAAGTGGGGTGCGTCGGCTCTGCTGACGAGGTTACGGCCGGCCTGCTGGCCCAAGAGGTGCTCGAGAGGTTGTGCGACGGCGGTGTTTGCTCGACGAGGGAGCGCGCGAGGTGGATGAACGAGTGACGGAAGGTGGGACGGGCCGGCGGCCGAGTCGATGCGGCGCGAGTGTGCGGCGGCTGCACAGAGCGCTGCGAGCTGGAGAGAGCTTATGGAGGAGGAGAGAGCGAGGGAGGAGCACATCGAGAATGCGGAGACGGCGCGCTGCCCGATCGCTCGCGTCGCGCCTTTTTCGCAAATGCCGGGCGCACCGGGTGCCTGATGCCATCTGCGCGGTCAAGCACTCGACGAGGTACACAGTCATGAGGGTGTCGCTCGCGGAGAGGAGCCGGGACGCAGAGCTGGCCGGCGAGGAGGCTCGCGCGCAGCGACAGGTTCGCGGCATCTCGCAGCTCGCTCACAAGCCGGGGCGCTCGCAACGAGAGAGGACAGCGTCCATTGCAGCTCGAGGTATTGCACAAGGACTTGGCGCCCGACAGCGAGCAGGTCGCGTTCGACGCGCGAACGACCCTCCACCCTCGCCTTCCTCGTCTCGACGCCGCTCGTGCCCATCGCCCGCCGCCGTCGCTCGCCGCTGCTCACTTCGACGCCTCGAGTGCGGCGGCGCAGATCTCGGCGAACCGAATCGTCGCCTCGTCCTCGCCTTTGCGAGCGTAGACCTGCAGGCCGATCGGCAAGTCGCGGTACGCCTCGGCGTCGTAGCGCTCGTAGTTGAGCTTGTCGAATGGGCTCGCAAAGGCGTGCGCGTTGGCCTTGACGTCGAGGGCCGGGTCGACCGTAGTGACGGGAAACGAGGCGCTCGGAAAGTCGCAAAGGTTGCAGACCGCCTGAGGAACGACCGAGTTAGCGCGACGGCAGAAGAAAGGGGAGAGAGAGAGCGACAGGGCGCACCGTGTACAAGTTTTCGAGGGCGTCGTCGTGCCGAAAGCTCGGGTAGGGCGCGGTCGGCGAGATGACGGCGTCGATCGGGCGGCCCGTGCCGGTCCTCGGCTTGGTCGCCTCCCAGTCGTCGAGCTGCTCCTTGACCCAGTGACGCCGCTTGAGGCACAGCTGCCAGTAGTCGTGCGTGCTGAGCTGAGGCGCCGGTGCCGAAGCCAGAGAAGCGGCAAAGATGGGCGGCTCGCCGGACAGGGCGCACTCGCGCTTGACCTCCTCGTCGCCGGCCGCCGAGAAGAACGAGTTCTGGGGAACGGGGCCGGCGAGGTTAGACACGATTTGAGACGTCGAGAAGGGACGCAAGGACGCACAAGGATGGCCTCGCCGGTGGCGGCGTCGGGAGGCGAGTAGTCGAGCACTGCGGCAAGGTCGAGGAGAGCGTCAAGGGCAATGTCGCGAACACAAGTTCTGGAGGACGGGACGACGCACCTTTGTGACCTTGAGCGACGAGGGCCGTCTCGAGCATGTCCATCGCGCGCAGGTACGGCGGATCGGGCTTGACGACGCCGTTGTTGCGGTTGAAGCCGAAGCAGAGCGACTTGCCGCCGTTGTGCTCGACCAGGCGGTAGGCCGACTCGTTCCAGGGCATGCGGAGCGCTAGAGGGTCGAGATTCCACGGCTCGGTGTCGACGACGGCCTTGAAAAACGTCTTGAGCCCGTCGACCGAGACCGAGAGCGGGCCGAGGACCGACTGGATGCCCTCGAAGCCCTGCATGGCGTTCGACGTGCCGCAGAACGGGATGCGGTTGTACGAGGGCCGCAAGCCGTAGATGCCGCAGAAAGAGGCGGGTACGCTGCGGCAGAAAGGGAGGTGCGGTCAGTCGACCGAGACGAGGCTGACGGGGTGGGCCGAGGAGAGGAGAAGGAGGACGCACCGAACCGAGCCACCGAGGTCCGTACCGACGCCGAGAGGTGAGCCATGTAGGGCAATGAGCGCGCCCTCACCTCCAGACGAGCCACCGGACGAGAGCGCTCGGTTCCACGGGTTGAGCGTCCGACCGTGCAAATTGCAGACGGTCTCGCCCGACATGAGGGCTTGGGGCATGTTGGTGTGGCAGTACAGGACGGCGCCTTGGGCGAGGAGGCAGTCGACGACGACGGCGTTCTTCTTGGCGACGCGCCCGACCCAGCCGACGTAACACAGGTCCATCTGCTCGCCCTCGACGTCGATCTGGTTCTTGAGCGAGATCGGCAAGCCATGAAGAGGGCCCGTCGGCTGCAGGAGGAGCGAGTCAGCATGCGGCTCGAGAGCGACGTCGAGAGGGGAAAGAGCGAGAGGGGGGGGGGGGGGGGGAAGACGCACGCCGTTGGTCGCAAACTCGGCGTCGAGCCACTTTGCGCGCTCGATGGCGCGGTCAAAGAAGACTTGCGTGAGGCAGTTGGTCTGTGGGCGAGCACGCGCAGGCGCAAGAGGTGGGTGAGCCGGGTTTCCCTCATCAACCAACAGCGAGGAGGGAGGAGGAGGAACGAGAGACGCACAAGCTTGTGGGCAAGGACGGCTCGCCGACAGAAGGCACGCTGCGGCGACGACCATGTCAGGCTCTTGTCGCACCGCCTCGATAGCGCAGGACCGAGAGAGAGAGGGAGACGCACCGTCACCTCCTCCGCACTCCACTCGCCCGACCTGAGCCTCGTCAACAGGCCCTCGACGCTCGAGCCAGTCATCTCGAGCTCGGCTGCCGACAGCACGCCCTCGAGCGGCACCTGCGCCACGTTCAACACCTCGCGCGCGACCTCGAACGGTGCCGCCGCGCCCAACCCGCTCGCCTCGATCTTGCTCGCCAACCGCGCTCGCTCCTGCGCCGCCAGGCTCTGCCAGGGGGCGTCGGCGGTCATGATGGATGCTCTGTGGAGGAGGGAGAAGCAGTCTGTCCACATCAGGTGCGTCCTCGGGTCTCTGCCGCCCGTCTCCCTGCGGCGCTAGTTCGAGTCGGCCGTGCCGTCGCTGACCGCCTATCTTTGTTCCGCGCCCCAGATCGTGCGCTCCAAGTGCTCCTTCTAGCCGCCCCCCGAGCACCGAGCTTCTGCCGGCCGCCGTCGTCGAGCTGCCGCAACACGATGCCGACGACTCGTGGCTGGGCCTCGTCTCGTCGCTCCTCGTCGAGCAACGTTTGCGCTGCGCTCCGAGGTGTGCTACAGCGACATGCTCAGCCAGCCTCCCGGGCGTGCTCAGAAGCCGCCAGCTCCCACCGTCGGCGGCGCCGGAGCTTATCTCCCCGGCTGCCGACGGCTTGTCGACTACGAAGCTTGCCCCGCTTCTCGCTGCGAGTCGCACACGCGCTAGTCCTGCGCAGGAAGGACAGACCTATCCCGCAATCGCGGCGACGACGGGCTCTTTGCGCCCTCTTCTCCGCCGCTCCTCGCCTCCCTCCTTCTCGCCCGACGCCGCCTGGGTCTCCTCCACCTCCCTACCTGCGCTCCACTCGACTCGCCCGGCGCGCCAGCCACTCGACGTCTCCCTCCCTACATCACGCTCGCCAAAGAACGTCCAGCACGGCACAGCATGACCGACGCAGTGGGTTACCCTGAGGGCAGCCGCGAGTTCACGAGGCTCCTGGGCCCAGGAGTCGGTTACGGCGTCGTCGTTGGCGTGGGAGCCTTCTTCGCGATCGCGATGAGTGAGTCCCTGCATCAGACGCGTGCCTCGAGAACCGGCCTGACCGCGATTCTTCATCCCGACGCAGTCCTCCTCACTCGGGTTCAAGCCAAGTTCTCCCGTCTCGATCCCGGCTCGGCCAACGAGTTTGCGACGGCGTCGAGGAGTGTCAAGCCCGGCCTGATTTGCTGCGGGTGCGTTGCTCTTTCGACGAGCCTTCCTCCTCTCCTTCCTCCTCTTCTTCCTCCTCTTCTTCTTCCTCGTCTGACTGGCCTTCTCTTTGCCTCGACAGCATCGTCTCGGCCTGGACATGGTACGCCTGCCTTCCCCCTCGACTTCTCTGTCTCGAGCCTGAGCGTATCCTGGTTCTGCAGGTCGGCCACCCTGCTGCAGTCGTCCGCCTCGACCTACGCCAACGGCCTTTCGAGTTCTTGGCAGTACGCGGTAGGCGGCTCGTTGCAGATTGCTGTCTTTGCGGCCGTCGCCGCCAAGGTCAAGCAGAATGGTGCGTCAGAAGAGGTCGGCGAGCCGAGATCCTCGTGCACGGACCCTACTGACCCTCTTTCCCTCCTTTCCTCTCCCCTCTGTGCCCCACTACCTCTGCCCGTCCCCCGCACTGCAGCCGGCGGAGCCGTCACGTTCGCCGAGATCGTGCGGGCGCGTTACGGCCGCGCGTGCCACCTCCTCTTTACGTTCTACTCGCTCGTCTGCGCACACATCGTCACGGGCTCGCTCATCCTCGGCGCCTCGGCAACCTTCAACGCAATGACGGGCGCCAACATCATCGCGTGCAACTTCCTCCTGCCGCTCGGGATCGCTGTCTACGTGCGTCCACCTCTCGCCTTGAGCCGACACGTCCCTGACCCTCTTTTTCCCGAGCAGGTCGTCGCGGGAGGACTACGGGCGACGTTCATCGTGGACTTCTTGCACACAGTTTGCGTCTTCGTCATCCTCTACATCTTCGCGTTCACGCTGTACGGCTCCTCGGACGTCATCGGCTCGCCGGGCAAGCTGTACGACCTCCTCCAGCAGGCCGCCGTCCTCGCTCCCGTCGACGGCAATGCCGGCGGATCCTACACGACGATGAACTCGCAGGGGGGTATGCTTTTCGGCGGCTGCACGGTGCGTCCCTCGCCCTCCTCCTCTCCTCGATCGACCGTTATTGACTCTGTCGGCCGCCTTCCAGATCGCGACAGGGTTCGCCGGCGTCGTCTGCGACCAGGGCTATTGTTGCGTCATGAGCAAGGCGGCCGGGGCCGTGTACAGCGACCTGACCTCCCTGCCTCCCCCGCAGGCAACGCGCCATCGCCTCACGGCCCGAGTCGACGACCAAGGCGTACATGCTCGGCGCCATCAGCTGGTTCTCGATCCCGTTCGCCTTTGGCACGATGATGGGCTTGGGGGCTCGAGCGCTCGTCACGAACCCGGCGTTCCCGACGTACCCGTACGCGCTGTCGGCGTCGCAAGTTTCCGCCGGGCTCGTCGCGCCGGCCACTGCGGCGACCCTCATGGGCAAGTCGGGCGCCATCGCGGTCCTGCTCATCGTGTTCATGGTGCGTCCCCTCTCTCTCTCTCTCTGGCCCTCACCGACCGGGACGCGAACTGACTTTGTCGGCCTTCCCAAATCGCCTCGTCCTCAGGCTGCAACTTCGGCGTGCTCGGCCGAGCTCATCGCCGTCTCGTCGCTCGTTGTGCGTGACTGCATCGGCATGTACAAGACGCTCTCGGGCCACCAGGTGCGTCGAGTCTCATCCGCGGTCGCGTCTTGTCGGGCACGAACGCTCACCCGTCGCGCGTTGGTCGCAGATGGTCTTTGCGAGTCACTGCGTGATCGTCGGCTACGCCATCTGGGGCGGCGCCTTTTCCTGCATCCTCCACGTCGCGAGCATCGACCTCGGCTGGGTAAGCTTTGGCGCGCTCCTCGTTCCCGACCCTCGAGCGACCTTCCTGACCCTTGTCGACTTTTTGCGTGCAGCTCTTCTACGTCCAAGGCGTCCTCCTCACGCCTGCTGTTGTGCCCATCGCGATGACGGTCATCTCGAAGCGGCAGAGCAAATACGCCGCGTTCTACGGCACCCTGTTCGGCACGGCATGCGGCTTGTTCGGCTGGCTCTACGGCTGCAAGCGCATCTACGGCGAGGTCAACGTCGCGTGAGTATACTCTCTCTTCCACGCTTTCCCTCTTCCTCGCCTCGAGCAGCACTGACCCCTCGCGTTCGACAGCAACCTCGCCCTCCCGTACTCGGCCATCTCGGGCTCGGCACCTGGCCTCGTCATGTCGAGCCTGGCTTCTTTCATCATCACCGCCATTAGTGCGTCCCCTCTCGAGCGTATTGGCGGCCTTGTAGACCGCCTCGACGCGATCAGGGGCAGGAACTGACTCTTCTGCCGCCGGCACCTGCAGAGCCCGACAACTACGACTGGAAAGGGACAAGGGCCATCGCCCTCTCGGACTCGAACGAGCCGGCCGAGGGTACCGTGGTCAAGGCGTCGGCCGACACCGACAGCGAGGCTGAGAAGAAGGACGAGCCGACCGGCGAGGCGCGAATTGCCGACTCGGACGAGGTCCTCCCGCCGACGATGGAGGAGCAGGCCGCCGCCAACCCGCCGCTCGACCTCGCCAAGCTGCAGCGCACTTTCGTGCGCGCATGCTGGATCTCGGGCATCTTCTCGTTCATCGTCACCATCGTCATCCCACTTCCGCTCTTCTTCTCGCACTACATCTTCTCGAGGCGGTTCTTCGAGGCTTGGTGCGGCGTGTCTCTCGCCTGGGTCCTCCTCGCCGGTATCTTCTGCATGTGCGTGCTCGTCCCTTCATTTCCCCTCTCTGGCGCCCGTCGGCCTCCTGCGCTTGCTCGCCGTCACTCACGAGGTCGGTCTTTCCCCGTCGACAGGATCCTGCCGGTGTGGGAGTCGCGCAACGAGGTCTTCATCCTCGCACGGTCAACGCTGCGGGTGGCCTCGGGCCGCACGAGGAAGGAGCAGGCCGTCGCTTGAGTCGGCGAGACGTGCGACAGGGCGCGAGGGCGCTTGAGCCGCTCAAGGTGCCACGACGAGCTTGAGCCTGGAGGTCCTTTCTTCCTCTCTTGTGTGTAGATAAGAATGTACTTTCGGTGCCACGCATGAACGCTAGAGTCGTCGGTCGTGCGAGAGCGAGGGTCGCTGCTAGACGCTCAGGCCGCCGTCGATTCTCGCTCTGTTTTCGTCGTTCCTCTCGCTCTCTCTTCCTCGGCACAGCGGTCCGGCTGGCTTGCGCAGGCTTCTGTGACGCTACGTGTTGGCCAGTGCAGGCGCAGTGGCCGCCCTGAGCACGTCGTCGGAGAGCGATTCTCATCAGCTCCTCGACATTCGACGGCAGTTTCCAGTCGTCGCTCTCCCACTCTGCTGAGCGCTGAGCTTGCGCCGATTCGTTCGCGGCGCAAATGCGATCGGGCTGAGGTCTCGGCCGGAGAGTGAAAGCGCTCGAGCCTCTGCGCCGGGTCCTCCGAGCCCGGGCGGTCGCTCGGACAAGGGCAGCTCGCAGTGGCTCTCGCTCTCCTCCCACCACCTCACCTCGCCTTCGCTGCCGAGTCCGCTAGTCGGCACACCACACTCGTTTGACCCACACTCGTTCCCCGCGACGCGCGCCGCACCTCGCCCTCGCCGCCGACCCCGCGCCCTCTGTGCACACGCCGCCTCCTCTCGCACCCCCTCCAGCTCGAGGCCGCCAGCGCGTCAAGCGCCCATCCCGACAGCAGTCGACACCATGTCGTACCAGCGCAGCGACCCACGTTCGCTCCCCCTCCCTGCCCTTCCTTCGCCGTCCCTCGCTTCGCCGCCGCCCGCCATTGTCGTCCACCCGTTCCTCGCCCAATCTGCGGCTCAGCAACAGCCCCAGCTCAGCACCTATACCCCTTCGTCGTACCCGCACGGGCCCGCCTCGCCGCACTACTCGCCGCACCCGCCGCGCCGCTCGGCGGCCGAGGAGGAGAAGGACGCCTACTTTGCGCGGTCGGCGTCGGTCGACTCGTACGGCTCGTACTCGCACGATGAGCACTGGGCCGACGTCCACTCGCCGGGTGCCGCACCGCTGTCGGTCGGCGGCAAGCCCGCCCCCATCCTCCTCCCGCCGCCGCGCGCCGCGTTCGTAACCGAGCCGGGCTCGCCACGCTCGCCGATGAGCCTCAAGCAGGCCATGGCGTTCGGCGACGTCGGCAACGTCCTCGACGAGAAGGTCGGCGGGCGCGGCGCGGCCGACATGCGCAAGTTGGGCCTCGACTGGGCGCGGTTCTCGCGCGTGGTCAAGAAGAGCGAGGCCGAGAAGGAGAGCGAGTGGCTCAAACGCAAGCAGGGCATCGCCAAGAAGTGGTGGGTCATCGGCTGGGCGGGATCCGTCGCCGTCATCATCGCGTGCGTCCACCTCTCTCTCCGTCCTGCAGAACTCGTTCTCGAGGCGCACAAGCCTAACTGCTTCGTGTTTGCCTCCTCAGCATCATCATTGCGCTCGTCGTCCACTTCAAGAGCCCGTCGAGCGACACGGCGCCGACCGTCTCGCAGCTCGAAGGTGAGCTCTCCTCCTGCATCGTTGCGGCGAAAAGGCGGTCCGAGCGGGCTCAGCGGCGCGCGACGCTCTCGGCCCGTCATGGGCGGTCGGCCGTCTTCCAGAGCCTGACTCTCCCTCTTGCTCGCGCTCGCAGGGAAGAACTCGTCGATGGTCAACTCGAGCTCGTCCGCACCCGTGTCGCTACTGCCGCACTCGGACGCCGTGCCTGTCGCCGCCCGAGTCGAGACAAGCTCGTCGGTCAACCAGCCCGTCATGTCGACGGCGGCCTGGCGTGACCTCGGCGAGGACGACACGAGCGTTCCCGCCAGCTCGACAGAGCGGCAGGTTGCGCCCGACGTCGAGGCGACGACGTCGACCATGTCACGCCCGCTCGCCCGCGCGACTGCCGCAACGACGTCGCTCACCTTGTCACCTCCCTCCACGACATCTGCTCGCGTCACCGCCCGCTCGACATCCTCAGCCACGACGACGTCCGCATCGACCGCCACGACGACCTCGTCCCCGTCTCGCTCGAGCTCGACTGCAGCAGCCCCGTCCTCGGCCGGCTTCGACCCCGACCGACGCAGCAAGCGCTGGCTCCGCTTCGGCCAGGACGGCAAGGCCGAGCGCGGCGACCGCAAAGCGTGGGACGCCGTCGAGTTCGTGCACTTCCCGATTGGCGACGCGAGGAGGAAGCGGGACCACGGCGTCGGCGCTCATTGAGCCAGCGTGCGACGCCCTTCTCGCCTCTCGACGGCGAGGCTGTATACCCGGGGCGTCGCAGCGCCTGAGCGCCCGAGCGCCCGAGCCCCCTCTCGACCATTCACCTTCTTCCTCGCCCCGTCGCTGTCCCTCTCCCCCTTTCTGTCGATACCCGCCGTAGCCCGAGCACTCTTTGCAAGTCGAGCATTGTCGAGCAGCTGAACAGCGCGAGGAGGACGATGCCAAAGCGAGAGAGAGATGGAGGCGGAAAAAGGAAAGGGCGCCCGGTGCGCGGCTCAACCGGCTCGGAGGATCCTGGCCGTTCCCTGCTCGTCTCGCTCTTCGACACCTCTTGCACGCTCGAGCACAGCCATGCTGCACGCTCCCACCCAGCACAGCGTGACCGCCTCGGACCTGTCGGTCCTGCAGGCCCTCACGCAGGACCAACCTCCCTCGGCTCACCTCATCGCCGGACCAGGAGGAGGGCCGCCTCGCCCGCACGCCTCGACCTCGCGCCAGCCCAGTCGCACCGACCGCCGCCCACCCGTCGACCCGCTCATGATCGCCGCCGCCGCGAGCGCAGGTCCTCAGTGAGTTTCATCTCCCCCCTCCCCTGCCCTCCCTTCCAACTCAACCGGCGGCCTTGTCGAGGGCCGATCAAGGCTCTTGTCGGGCGCAAGGACACTGTCGCAGAGCCGCGAGACCTCGACGAGCTGCGCTCGAGCAACCTGGGCCCCATCTCCTGGACGCAATCGCTCACCTCGCCTCTCCTCCCTCTCTCGCAGAGTGACCCGCAACCACTACTTCCACACCTTCTTCCCGCAAAACCTAGCCTATGCCCCCTGCGACGACGAGCGCCTGTCGGCCGCCGCGACAATGGCCCAGCGCCCCAAGATGGAGTCGCGTCAGGCGCCCCGCACCATCCGCCTCCAGGTCGAGGACGAGGACCGGCGGCGGCGCGAGCGCTCCGAGCGACACCGAGACGAGCAGGCGGCTAAGGAGCGCACCGCGCACGACGCCGCCGTCGCCGACAAGCCGCAGGCCGTCGCCGTCCCGACCCGCAACGGCGGGTTCGACTTCCACGACGACGGCCGGCTCGACTCGAAGCACGCGCACGACACGCGCAGGAGCGAGTCGGCCCCGTCGGCGCAGGTCCACCACCTCAAGGACGACGCCCTCGTCGAGCTTCTGCGGCAACCGTCGACCCCGCCTCTCCTCGAGCGCCCCCTCACCGAGGTCCCCTTCCCTACCTCGGGCGCCGAGTCCGCCGTCAAGCCCGAGTCGCCCTTGTTCCCGCCGTCGACCTCGACCGCCGCCGCCACGGCGTCGCCAGCCGAGCACGGCGACCTCCCACCGCTCGAGGTGCAGTGCCGCGTGCGCACCCGCATCCCGACCCCGCACGGCCACATCTTCCTCCACCTGTACACCAACAACCACGACAACAAGGAGCACCTCGCCTTTGTCGCCGACCACGCCCAAATGGCCTCGACGTCGCTCACGACCAACGCCGTCGAGGGCACGCCCATCGTCGCCGAGACGGGCGAGCGCCGCCTGCTGCCGTTCATCCGCTCGCGCACGCTCGACGCCAAGTGGCACGACGGCGAGACGGACGAGGAGCGCATCGTGCGCGGCGCCTATGTCGGTCGCCTGAGCGCGACCTCGCACGTCGCGTCGCTCGCCAACCCGCACTCGCTCGACCCGGCGAGCTCGTCGACGCACCCTCCTCACGGCCACCACCATCACCACCACCACCACCACAACGACCAGTGCCGCCACGCCCACCCCTCCTCGTCTGCACCACCCCTCGCGCCCACCGAGCCGCCTCTCGTCCGCATCCACTCCGAGTGCTTCACGGGCGAGACGATCGGCTCGCAGCGGTGCGACTGCGGCGAGCAGCTCGACGAGGCGTTCCGCCTGATCACGATGGCCGGCCGAGGCGTCGTCGTCTACCTGCGGCAGGAGGGCCGCGGCATCGGGCTCCTCGAGAAGATGCGCGCCTATAACCTGCAGGACCTCGGGCACGACACGGTCACGGCCAACCTTATGCTCGGCCACGGCGCCGACATGCGCACGTACGGCATCGCCGGCGCCATCCTGCGCGACCTCGGCGTCGCCAACAGCGGCGTCCGCCTCCTCACCAACAACCCGGACAAGATCCGCCAGATCGAGGGCGAGGGCGTCAGCGTCGTCGAGCGCGTCGCCATGGTGCCTCGCAGCTGGCTCATCGCCGAGGAGGAGGCGGCGGCAGCGGCGAGGCGCTCGGCGCGCAAGGGTTCGGCGGGCAGCGGCGGCGGCAGCACCCGCAAGACGGGCGCCCGAGGGCGCAAGAACGGCGCCTCGCGAGCGTCGCACGGGCTCCTCGGCAGCTCGGTCGCGTCGCTCGCGCCGTCCGAGGGCTCGTTCCGCCCGAGCTACTCGCGCTCGGCCTCGGCCGCGTCGTCGGCCGCGCCCTCGGGCCTGTCAACCCGCGCCGCCTCGGACGGCGACGAGGAGGCGCCGTACGGCTCGGACGACGGCGACGACGACGACGTCGACTCGGACGGCGGCTCGTCGACCTCGGACGCGCACACCGACTCGTCCTTGGCGTACCACCTTCGTCGAGCAGGCGTCGGCATGATCGGCGCATCGACGACGAGCAGCCCCGAGCTCGACAAGTACCTCAAGACCAAGATTGAGCGCATGGGCCACATGCTCACGGCGCCCGAGCAGCAGGCGGTCCGCAACCGGGTCATGGGCGGCGGCGGCGGCGGCGCGGGAGCGAGCGCGCACCCGCTCAGCGAGAGCACGTCGGCGCTCCCTGCGCGCGAGGAGGGCGACGAGGAGCAGGCATAGATGGCGGCGGTTCGAGCATTATCTTGCGCAGCTTGACTTGTACAGTAGAGATCAAGAGCGGCAACGAGCAGTTCCACTTTCGTCCGTCCTCTCTCTCTCTCGCTCTCGTCCGGCGCTCCCGAACTCGGCGTATCAAGCGTGAAGCGGTCGAGCCGAGAGCGAGGGCACAGAGAGCGACCTGCAGCTCGACCTCAGCACTGCGCCCGCCTTACCCCGCTCGCGGGCGGCGCGGACACCTCTTTCCTGCGTCTCGCCAGCGCATGCTCAGCGTCCGGCTCGCCTGTCGCGCACACCGCTTGCCTCTTGCTTCTCGCCTCGTCGCACCGCGCCGCACCTTCCTCTCGTTCGCTCAGATGGCCGACGCCGCCAACAACCTCGTCTGGATCGGCGAGTCGCGCGACGCCTTCTCCCGCCCTCGCAGAGCGATTCTGACTCGTGCGTCGCGATCCACAGACTGCGAAATGACGGGCCTGAACCCGTACTTGCGCCCGAGCGACCTCAAGGAGGGCGACGACTTCCTCCCCGACCGGATCCTCGAGGTGCGTCCGCCCACTCTTGCCTCGGTCGGTCGAGACTTCGTATTGACGCGAAACCCTCGAGCAGATCGCGTGCATCGTCACGGACAAGAACCTCGAGCCGCTCGACGACGGCGTCGAGTTTATCGTCCACACCGACGAGAACGTCCTCGAGCGGATGAACGAGTGGTGCGTCTCTCTCCCTCGGGCCCGTCTCGCACGGTGCAGCATGCGTGCTCACGACCTCTCTGGAGAAACAGGTGCATCAAGCAGCATGGCAAGGTGCGTCGTCGTCCTCCCGTACCCCACCGACTCCTCGCGCTCGCGACTGACGACGCTCTCTCCCTGCGCAGACCGGTCTGACGCAGGCATGCCTCGACAGCGAGTACTCGATGGAGGAGGTCGACAAGCTCGTGACCGACTACGTGTCGCAGCACTTCCCTCGAGGCAGTGAGTCTCCTTCGACCTCTTGTCCCGTCCCACACTTCCTCTCCCTTGCGCGTTCCTGACCTCGAACCGATTCCTGCTCTCCTCTACAGCTCCTGCCCTCCTCGCCGGAAACTCGGTCCACGCCGACCGCGCCTTCATCAACAAGGACCTGCCGCAGCTGGCGAGCAAGCTCCACTACCGCATCCTCGACGTGTCGAGCATCAAGGAGGTCGGCCGCCGGTGGTACCCGAGCCTCGGCTGGCAGAGCAAGAAGGACGAGGCCGAGCACAGGTGCGTCGTCGCGAGCCGGCATGCGCGCTGTCGCCGCCGAGCACGACTGACGGTCCGAGCGGCCGAGGACGCAGGGCGCTCGCCGACATCAAGGCGTCGATTGCAGGTGCGCCCGCCTCTCTCTGCGTGCCTCTCGACACGAGCGAGACTGACCACGACTGTCTCGAGTGCGCCGCAGAGCTCAAGTTCTACCGCGAGCACCTTTTTGTTCCGCCTGGCGAGCCGCGGTAGATCGTCGCGCACGAGCACGACAGCTGCAACGGCGCTCGTTGCCCGGGACCGTCTGCTTGTCGACGTTTGCCGAGAAGAGACGGCTGCGATGCTCGTGCTCGAGAGACGCAACGAGAGAGAAGTCGAGCGGCGCGAGAGAGGGAGCAGGAGCGCGCGGACAAAGGGACGGCGAGCACGCCGTGGCAGCGGGTGCGAGGGCGGCTTCGGCTGGGGGACAGCAGTGCAGGTGGCTCGAGAGAGCTTGTGGAGCAGCTGAGCGAGGAAGCGAGTCGAGAGGGCGTGGAAGAGAGCGCGGCGCAGATGGACGAGCTCCGCCCGACCGAGACGAGCCAAGGGCGACGCCGCTCGCTTCTCCTGCAGCACCCCGCGCGTGGCAGGACTTGACCGTTCTCCCTCGCCACTGCTCTAGAAGGTCTCGACTCACCCAGTCGAGCTCTCGTTTCCCTCGACCGGCGAGCCCTCGTTCCCCGGGCGCCTTCGAAAAGCCAGGTGCGCCCCTCATCGCCTCGCTCTCGCTGTGCCGCTCCAGTGGACGCGCGAGACTGACCAGGACCCTTGTCGACAGGCCTCCTCAGCCCTGCACCACCCGTCCCGTCGCTCGCCCTCCCGCAGCAGCGTCGCCACCCCCATTCACCTCTCCCCCCCCTCCTCCTCCACACCTCGTCTCTCCGCGTCGTCGACTCGCCTCGGCCCGCACGCCCCAAGTACACCGACCCGCCTCTCCTCGTTGCGCTCGAGTTCCGCCTGTCCAGCACCAGGCGATCCTCCAGCTCCCGACAACCCCTCCACCCTCGATGAGCAACCCGTCCAACCCCGGCTCCTCGTCCTCTTCGGCCTCCGCCAAGCCGTCGACGAACCAGTACGCCGTCCCGACCATTCCCCCGTTCAACTACGCCGCCGCGGCCAAGAAGAGCAAGCCCTCGCCCGCCGTCGTGTCGAGCCAGGACGTCACCGGTTTCGTGAACGGCTCGGCGGGCGCGAGCAGCCCGACCATCCCGGCCGCCACCGCCATGGCCGCCGTCGCCGGTTCGTCGCAGCCGTCGAGCCCGACGAGCGCCAAGAAGGCCAACTCGGGCGTCCAGGTCGAGGGCGTCCGCGTCCCGGCTTCGCGCGTCGAGGAGATTCGTGGCGCTGCCGGTTCTGACGGTGCGTCGCTCGTTCCCTCGAGTCGTCCTCCTGCGTGCCGTGACCGTCGACTGACTCGCTCTCGCGCCGGCCACAGTCGCGTTCGGTACCGCCGGCGACAAGGACGCGACCCTGTCGTCCTCGCCTGCTGCGCCCCCGTCGTTCAAGAACGGCACGCCGTCCGCGTTCGGCACGCTCCCGGCCACCGCGCCGTCGGCCGCGCCGGCGACCAAGGCGCCGATCGACCTGCACCGCCTGTTCCAGGGCGGCGGCTCGTCGTCGACCTCGCCCGCCAACGCGTCGGGCGCGTCGCCGATGCCGATGGAGCGTCGCTCGGTCGCGACGTACGACCCGCAGGCGCGCTCGCCCGGCCCGAGCACGTCGCCCCTGCCGCACCACGGCAACGGCCCGCACCTGTCGAACCCGGGCGCGCCGAGCTTTGTCCCTCGCGGCATTCCTCCGCCGTTCGTCCCGCAGCAGCAGCAGAACCAGGCCTTCTCGCCGCCTCCTGCCGGGTTCCACATGCCGCCGCCGCACGGCTACGGCGGGCCGCCCGTCTTCATCCCCCAAAAGGGCCCCTCGCCGCAGACGATCCCCAACGGCGGGCCCACCGGCCCCGTGCCGTTCGCGCCCTCGAGCGCAGGCTCGCGCCAGGGCTCGTTCGTCGGCTCGCCCGTCCTCGGCGGCATGCCGCCTCGTCCGCCGCAGCCGCAGGGCCCGCGAGGCTCGTTCGGCGGTCCGGGCGGGCCCATCAGCCCGAGGTTGCAGAACTCGCCGCTGCCCGGCGGCCAGATGATGTATCCTGGCCAGATGTACCCCGGCAACGTGCGTCGTCCTCTCTCCCTCTCTCTCTCTCTCTCTCTCTCTCTCTCTCTCTCGGTCACCCTCTCTCGCCTGTCGCACCGCCTCTCCCGCCGAGCCTCGACTGACCCTCAGCCCGTCCCCTCTCGTGCAGCCGTATGCGCAGCAGCAGTACTACCAGTACCAGCAGTACCCGCAGGGCTACATGCAGGGCCCGCCGGGCCAGATGCAAAACCCGGGCGCGTCGTCGCCGTCGCCCAAGCCCCCTTCGACCGTCCCGACCTCCCCTCCTCTGTCGCACGCCCACGCACCCTCCACGCCCGCCACTCCCTCCTTCCAGTCGTTCTCGCCTCAGCCCCAGTCAGCCGCGCTCCCGTCGCGACCCAATCCCGCGGCGCCGCAGTTCACGCCGGGCGGCTCGGGCGCGCCGTCGACGCCGCTTCGCCCGCTCAGCGCCGCCCACGCCAACGTCGCCGAGTTCAAGCCGAGCTTCGACGCCGCCACCTTTACGCCGAGCCCTCGCGTGAGCCGCGCCATCCCGATCAAGAAGCCGACGGCGCCCAAGCCCGCCGAGGCCAAGCCGGTCGACGAGTCGAAGGACGAGGCGCCGGCCGTTGCCGCGTCCGTCCACGAGGACGAGCAGAAGCAGAAGCAGGACGCCGAGGCCAAGCAGGCCGAGGAGGAGAAGAAGGCGGCCGAGGAGGCGCGTCTCGCCGCCGAGGCGGCCGAGGCGAAGAAGAAGGTCGCCGAGGAGCAGCGCGAGAAGGAGGAGAAGGCCAAGGCCGAGGAGAAGGCCAAGGTCGAGGAGAAGGTCAAGGCCGACGAGGCCGCTGCCGCCACCGCCGCCGACGAGGCCAAGCCGGCCGCCGTCGCCGACCTCAAGCGCGAGGCGAGCGCGACGCCCGACACGCCGGCGCCGTCGACGCCGCGTGAGGAGGTCGAGGGCCTCGAGGTCAAGGCGACGCAGGCCGAGGCCGTCCGCTCCGAGGAGGCGTCGCTCCTCGCCGACGAGAAGGTGTCGACCGAGGCCAAGGACCCGCAGCAGGCGCTCGAGGACGCGCGCGAGCAGCTTCACGCGACCGCTCCCGCCCCGGCCGACTCGTCGTCGCCCAAGACGCCGTCCTCGGCGCTCCCGCCGTTCCTCCCGGCCAAGCCCGTGGGCGAGCCCGCACCCGTCGCGTCGACCTCGTCGGCCGCCGGCACCGAGCCGCCCGCCTCGTCGGGCCCGTCGTCGTCGCAGATCGACGCCGCCCGCCCCATCACCGACCTCGACAAGGTCGAGTACCCCGAGGGCTCCAAGGCGCCGTCGGCCGAGCTCAACGCCGGCGCCGAGCCGGGCAAGTTCCGCTACGACCGCGAGTTCCTGCTCCAGTTCATGCAGGTGTGCCAGGCCAAGCCCGACAAGCTCCCCAATCTCGGCGACATCGGCATGGTCGACGACGGCGCGCCGCAGCGCGGCGGCTCGTTCGGCGGCAGCCGTCGCGGCCAGATGGGCCCGCCGGCGGTCCCGTCTCGCGCCGGCGCGGGCGTCGGCGGCTTCGGTCGCTCGGCGTCGATGGGCGGCCCCGGCGGCGCGTTCGGCGGCATGGGCAACTTTGGGCAGGGCGGCCCGATCGGCTCGACGAGCGAGCAGCGGTTCGCGGCGAGCCTGTCGCGGTCGCCGAGCGGCGCGTTCGGCGGCGCGCGCGGCAACATGTCGCGCACGACGAGCCAGTCGGGCATGGGCGGCGCGTTCAACCAGGGCCAGGGCGGGCGCATCAAGAGCGAGCGCGGCAGCAAGCGCCGCGGCGGCGACCGGCCTCCCGGCGAGCGCGACGAGTCGCGCAAGCCCGGCCAGCATGTCACGGGCGACGGCTTCGAGGGCGCGACGCTCGGCCCTCGGTCCGAGAACGGCTGGACCCCGTCCGTCATCGCCGGCGCGCCCCAGGCCGACCTCAGCTCGCCCGAGATGGTGCAGCGCAAGGTCAAGGCGCTCCTGAACAAGCTCACGCTCGAGCGCTTCGACTCGATCTCGGGCCAGATCCTCGAGTGGGCCAACAAGTCGGTCGACGAGACCGACGGCCGCATCCTGCGCCAGGTCATCGCCCTCATCTTCGAGAAGGCGACCGACGAGGCGACGTGGTCCGAGATGTACGCCCGCCTGTGCCGCATGCTCATGGAGCGCGTCTCGACCGACGTCCGCGACGAGACGGTCAAGACGAACGACGGCACCCCTGTCGCCGGCGGCGCCCTGTTCCGCAAGTACCTGCTCAACCGGTGCCAGGAGGACTACGAGAACGGCTGGAAGAACAAGGAGGCCGCGAGCGCCGCCGCCAAGAGCAAGGAGGCCGACGACAAGGCCAAGAAGGACGCCAACGACGCCGCAAAGAAGGAGGCCGAGGAGTCGGGCAAGGAGCCGGCGCAGGAGGCCGAGCTCCTCTCCGACGAGTACTACGCGGCGCAGAAGGCCAAGCGTCGCGGCCTCGGCCTCGTCCGGTTCATCGGCGAGCTCTACCGCCTCCAGATGCTCACCGAACGCATTATGCACGAGTGTATCAAGAAGCTCCTCGCCAACACCGAGAACCCCGAGGAGGAGGACGTCGAGTCGCTGTGCCGCCTCCTCACCACGGTCGGCAAGGCGCTCGACACGCCCAAGGCGCGCGCCCACATGGACGTCTACTTCTCGCGCATGGACATGATCGCCAACAGCCCCAAGATCTCGTCGCGCATGCGCTTCATGATCCTCGTGCGTCCCATCCCCTTCCTCTCTCTCTCTCTCTCTCCCTCTCTCCTTCTCGTGCCCAGGTCTGACTCTCTCCTCTCCCTCCTCCTCTCGCAGGATGTCGTCGACCTGCGCTCGGCTCGGTGGGCGTCCAAGACGGAGGCGGCGGGCCCCAAGACCATCTCGGAGATTCACGCCGACGTGCGTCCACACCCTTTCTCCTTTTCTCTTGTCCTGCTCCCCGTCCCTTCTCGTCCTTCTCGTTGCCTCCCTGTTTCGGCCGGCACGTCCCTGACGCTCTCGTCTTCCTCGCTCGCAGGCGCAGAAGGCGGCCGAGGACTCGGCACGACGGGTCGCATCGTCGGGCGGCAAGCTGCCCCGACTCGGCGACCAGCTCTCGCGCCCCAACTCCCGGCGAGGACAAGGGCGCGGCGGCGACTTTGGCGTCGCGCAGACGGGCCCCGATGGGTGGACGACGCAGCCGCAGCGTCCGGCCAAGGCGGGCGACCTGAGCGGGTTCGGCCGCATCCGCGAGGCGACGCCGAGCACGCTCTCGCTCGGCCCGACGGGCGCGTTCGCCGCTCGTCAGCGCAACAAGAAGGAGGAGGCGGCCCGCCCTGCGACGCCGTCCAACCCGTTCGCCCTCTTGTCCGGCGGCGGCGACGTCGCCGAGGAGCCGGCCGCCGCCGACGCGTCGCAGCGTCCGCGACTGCAGCTCAAGCCGCGCACTGTGCCTCTCGAGGGTGAGGGCGAGGGCGAGGGCGACGAGGAGAAAAAGGACGGCGAGGACGAGGACGAGGACGATGGCGCGATCGACCCGAACGCCTCGTCCATGACTCGGGCCGAGGCAGAGCGCAAGGCCAAGAACTCGGTCGTCGAGGTGCGTCCTCTCTCCCCCTTCCCCTCGTGCGCGATGCTCTGCGACGTCGCGACTGACCGTCTTCCTCCTCCCCTCCCTCCCTCCCTCTCTCTCTCTCTCTCTCCTCTCGCGCGCTCGCAGTGGTTCGAGATCAAGAACATCTCGGAGGGTGTCGCCTCGGTCGAGGCGCTGCCCAAGGAGTACCGCGGCCTGCTCGTGACGGCCATCGCCGAGGCGGCCCTCACCAAGAAGGCCGACGCCGTCAACCTCACCAAGGACCTGTTCGCCCAGCTCGCCGCCAAGGACGTCATGACGCACGACGCCCTCGTCGCCGCCTTTGAGCCCATCTTCAAGACGCTCCCCGACACTGCTATCGACGCCCCGAGCGCGTACGCGTTCGCGGCGACGCTCCTCGTCGGCATCGGCGCGACCGACGACGAGGTCGAGTCGCTCAAGGGCAAGATGGAGTCGGAGGAGGGCGAGGAGGAGGTCGAGTATGGTCGCGAGTCGTTCGACGGCGCGCGCAAGAAGGTGCTTGCGGCGTGAGGGAGGAGGACGAGGTCGGAGGGGATGCACTCCCGCAGTAGTAGTCACACGTTTGCAACCCTCTTGCGCTCCCATCTTTCGTCTGGCATCGTCGGCGCGTCGCTCCCTCGCTCCCTCGCTCCCTCGCTCGCTCGCACGACGTCGTCGCCGCCGTCCTCGAGAGAGAGCCGTCGGCAGCAGGCGCTCGGGCCCCTCGGCTCTCGCTTCTGCGCCGGATCGTTGTCGAAGGGCCGCTATCGTTGAGCGTGCGTCTCGAAAGGTCCGTCGAGCCCTGAGAGACAGAGAACGACGCAGAGTTCGAAGCTCTGCAGCGACGACCAGTTCCTCTCTCACCTTCTCAAGCGCAACTTTGTGGAGGCGCTCGTGCCAGATCTTCGTCGAGGGGCCGCTATCGACGAGCATGCGTCTCGACAGGTCCGTCGAGCCCTGAGAGACAGAGAACGACGCAGAGTTCGAAGCTCTGCAGCGACGACCAGTTCCTCTCTCACCTTCTCAAGCGCAACTTTGTGGAGGCGCTCGTGCCAGATCTTCGTCGAGGGGCCGCTATCGACGAGCATGCGTCTCGACAGGTCCGTCGAGCCCTGAGAGACAGAGAACGACGCAGAGTTCGAAGCTCTGCAGCGACGACCAGTTCCTCTCTCACCTTCTCAAGCGCAACTTTGTGGAGGCGCTCGTGCCAGATCTTCGTCGAGGGGCCGCTATCGACGAGCATGCGTCTCGACAGGTCCGTCGAGCCCTGAGAGACAGAGAACGACGCAGAGTTCGAAGCTCTGCAGCGACGACCAGTTCCTCTCTCACCTTCTCAAGCGCAACTCTGTGAGGGCGCTCGCGCCAGATCGTCGTCGAAGGGCCGCTATCGACGGGCATGCGTCCCGACAGGTCCGTCGAGCCCTGAGAGACAGAGAACGACGCAGAGTTCGAAGCTCTGCAGCGACGACCAGTTCCTCTATCACCTTCTCAAGCGCGTCTCTGTGAGGGGACTCGCGCCAGGACGTCGCCGAGGCGCCGCGTTCGTCTCAGAGCAGCGACGCGGTCCTGGGATGCTTGGCCTGGCGAAATAGACGCCGCTCGAATGACACCGAGCAACGCGAACAACGGAAGGAGGGGCCGAGCGTCGAGTGGACGCGGCACAACACGGCTCGTTCGGGCTCTCTCTCGCTCACCTAGCCTTTCCTCTCGACGACCTGGGCACGACGGCAGGAGGAGGAGCAAGACGTTGCACGACAGGGAGATACAGACGAAGAACTCCCACGCCGACACGGCCGCCCGACCGACCTCCTCCGAGAGAAAGACGCACCAACACGCGCACCGTCTACCTGTAGCGGCGAAGGGACAACGTGTTGTGACGCTTCCAGGTCGCGTACTGGCGAGCCTTGTTGAATTTGTGGCCCTTCCCGAGGCCGCCTGAGGCGTGGGAGAAGCGCGAGAGGCGAGAGAGGACGAAGAGGAAGAAGGGAGAGGCGGGGGACGAGGCGGGGCGAGATTGGGGTCGACGGGGGCGGCGAGGGACGCAGAGTGGCGAGCGTAGAGAGTCGAGGAGGTAGGCGACAGAGGCGAGGCAGCCAGAGAGGCGAGAGAGGAAGGGGAAGAGGAAGAAGAGGGGGAGGAAGGCAGACATGGTCAGTACGGGTCGACGGCGCCGGCCTCCTGCGTCTCCTCCGGTCACGACCGCGACGACCACGACGACAGAGTAGAAGAGTGGACGCACGGTTGGCCTTGCCGGCCGACGTGAGGCCCCTCGACTCGCGGCGCTTGTGGACCGGGTTGCAGATCCAGTTGACGCGGGCGTCGCGGCGGATGGCCTTGTGCGACGGGTCGACCAGGATCACCTCGTAGTACTTGTAGACGCCGTCCTGGTTGATCCAGTACGAGTTGAGGACGCGGAGGTTGCCGCAGCGGCGCGCGACACGCTCCTCGGCAGTCGAGCGGAGCGAGCGCTGGAACTTGAGCTGGTTGACACCCTGGTTCGTCGGCTTGCCGTACGTGGCACCTGCAGGACGAGGATGAACGAGGAGAGGGCAGTGTCGAGGAGCAGGAGGATCGAGGAGGGGAAGGAGAGAGGGAGGGAGACGAGGAGGGAAGGTCAGTCACGTCGTCTCTCGCGCAGCCACGTTCGACGACCGAGAGAGAGAGTGACGCACCCTTGGGCACGGGGCGCTTGCGGTTACCGCGGCGGACACGGATGCGGTAGACGACGAAGCCCTGCTTGGCCTGCGAGTGGAAGAGAACGCGAGGGGAACGACAAGGTCAGTCTCGGCGTCCTGCGGTCGTCGCACATCTGCTCCCACGTCCCTCCTGCTCGACCTCCTCAAACATCGCGTCTCGAGACAACGACAGGCGGCGGCGGTCGGGCGATTGCGCCGGTGGTGCGAGGCGGTGCGGTCGGGATACGAGCGGATGTCGTCGAAGGAGGTGACGGCGGAGGTGCCTGGTGCGGGTGTGTGCGGCGCCAGGTCGATGCGTCGTGGTCGGTTGCGCATGTCGGACGTCGTAGGCGAGGTCGAGTCGAGGCGAGGAAAGGAGGATGGGCGAGGTCGCTCGCCGCTGCCGAATCGCGCTGCCGCCGTCGCCCTCGTCCCGCTCGCCTCGCACACCCTGCGGCTGCCGGTCCACCTGCATCGTGTCCGCCGTACGCTCCTCTCTGCCCTGCCGCTTTCCCACCGACGCTGCGCTCGTGCACGGCCCCAACTTTTGCAGAGGAGGGTGGACGGACCTTGTAACCGAGGCGGCGAGCCTTGTCCGGGCGCGAGGGACGCGACGCGCGGTGGAGGACCGCGAGCTGGCGGTACTCCCAGCAGCGGACGCGGAGGAGGAAGCGGAGGACGTCCGACTGCTTGCGCTTGTGGAGCTCGGTCTGTGGTGCGCGAGAGGGTCAGCGTCGGTGCGAGGGACGGCGGGGCTCGAGGGAGAGAAAGGTTTGACGGACCAGGTACTTGAAGGCGCCCATCCTGGTCTGTTCGAGGGAGAGAGGCGAGAGGGGGAGACGAGGGAGGGTCAGTTCGACGAGTTTGACGGACGAAACGAGGCTCGACGGCGAGCACACGACGCGGTGACGGGTTTGCGGTGGTGCGGTGGTGACGGGAGAGGGGCAGAGGGAACGTCGAGAAGGTGGCAGGGCGGTACACACCTTGTCGGCGGCTCGAGGAGAACAACGAGGAGGAGGGGAGGCGAGACGGCGAGCAGCGACCACACGCTCGAGCTGCGCACGACGGCCTCGACCCCGCACCGCTCCTGCACCCTCTGTGCAGCACTGCTAGCTCGCTCGACCTACAGAGCAACCCGCATGTCGTCCACCACGCCCCTCAACTTTGCCCCCTGTGCGCTCCCCTCTTCCTCATCGCCGCTCCTCCCCCACCAACTCCCCTCTCCCGACCGTCGTCCTCCAGCCCTGCTCACTGCCGCACACGCACCCCTGCAGACTCGGAACCACCCGACCTCAACCCGGCCCACACCCGCTGGGCTCCTCCACCCGCCGCCGGCCCCGGTCCCTCGGCTTCGTCGTCCTCGTCCCCGTCCGCCGCACCGTACGAGGGCTACCAGGGCGGCGCATCCGTCTCGTCCCTCGGCCAGGGCAACTCGTTCGGCAGCGCCGGCGGCTACGCCAACCTCGGCGCGACCGGGTCCGGCGGCGCACCAGGCTCGAGCAGCTTCGAGGTGACGCTCTGGCGCAACGACTACGAGGCCGCCGGCGCCTACGCCCTCGGCCCGTTCGGCGCAGCCGTCCTCCTCGTGTTCGAGATCGAGTCCGACTACGTCCGCTTCCACGCGTGGCAGGTGCGCCCTCTCGTTCCCCTTCGTCCGTCGCCCGACCTGCCTCGACACTGACCTGTCGCGTCCACTCTGCGCAGTCCATCCTCCTCTGCGTCGGCCTCGTCCTGCTCCACTTTGTCGGTCAGCTCTTTGGTCGGTGGCTGCAGTACTTGCTCTTCCTCGGCGACGTCGTCATCCTCGGACTCATGAGGTGCGTCTCGCTTCCTCCCTCTCCCTCGACGAGCCTCCCGAGCCTGACCCGCCTCTTCCTCCGGCCCGCCCAGCCTGCGAGCGTACCACGACGCCGACGTCCTCGAGCGCCACCACCTGCCAATCATAGGCGACCTCGCCAACTCGTGGGTCGCGACCGAGTAACGAGCGTTCGAGCGAGTCGGTTCTGTCTCTTCCCCCCAGCTGTACCGCATCCTTCGTCTTTCGGTGCCTGTTGTGTAGCCTTACTTGCAAACGCCCTGCTCGTCGCCTACACGTCAAAAGAGAGGAAGCGAGCTCTGGGTTCGAGGTCCGCCCTCTCCCTCGCCGTCGGCCCCGCTTGCCCCTCCTCGTCCCCGGCACCGTCTCGTAGGGCACTCGCTGCTGCCTCGAGAGCGCATCTGCTCCTCACCCGAGCCGACTGCAGCACCCGCCCTCTTCGCCAACGGCCGCAACAGCTTCATCGACCGACGCGTCCACGGCTCCCTCGACTCGTCGACGCCGACAACCGCGCCACGGCCGCTCGAGAGGCACCTTACGGTCGTTCAGCAGCTTCTATCATCATCTGTGACTGTCCAAGGCCACGCGCGCATCATCAGGTGCGTCGCTCGTCCTCCCTTTTCGGTCGTCCCCCGAGTGAGCGAACAACGGCGACGGCGGCGGGCCACGTGCCGTGGAGGGCGCACGGGACGAGCCGACGACGTCGCAGCGATGGACACGGAGCTGCTGTGCGCCCCGAGCGGTTACGCGCAGCCCACACCGCCCGAGGTCCTCCCCCTCGTCTTTGCGAACGACCGCTGACTGCTCCCCCCTTCCTCGTCCACAGACTCGATCATGGACGCGCTCAACCAGCCTATCGTCATCGACCAAGGGTCCGGCACCCTCAAGGCCGGCTTTGCAGGCTCGGACCACCCGTCGACCTACTTCCCTTCCTACGTCGGTGCGTCCGCCGACCCTCCCTCGCTCCCAGAGCGACCCGAACTGACACAAGACGAGTCACGCAGGCCGGCCAAAGCACACGCGGGTCATGGCGGGCGCGGTCGAGGGCGACACGTTCGTCGGGAGGAAGGCGCAGGAGCTCAGGGGGCTGCTACGGATCAAGTGCGTCTCGTTCCCTCTCGCCCTTGCGCTCGTACGGCCCCTGTCGGTCATCGACAGGGGCACACGAGTGCTGGGTACTTGCGACGTAGAACGAGCCCTGACGAGCACCTTTTTGCCCCGTTCCCCCTCGCCGCAGCTACCCGATGGAGCACGGCATCGTGACCGACTGGGACGATATGGAGCGGATATGGTCCCACGTCTACAGCGAGGAGCTGCGCACCTTGTCCGAGGAGGTGCGCCTCACCTCTCGTCCCCTCTCGCTCGGTCCCCAGCTCACCGCTCGCGCCCCACCCTGCAGCACCCCGTCCTTCTCACCGAGGCCGCCCTCAACCCGAACTCGAACCGGGAACAAGCCGCGCAGATCTTCTTCGAGACGTTCAATGTGCCCGCCATGTACATGTCGGTGCAGGCCATCCTCGCGCTGTGCGTCCTCCTCGTCTCGCCTCCTCTCGTTGCGCCTGACGAGCGTGACGGTCGCCGTGCAGGTACGCGTCGGGCCGGACAACGGGTATCGTGCTCGACTCGGGCGACGGTGTCACACACGCCGTACCCGTCTTTGAGGGCTTTGCGATCCAGCACGCCATCCGGCGAGTAGACGTCGCAGGACGGTGCGTCCTCCCTTCCTCTCTCTCTCTCCCTCCCTCGTCTCTCCTCCTCCTGTCAGTGCGTGCGCCTGACGCGCTCGACCCTGCCACAGAGACGTGACCGACCACCTCCAGCTCTTGCTGCGGAAAGCGGGCTACCACCTGCACACGTCGGCCGAGAAGGAGGTCGTGCGCATGATCAGTGCGTCCTCGTCGTCTCCCTCCATGCGGCTCGTACCGGTACTGACGACCTTTCGCGTGCCCTCGCAGAGGAGAAGACGTGCTACGTCGCGCTGTCGCCGGCAAAGGAGGAGAAGGAGGCGCAGGGAGGCGGGAGGACCGAGGACTTTCGGTTACCGGATGGCAACGTCATCCGGGTGCGCCCCTCTCTTCCCTCTCTCTCTCTCTTGCCTCGACCTAGCCCGAGCGGTCCTGACGAATCTCCTGCGCGTGTCCCACAGCTCGGCCCCGAACGGCATCGTGCGCCCGAGCTCCTGTTCAACCCCGAGATTGTCGGCCTCGAGGACGCAGGCGTGCACCAGGTCGTCGTCGACTCGATCAACCGCGCCGACCTCGACTTGCGCAAGTCGCTGTTTGGCAACGTCGTCTTGAGCGGTGGAGGAACGCTCGTCAAGGGTGCGTCCTCGCTCCCCTTGCCCCTCTCTCCTCTTCCTCCCCTCGCCTTGCGCCCTCCTGCGTCCTTATCCGGCGTCACCCATCGGTCCTGTCACCCAGAGACACCGTACTGACGACCCGTCTCGGCGCGCGCAGGTTTCGGCGACCGCCTGCTGCACGAGGTCAAGAAGCTCGCGCTGCGCGAGACCAAGATCCGCATCAGCGCACCGCCCGAGCGCAAGTACTCGACCTGGATCGGCGGCTCGATCCTCGCCGGCTTGAGCACGTTCAAGAAGATGTGGGTGTCGGCCGAGGAGTACCAGGAGGGTGCGTCCCCTCTCCTCCTCTCCTTTCGTGCGCTCTCGGCGTGCGTGCGGGACTGACAACCCGCTCAAACAGATCCCGACATCATCTTCAAGAAGTTCTAGACGACGCGCAGGCCGCAGCGCTCCTCCCCCTTCTCCCTCCTCCCCCGATTCCCCTTCGTTCGACTTTTCGTTCTCCCCCTCTTTCGCAATCCATACCCATCGTTCCCTCGTCCACGCTCGTCGAGCTGTACTCGTCTCGTGGAGGGTGTCTTGCTTCTGAGAGCAGGGGACGCGGCGGTCGTCGACGAGAGCAGGTGCGCTCGAGCCCTCTTTCTCTCTGTCCGTCGCTGCTCGGCGGCATCGTCGTCCTCGATCACGTCGATCGACCGCAGGCACCTCGTCGCCGACTCGGTCAGCATGGGCCGACCTCGACTGCACGCACGCCGTCCGCCCGAGCCTCCTGTCCGTCGTCGACCGACCCGCCGCGGCTTGTCCGCTCACGATCCTCCCGCCTCTTCTTCACCATCCATCCACTCGAACTCGCCAAGCAGTCCCGACAGCGTCATGCTCGACGTGCACAGCGACAGCTCGGACGACGACCGGTCGCCGCCGCCGTCGCCCGCCGACGCCTCTCGCGACGAGCACGTCGTCCCGACTCGCCTCGGCAACTTCCGCCTCCTCGCCCAGCATCAGCTCGACGTCCCGCCCTTCATCAAGGTGGCCAAGTGGCAGAGCGAGGAGACCGGGCTCAAGGTCGTCTGGGCCGATACGCCGGGTCCGTCCCTCGTCTCCTCTCTCTCTCTCTCGCTGGCTCGCCAGCTCTTCTTCACGATGAGGCTAACTCTGCCTCTCGACATAGGACCTGTCGCAAGCTTCTGGGCCACCGTGTGCGCCGAGGTCTTCAGCTCGAACGGCACGCCGCACACGCTCGAGCACTTGACGTTCACGGCGAGCGAGCAGTGCGTCCCTGTCCTTCCCTCCCCTCGCCTCTCGGTTCGTCCCCTGACGCTCCTTCCTCTCGATGACAGCTACCCATACTCGGGCATCCTCGACGGCCTTAGCAACCGCATGCTGTCCGCCGGCTGCAACGCGTGGACCGCCGTCGACAACACGACGTTTACGGTGCAGTCGGCGTCCGAGGAGGGCATGCTCGAGATCGTTCCCGTCTTCCTCGACCACATCCTGTTCCCGTGCGTCCGGTCTATCCTTTTGAGCGCCATCGTCGCGAACGGCCAAGTGACCAGGTCCTCGTCCCTCTTGCAGGCTCATCACGCCCGAGGTCTTCAAGACCGAGATCTATCACGTCGACGGCAAAGGCGAGGAGGGCGGCGTCGTCTTTTCCGAGATGCAGGCGCGCGAGGGCAGCCTGGGCGACGTGCTCGACCAGACGTGCGTCCTCTTTTCCTCCCCTCGTCCGCTCCCCGTCTTTTCCCCTACTTAACCTTTCCACACGGACGACAGGCTTCGGCAGATCCTGTACGGCAAGAAGAACGCGTACCGCTCCGAGACGGGCGGCAAGCTCGACGCGCTGCGCAAGCTCACCGAAGAGGACAGTGCGTCCCGCCCTCTCGCCTTTCTTCCTCGACCTCGGCGAGCGACACTCTACTGATCCGTCGAGGCGCACAGTCGTCAAGTACCATACGGCCATGTACGAGCCGCAGAACGTGACGGTCGTGGTCACCGGGCAGGCCATCCGGCCCGAGCAGCTCCTCCACACGCTCGAGACGACGATCGAGCCCGCGCTCGTCAAGGCCGGGTTGGCCAACGGTCCGAGACCTCGCGGATGGGTGCGGCCGTTTGTCGAGAGCAGCACGGCGAGGAACCCGCCTGTGCTCGACCAGAGCATCGTCAAGCACGTCGACTTTGCCGAGTGCGTCCCCTCTCTCTGCGTGTCTATCTGCCGTCGTCTCGAGCACATATCGACGACGCCCTTCCGTGCAGCTCGGACGAGAGCGTCGGGACGATCGAGCTCTCGTGGATCGGCCACGGCGCGCACGAGTGGGTCGCCAACGCCGCCCTCGTCGCCATTTGGGGCTACCTCGTCAACGGCGACAGCTCACCGGCCGCCAAGACGTTCGTCAACATCCCCGACGCGTACTGCTCCGGCATCGGCATGAGCCCCGACCTTCGCGACCCGAGCATCCTCACCGTCATGCTCTCGAACGTGCCGGTCAAGCACCTCGAGACGCTGGCGCCGCGGTTCCTGTCGTTCGTCAAGAGCCAGTGTCGCCTTCCTTTCGACATGAAGCGCATGTCGTACCTGCTCAAGCAGCAGCGCCTGTCGCTCCTCGGCACGCTCGAGACCGACTCGTCGAGCTACGTCCAGGGCTCGGTCTTCCAGGACATCCTGTACGGCGCCGACGACGGGTCGCAGCTCCCCGATGTCTTCAACGACCTCGAGGTCGTCAAGAAGCTCCAGGCGTTCACCGAGGACGACTGGCTCCACATTCTCGACAAGTGCGTCCAGCTTTCGCCTGCGTCGCCTTCCTCGCCCTTGACTGACCCTGGCTCTTCCTCAGGTGGATCGTCGAGCGGCCGACCATCACCATCATCGCGCACCCGTCCGCCAAGCTTGCGCAGGAGCAGGCCGCCGAGACCAAGGCCATTGTCGCCGCCAACCGCGCTCGTCTCGGCAAGGCCGGCCTCGCACGTGCCGCCGCCGACCTCGAGTACGCCAAGAAGGTCAACGAGCATCCTGCGCCGCACACGCTCGTCGAGTCGTACAAGGTCCCGAGCCTCGAGTCGATCGGGTGGCTCAAGGTCGACACGGCGCGCAGCAACGGCGTCGCCCGAGGTCGCGAGACTTTTACTAGCCGCCTGCAGTCGCACATCAACGCCGACGACGGCGATGTCCCGTACTTCATCCAGTTCGACCACTACCCGTCGTCGTTCGTCGAGGTCGCCGCGCTCCTGCACGGCCCACCGACCGACCTCTTCCCGCTCTTCCTCGACACGTTCTTCGCCATGCCCATCATGCGCGAGGACGGCACTCGTCTTTCGTTCGACCAGGTCAACCGCGCCGTCGACGAGCTCGCCATCGGCTTTGGCGCGCAGACGCTCGGCGAGGGCGTCCTCGTCAGCATCCAGGTCGTCAAGGAGGACTACGAGAAGGCCATCGCGTGGCTGTCGGACATCGTGTACGGCACCCAGTTCGACGACATCGAGCGGTGCGCCCCTCTTTCTCTTCTTGCCGCCCACAGGGTCCCGACGAGCCTGACAGACGACCTTCCCGTGCAGGCTCGCGACTCTCGTCAACGCGGCGCTGCAGAACCTGCCTGGCGAGAAGGACGACGCGATGGGCGTCGCTGCGGCCGGCGTCAAGGACCTGCTCGTCTCGGTCGGGAGGTGCGTCGCTGCCGATCGAGGGTCCGTGCGCGACGCGAACTAACCTTCCCAAACTGCGTCCGCAGCGTCTCGCACGTCCTCAACGTCGTCAATCGCGCCAAGGCGTACCCGCAGCTCGCCAAGCGTCTCAAGGACGACCCCGAGGGCGTCATCAAGGATCTCCAGAAGCTGCAGAAGCAGTTCCTCGACCCGCGCGCCATCCGGATCAAGGTCGCCGGCGACATCCTCTCGCTCAAGACGCCTTCCTCGTCATGGCTCACGCACTTCGAGCATGTGCTGCCGTTCCCTGTACGTTCCCTTACCCCCCTTCCTCCTCGTCACCGAGTACTGACTACCCGCACGACCCGCAGCCTCAACAGCTCGCCTACCTCCTCCACGAGCGCGACCTCCTCACCGACCTCGGCAAGAGCCCGTCTCGCAAGGTGAGCCTCCTCGAGATGAGCACGAGCGCGGAGCCAGGCCGTCCTGACTGCCCCTTGTCGACACCGCGCACAGGCCGTCATCTACACGATCGCCTCGACCGAGTCGAACTACCTGTTCACGTACGCCAAGTCGCCCGACTGGAAACACGACGACCATGCGGCCATCTCGGTTGCCTGTGCATGTCTGTCGACGACCAACGGGCTCCTCTGGAACGGTGCGTCCTCGCTCTCTCTCGCCCGTCTCGGCCTGAACCGACGCCGTATCTTGCCCCCCCCTTACAGCGGTTCGCGGTCCCGGCCTGGCCTACGGCTGCTGGATCAAGGCCGACATGGACGACGGCAGGCTCGCGTTCATCGTCTTCAAGTCGCCCGACGCACACGCCGCCTTCTCGGCGGGCTCGAAGCTCGTCGCCGACCTCGTCAGCGGCAAGGTGCTTCGCTTTCTCCCTTTCTCTCGCGTTTTTCTCTCGCCGTCCTCTTCGACGAGCCGTACTGACAAGGCTGCACCGGGCCCGCAGGTGCGCATCGCCAAGTCGGACATCGCCTCGGCCAAGTCGAACCTCGCCTTCAACCTCGTCTCGTCGCTCGACTCGCCAGGCGCGGTCGCCGACTCGTCCTTCTGCGACACGGTGGTCCTGGGTCGACCTGCCAACTATGCGGCGCTGGCGCTCAAGCGCGTCCAGGTGCGCTCGCAGTTCTGCCGGCTCTCCCTCTCGAGGCAGACACTTACCCGCCTTTCCCTCGCACAGGCCGTCACCGTCGCCGATGTCGAGCGTGTCCTCAAGACGTGGATGCTGCCGCTGTTTGACAGCAAGACGTCGGTCCTGGGTGCCGCGACGACGCCGGACAAGCGCAAGGAGCTCGTCGCCGCGTTCCGCCGGCTCTCGTACGAGGTCGACGACCGTCAATTCTGAGTGCGGCCGTGCAATCGATCCATGTGTCTCTGTCAATGATGTGGACCAGGTTTCGAGTCGAAAGATGCGAGTTGTGGCCGTCATCGCCGCTGTTCAGAGAGAGTGCGGCGGTGCTGCCGTCGCCGCTCAGGTCTGCCCTCGACACCTCGTCACCTCGCCCCGCGACAGCCTCGACCGCCTCGACAGCGCACCCAACTAGACAGCCCTGGCTAGTCTCGCAACCCGCGTCACCCGAGCGACGCTCCTCGCTCCTCCTTGTCGCCGTCTTCCCCAGCTCTTCCTCCATCGCCTCGCCTCGACCACGCCTCTGGGTCGTCCGCTCGCCCACTCTACCTACTCGAACCTGTCGCACCTCAGCCGCACCGCCATGACGGCCTCACACGCCCCGATGGACGTCGACCCTCCAGCATCTTCCTCGTCCTCGTCGGCCAACACGGTCGACATCCCGCAGCAGGTCGGCGACTTCAAGCTCGTCGTGCAGGACCAGCTCGAGTTTGCGCCGAGCGTCCATGTCGCCAAGTGGCAGTCGGAGAGCACGGGCTTGAAAGTGCGTCCCCCTCCTCGTCTCGCCTGATGAGGTGCGCAAGCTCACCCCGCCCTGTCGCGCGCAGGTCGTGTGGGCTTCGAACGAGAGTGAGTCCACGTCCTGCACCGTCTGACGTTGTCCAAGGCGTGAGTCAGACTAACCTCGTCGCCTCGACCTCCTCCTTCTACAGGTCCGCTCGTCCAGGGCTACTTTTCGGTCGTCACCGAGATCATGGACGGTGCGTCTCGCCTTTCTCTGACAGACACAGAGAGTTTCGTGTCCTGACGTCGCTTTGATGCAGACTCTGGCCGACCTCACACTCTTGAGCACCTCGTCCGTCCTCTGCCCTCACCTTTCGGCGGCGGGAACGTGTTGCTTACTCGCGGTATCGTGCCCAGGTCTTCCTCGGCAGCGAACAGTACCCGTACAAGGGCGTCCTCGACACGGTTGCCAAGTACGCTCGCCTTTCGCCTCCCTCCGTGCGCCGCCCGCCGACTACTGACTCTTCCTCCCTGACGCAGCCGCAGCTTTGCCGAGGGCACGAACGCCTGGACCGCGTGAGCCACCCCGATCAGACTCTTCGAGCGTCAAGAGCGACTCCTGACGCCCTGCGCCATGCAGCACGACCGACACGACCTACACGATCGCGACCGCCGGCGAGGAGGGCTTCCTCAGCATCCTCCCCGTCTACGTGGACCACATCCTGTACCCGACCATCACTTCGGCGGGCTTCACGACCGAGGTCTACTGCGTCAACGGCAAAGGCGAGGACGCTGGCGTCGTACGTGCTCTCTCCCTCTCCTTTTCCTTCTCGACCTTGCCTTGAACGAGACTGACGCGCACTGTTCCCGAGCAGGTCTTCTCCGAGATGAACGGTCGCGAGAACGGGAGCGGCGACTTGATGGCCCTGAGGTGCGTCCCTCGTTCCTCTCCTCGGCCGGACGACCCGTACTGACTAATTCGTCGTCGGCGCTTCAGGCAACAGCGCGCGCTCTACTCGAAGGAGAACGGCCTGAGGAGCGAGACCGGCGGCCTCATGGAGGCGCTGCGGGTGCTCAAGGTGGAGCAGAGTGCGTCGATGGCCTCGTCCTACCGTTCGCCGCGCTCGAAGGCGGGAAACTGACCTTTCGCGCCGTCCTCCCCCTCCCCGAACCAGTCCGCGAGTACCATGCGTCGAAGTACGTGCCGCAGAACATTACCCTCATCGTCAACGGCCGGTCGCTCAACCCGACCAACCTCCTCAACACGCTCACCGACAAGGTCATCCCGTCGATCGTCGCGCACGGCCAGGCGCAGGGCAAGCGCCCACGAGGGTGGGTTCGCCCATTCGTCGAGACGAGCACGGCCAAGAACCCGCCCCGGCTCACCGAGGACCGCACCGAGGTCGTCGACTTTCCCGAGAAGAGCGAGGACGTCGGCGAGCTCATGGTCAGCTGGATCGGCGTCGAGCACAACGACTACCTGCACGACCTCGCGCTCGAGGTCCTTGGCCTGTACCTCACCGACTCGGCCGTGTCGCCGCTGTCGAAGGAGTTCATCGAGGTCGACGAGCCGTCCTGCACCGGTGCGTCCCCTCGTCCTTGTTGACTCTGCCTGGCACCCGCCTGACTCTCTCCCTCGGCTTTGCCGCCCTCGCAGACATCACCTTCTACGCCTCGAGCGAGAACCCGACCATCATCACGTCGTACATCTCGTCGGTCCCCTTCGCCGAGCTCGACACGCTCGGTCCTCGTTTCCGCAAGTCGCTCGCCCGCATCGCCGAGGACGGCGTCGACATGAGCCGCATGAAGAGCCTTCTTGAGCGCCAGGCGCTCCAGCTCTTCGAGTCGATGGAGACGGACGCGAGCGAGGTGCTGAGCCAGGTCGTCGTCACCGGTCCGTCCTCGTCACGCCGGTCCAGCTCTCAGCGACCCTGTACTGACACTCGACGCCGTGCGCAGACGGTATTTGGGGCAAGGAGGACGGCTCGGACCTCAAGGGTGCGCTGCAGGTCAACGCGCAGTACAAGGAGCTCAATAGCTGGTCCGCCAACGAGTGGGGCAAGTTGCTCAAGAAGTGCGTCCCGTCTTTCTTTCCTCCTCGTGTCCCACCCCTGGACTGATTCGTCATCCTCGTGCAGGTTCCTCGTCGACGCTCCTGCGCTCACCATCGTCGGCAAGCCGTCGGCGTCGCTCGCCAAAAAGATCAAGAACGACGCCAAGGCGCTCGTCGAGGCCAACAAGGCCAAGTACGGCCCCGAGGGCCTCGCCAAGCTGCAGAAGGACATCGAGGCCGCACAAGCCGAGAACGACAAGCCCGTCCCGTCCGACATCCTGCGCAAGTTCAAGGTGCCCGACGTCGCCGGCATCGAGTGGATCAGCGTCGACACGGCGCGCAGCGCAGGCGTCGCACAGACGGCGGGCAAGCCCAAGGGTCGTGCGCAGGACCACGTCGACGCCGACGGCGCCGAGCTGCCGCTGTTCGTCCAGTACGACCGTGCGTCCTCCTCTTCCCCTTCTTCAGCCTTGCGCAAACCTGACCCTCGCGCCCGCCGCAGACATCGACTCGCGCTTCATCCAGATCGCCATCGTCCTGTTCCCCAACGACGTCGAGGGCTTCGACCCGGCCAAGCTGCGCGCTCTCCTGCCCGTCTACCTCGACGCCTTCTTCACCCTGCCCGTCACTCGCGCCGACGGCACCAAGCTCGAGTTCGAGGAGGTCGTCAAGCAGCTCGACGCCGAGACGCTCACGTACAACATCAACGTCAACGAGCCGCTCCAGGAGGGCATCACGCTCCGCATCAAGGTCGCCAAGGAGAAGTACGAGACGGCCATCGCCTGGCTGAGCGACCTCCTGTACAACTCGACGTTCACCGAGGAACGCCTGCGCATCTCGGCGGCCAAGGCGCTCCAGGCGATCCCGGCCGAGAAGCGCGACGGGCTCGAGGTGTCGTACGCCGCCTACCGCAAGATGATCAGCCAGGAGGTCAGGTCCGTCCTCGCCTTTCCTCCTTCTCCCCCTCGACCGCGTGTCGGGCTCGGTCACTGACGCCTCGTCGCGTCCTACCACACAGCTCGAACGTCGCGCTCAACCTGATCAACCGGTCCGAGTTCCTCCCGGCCTTTATCGAGCGCCTCAAGCAGGAGCCGGACGCCGTCATCAAGGAGTTCGAGGCTTTCCGCCAGGGCTGTGCGTCCCTCCCTAATCGCCTCCTGCCCGACGAATGACCTGACGAGTGTCGTACGCCGCAGTGACCGACCCTCGCGCCATGCGCGTGCACGTCAAGGGCGACATCCTCGGCCTTCCCAAGCCGTCGTCCGCCTGGCTCGAGCACTTCAAGAGCATCAAGCCTTTCCCTGTGCGTCTCTCGCTCCTCTTCCTCGGGTCGACTGCCACTTACTCGTGACTGCCTGCAGGAGAACGAGCTCGTCCCGGTCCGTCGCAGCAAGGACGTCATGGGCCCCCTCGGCAAGGAGCCCTCGAAGAAGGTGCGCTGCGGCCTCTCCCTCCTCCCCATCCTTTTCGATATCCCTGACGCAGTCTCGTTCACTGTCCTGCAGCTCGTCGTCACCGGCGTGTCCTCGATCGAGAGCACATTCGCGTACTTTGTCGCAAAGGGGCCAGCGTCGCGTGAGGACCCCGACCAGGCCGCTCTCACCGTCACCCGCGCCGTCCTCAACGCCATGGAGGGCTTCTTGTGGAAGTGTGCGTCGTCATTGTCCCTTCTCTCTGCCCGTCACGTCCTCGTACCCCTGACTGACTCGGTCGTTCCGGTGCCGCAGACGTCCGAGGTGCAGGTCTCGCCTACGGCGCCTCGATCAGCCAAGACCTCGAGAGCGGCCTCATCATCTACCGTGTCTACAAGTCGCCCGACTCGTACGCCGCCTTCGTCGCCGTGCGCGAGCTCATTGGCCAACTCGTATCGGGCAAGGTGCGCCCGCTTCTCTTCCCTCGTCGACCCGTCCTGCACGAGCCTGCCTGACCTACCCATCCTCCGCAGCTCGAGATCGACGACCTGACGATCGAGTCCGCCAAGAGCTCGCTCGCGTACCAGACCGCCGCCAAAGAGTCGACCATCACTGATGCGGTCCGTCCTCCCCTTCTCGCACTCGCCCTTGTCGACCATCTCCCTGACTCTCTTCTCGCCGCAGGCCGGCGCCTCGTTCACGAACGTCCTTCTCGGTCTCCCTGCTGGTTTCGGCCGCAAGCACCTGGCCGACTGCGAGGTGCGTCGCCAACGTCGTCCGCTTCCCTCGCTCGGCGAACCAGTACTGACCTCGTCCTCTTCTCCCGGCCGCACAGAGCGTCACGGCGTCCGACATCCTGCACGTCATCAAGAAGTACATCTCGCCCATCTTTTCGCCCGACACGTCGATCGCGTCGGTCGCGTCGGGCCTCGCCAAGCTCGACGAGCTCGCCGACAAGTTCTCCGAGCTGGGCTACGACGTCGAGAAGCGGTCGATGGCGACGGCCAATGGCGAGGAGGAGAGTGGGAGCGAGGACGAGTCGGGGAGCGAGACGGGCAGTGAGAGTGGGAGCGAGTCGGAGCGGGACTGAGAGGCATAGATCCGCGATGAGCTGTCATTTAGCCGCAACGCGCAACGTACCTGTAACACGAGGTCGTTCGTGCGACAAGGCGAGACGAGCGAGAGCGAACCGGCCTCGACAGCGCTCGATAGCGCTCGAGCCTCGCCCAGCTCGACGAATCAGTTCCTCCTCGGACTCGCTCGCTGCGTTCTCTCAGAGCGAGCTCACGCGCATGCTCGATGCTGCTGCAGGATCTCTCTTGGCCCGACCGGCGAGACAGAGTGCAGGGTCGAGCCAGAAAGCGGCGAGGTGAGGCGGCGGGGCAAAGACGAGGTCGTTCGAGCCGAGGGCTCTCCCTCTGTGCCCTGCCAGTGAGCACCTCGAACAGCTCTCGTCTCCTCTCGAGTTCCGCTAGTCGAGCCGAGCGAAAGCGGCGCAGAGCGAGCCGCGTTCCCACGAGCGGCTCGAGCACGTCTCGCGCTTTCCTCGCTCTCGCTCTCGCGCGCGCGCTCCGTGAGAGGGACATCTAAGCTTTGCAGGTGAGGGTCTCGAGGAACATGAACAACAGAGGTGTAGACGACAAAGGAACAGCTGTGCTGAGGTGGGACGCCGAGCGACCATGATTAAGAAGGAGTGAAAGGAGGGAGAAACAGTCGACGAGGGACGAGATTCGCAGAGATTAGGCGAGGCGCAAGGGCAGGCCACGTGTAGATAGTAGATGTGAGGTCGGCTAGAGGGCTTGGGGGACGGGAAGGCCAGGTGCTGGACGATCGAGTGCCGCCCATCGCTTGTCGACGTACTTCTCGCGGATGAACGAGGCGACCATACTGCGTGCGGGCGCTCGTCGTGTCAGCTCATCGCCTGAAGAGCAGGATATAGAGAGAGAAAGAGGAGGAGAAAGGAGGACGCACGACTCGGTGAGCGCCTCGACGGTCCCGGTCGGCAGTCGCGCCTCGAAGAACTCGTTCGACTTGGCGTTGCCAACCTCCTCCATGCGCTCGAGCTGCTCATCGCTCCAGTCTGCAAGGCATGTGCGAGGATGATAAGTGACTGCGCGCCTTTGGTGGAGCACACGGCGGCGAGGAGAGGGGGAAGAAGGCAGGGGAGACGCACCGTCAAGCTCGACGCTCCTGACCTTGCTCACGTGCGTGCCGAGGCTCCTGTGCACGCCGCTGCACCGGATACACAGCGTGACGCCGAGGTTCCAGCTCGCCCATGTCGCCCCGCCGGCCCGACAGTCGGCGCAGCGCGCGTTGTCCCACTCGGGGTCCGAGCGCGCGGCGACGGCGGCGATGCGCGACGCGTTGCGGTACTTGGCCTGCTCGGGCGTCGTTGCGGCGACGGCAGGAGCCGAGGCGGGCGCCGAGGCCGAGGCCCAGGTGCGCACGGCGTCCGAGATGGCGCGCTCCTCGGGCGAAAGCCCTCCTCGCGCCGTAGCCGCCGCTCGTTCTGCGGCGACGCCTTCCTCGCCGTCGCCGCCGCCGTCGACGTAGCCATCGCCGAGCCACTCGTCCTCGTCGAGCTCGCGCGACGACGGGAGCGAGCCGCCGGGCGACGGCGCGCGGTGCAGGTCGGGCGTCGAGCGGGATGCGGGCGCGCCGCTGCCGAACCCGAGGCCGCCGAGCCCTGGACGTGCCGCACCTGGTGGAGGCTGCGGCGTGTCGCTGTCGGAGAAGGCCCACAGGCCGCGGCGGGACGAGGCGTCGAAGAAGGAGCGGTCCGGGATCGACGACGGGTTCGAGGTGCGGTCCATGTCGAACGAGAAGGACGGCAAGGGCGATGTCGAGGCGTGGTGCGACGTCGGGATGTGCTGCACCGAGCGGCGCTTGTCCTTCTTGCTGCTGAGCGAGGTCTTGCGCGAGTGCTGGCCCGCCGACGCGCGCCGCGAGAGGAAGGGAGGAAACCGGGACCGAGGCGAGGTCGGCTCGTCGGCGGCGCCAGGTAGAGAGGACGACGACGAGGTGAGCTCGCCGAGTGGCGAGGGCGAGATCGACCCTTGAAGGCGAGAGGCGTCAAAGTGGCGGACCGACGACGTGCTGCGGGCGGCGACGAGTCGTCAGGGTCCGGCTCGACAGACAGGGCTCGACAAGGAGAGACAACGAGACGCACCCGTTGAGCAGGCTCTCGACGCTCTTCTGGATCGCGGCGACCCACTCGTGGCACTCCTTGTCCGAGTCGGCCTGGTACACCCTCCTCAAGTCGGGCGTCAAGACCTCGAACACGAACCTCCTGTCGCCCGCCTGGCGACTGATGCGCGCCGACGCCCGCAGGAGGTTGATCGGGCTGCCGTGCACCTGCATCGAGTCGGTCCACCGGGCGTACTCGGCGAGCGAGAGCGAGGCGATGTGAGAGCGAGGCGAGAGCGAGGTGAGAGTGAGGCGAGAGCGAGGGGAGGGCGAGGCAAGGGAAAGGTGCTGGCGAGGTGAGAGCGAGGTACGGCCGAGGTGCGGGCTCGTCGACTCGTCGGGAGGAGGCTGAAGCTCGCTCGGGGTCGGCGAGCGACCTCCGCGGAGGTTCCCCGTAGGCGGTCGCTCGAGCCGCCTCCGCGGCTTCCGGTCTCCTGGGCCTCCTCTGTCCTCCTTCGCGCTTCTCCTCCTACCTCCCGCCACTGCGCACCGTCCCGCCGCCAGGCCCCCCTCCCCCGCCAGCTCACCGCGCTCAACGACCTCCTCCGTCCCACACCCGCCTCGGCCATGAGCTACGTGCGCACCGAGCCCTGGCGCCAGGACGTCCTCACGCTCAAGGCCGTCCTCAAGCAGAAGGCCTACGAGGAGCGCGCCCACAAGCAGCTCGTCAAAGGCGAGCGTCGCCTTGAGCGCGGCCAGGAGGAGGGCCAGCTGTCGGCGCCGCCGAGCGAGGGCGGCGAGGACGATGAGCTCGAGGGCTACGGCTCCGACTCGTCGGGCGATACTCGTCGCTCGCACCGCATCGCCGAGCTGGACGAGGAGCGCGAGGCGGAGGAGCGGCGCAGGACGGACCGCCTCATCTGGCAGGCGCTGAAGGCCGAGCGCGCGCGCGTGAAGGCAGCCCGCGTCGAGCACGACCGCAAGCTGCGCAAGCGCACCCGTCGCCGCCGCAAGACTGTCGCCGAGCGCGTCGCCGCCGACGAGGAGAAGCAGGACCCGCTCGCGGCGTGGATCCTCGACCCCGACCACCCGGCGCGCGTCGACTTCTTCGCGACGTGGGTCAAGTCGGCCATCCTCGACGAGATCCGCATCGACGACCTCACCGAGGCCTTCTTCATCACCCTCGACGCGCTCGACGAGGACGAGAAGGCGCACCTCGGCGAGACGGCCGACTGGAACGCGCGCGCCCAAGTTGGCCTCGACCCGTTCCTCCTCGCCGCCCTCCTCGAGCACCTCGCCCAGCACCTCTCCCAGCAGCGCGCCGCCGCCCTCCTTCCTCCGCCGCCCAACCCGCTCGACTCGACGGTTCCGGGCTCGTCGCCGCTCTCGTCCCTCCATGACGGCGAGTCGTCGTTCGCCCACCCGCCCATCCTCAACGCCGTCCTGTCGCTCTCGGCCTGCGGGCTGATCAACAACGGCGAGCCGTGGCGCCAGCTACTCGAGCGCTACGACGACGAGTGGTACGACGACGACGGGCCGACCGAGCAGCATGAGCACTACAAGTACGAGCTGCGCGCCCAGCTCCTCCCCGGCTTCGTCAAGATCCTCGATGTGCGTCCCCTCCACATCCTGCACCTCTTCACCGCTCAGTCGGGCGCGAGCTGACCTTCCTCCCCTCTCCTCTCCCCCCTTCCTCCTCCCTCCTCCCTCTCGATC